TTATCGTATCCACAGGTTTAGGGAGTATGTTTTATTTTGTGCCGAGTTAGCCTCTTCCCCAAAATCGTATTCTTCGGTTCTAGCTTTATCAAAAGATGCCGCGTTAGCTTCTGTTATTCCAATCCCGTGGTCAGCACGCTCACAGCTTCTGCCTCCCCCACCAATCATCATTACTGCTCCATCGCCAGTACCCCAGTTACACCAGAAGCCAATCGCATTCGCGCCTTGAATGTTTCCATGGCATGTGGCCTGTTTAAAACCATCAGTTGTTTGGTACAAGCCTCCATATTGAACGGTGCAATTCCCCAAACACTTGTCATTTGCCCAAACTGAAGCTTTCCTGAAGTTACCATAAGTGGTTATTTTCGATCTGAATGTCTGCCCGCCCAAACAGTTTCCAGTGGTTTGCAATAGAGCGACATGTTGATGGTCATCACTGCGCGTGATTTTCAGCTCGTTACCTCTGACCAGCCAGAATGCTGGAGAGATCATGTCAGCATTGTGCGATGAATCAGTCGTTATCCCAAAACTACTATTTCTGTCGTACCACCAAAACCCGGTGTCATTCATCCAACGTTTGGCGTCATTGTTCGAGAACCGAGCGATGAGGGTCCATCCATAGCCAGAAGATGTCATATCACAGTAAACCTTAATAGATAAAATCAATGACATACTATGAGGTAACATGATTAGTTGTACAGTGTTTTCTATAGAACGTTTTCACCCAAGTGGCCAGTAGCGATGTAAATTTATTGCGACAAAAGAAAGTGCTTGCATACGAAAATAGTTCAAATCCCATAGAAATGGTATGGGTCATCAACATGGCCGCCGTTTTATCAGTGGGGGCCACAAACAGAACCGGATATATGATTTCCTGTAATCTGATTGGCTTACACAAATCGAAAACATTGCTTAGACCGCGAAAGGACTAAGACCTAGAGGAATGGTGGCGATGTCAAAAAGACGCTCCAAAGATACAATCATGATACAATAGAATCCTTCCGATCTATCGATCTCTCGACTTCTAGCTAGAACTTGAGGAAAAATCGATCGAAAAGTCGTTTCCCTTATTTATTTAAACTAGAAATACGTGCCTCCGATAGAAACGCGCGTACTGTTACGTAAGCTATAGTTTCTTCATTTTAGGAGAGCCGAAGAAAACGTGAACGCTTGCTTATTGTGCATGTATGCCCTAAACAAAGCGTGATTTTGGCTTCGACGCATTGTTCCGGTACACTAACATGGCGGACGCGAGGTCATATGAAAAGGCTCTGTAATAAGCAACAATAAACCTTTTCAGCTTGTAAGGTCAGATCAAGTGATGTTCTAAAGGGAATTTGCCTTTTGTGTTTTCATAATTAATATATTTATGCACGTGGACAGGACGACATTTGAAAGAAACAGTTTTCTGTGGTACCATCACGTGGTCTGAAATGGGTAAACAAAACACAAACTAAAAAGGTCTATTGCTTCACATTAACAATGAAAAAACAGTTTGCACCTACTGAGATTTTCCAGGCAAGTGAAGTTAAATTGTGGGTTCCATCAGTTACATCGTTATCGATTCTTTTCATGTCACTGCATGATGCCACTATTTGCACTGCAAAATGAAATTTTCGGCTTCATTAAGTATTGAACCAAACAAAGGCTCAAGTACACGATGTATTCGAAACCTCGTGTTAGGCGTGTTGATATTGCAAGGATTATAGAAGTTTAGAGGAGATTAATACCTCTGCTGCACGTTTTTCCGTCTCCAACAAAACCAGGTTTGCATGTACAGAGATAAGAGCCGACCTTGTTCTGGCAGTTTGCATTCACATCACAAACGGAGGGAATAGCGCTGCACTCGTCGATATCTGTGAATGCAAAAAGGAACGCCTTTAAAACATTAATCATACACAGGAGATACATCGTTAAAGGAGCCTGGAAGGAAACACTTGCCTCTCGTCTTGGGGTTGGGGAATTAGAGATAGAAAGGGTTTTAGATCATTGTTTAAAACTCAAAAATAGCAAAATAATCCTTTCAGGCCTATATTTTGCAATGAGAATAAAGAGAAACAACTTTTACGTAACTTTTAGTAAGCTGACGTTATAGGCTATCTTGAAAAAGAATAAGGCACTTTAACTAAATCAAGTTATACATTCTTTCTGTCTGCGGCAAGGGCAAGCAAGGGTGGATCATAATTATCGCAGATTTTTTCATCACTGGACTAGTAGTCTTACCGAACAGGAACTAGCGTGCTAATTTAAAACTTGCCTTCGGTCTCCATATCACAATATGCACGCACAAGGAAACCAGGTGTGATGATACTCAGCCAGTACTTCTGGCTCGCTGCTTCTCCTTCGCTCGCTTTGATCTCATTACACGTTTCCGCTGGGAGCTCAGGAACGGAACCAAGAGGTGCTGAAAGGAAAATACGTATCGTTAGTTAGCAATGTAGGTAAAAATGAACTCTTTCTGTGGTTTCAAAACTAATGAAAGACTAGTCTTATCGATTTGCGCTGTGAAAGGATTTCAAGGTTCTGGTTTTTGAAGGTAAAAGATATTAAAAGGTTTGTATCAGATATCTACCATATCCCAAATATCTACCATATCCCTAATAAAAGACAACCTACAGGCTATTTAAACTCACTAAATCATTTTACCTCGATTCATGTCTCTTCTATAATAATATCTATCTGGGTCCGGAACAAAATCCTCAGGTCTGGCTTCTTTGGTTCTAATACTGAACTCACACATGTTAAGGGAGATAACCCAGTTGAAACTCTGACATCTGTTGTCTTGACGACAGATAAGTAAGCACTCATATCCGAAGTTTGCCTTCATAGTCTTGTAAATGTGTCCTTGTAACTTCCAGCCATAAATGGATTCTCCAGAACCACCTTTGATACAACGTTCAGAAACCACCCCGATGAATATATGGCTCAGCAGATAAAGTAACGTGATGTGGATGACTTGCTTTATGGCCATTGCGTTGGAGAACAAAACCGTATGGTTCTTGATTAATAGATCCGAGAAGTGCATGTGAATTCTGCGCAGATTTGTTGGCACGCCGGTCCCGCTCGTATCTACATATGTGCTCAAGACAACACTGATGGGGAGACAAATTCTTTCTTTAGCTGTGGGAGCACATAAGAGACTCGTTCATACATGATCACAACATTCCCAGCTATCTTTTCATACAAAGAGCTCGTTTTTCGCAAACGAATGCTACACGTCTGGAGAACACAAAATGAAGAAAGCATGACAGAGGACTCATATCCTTGTAGAAACCAAATTTTGGTTTTTACAATAAGATAGTTGAAACTTACATAACGATATTTACAGTCTTAGTTTAAGTTGCCCTCCTGTAAAATGTCATTACTTGACTATGACTCTATAGAACCGAAAAAGTGTACTTTTCAACTATCTTGCAATAAAGCAAAGTTTGATTTCTACAATGACATTAATTCTCGGTAAATTGCTTTGTTGATTCTGTATTTAAAATGACCAGATGACTCTGGATCTAAGACCAAAAGTCGAACAATTGTCATGAGACGATGCAAATTGTAACTTTCCTTGACGTAAATTAAACAAGAACGTGCTTACAGCGGCATTTACGTCTCGCCTGCTTGGAGATTAGATCAAGAAATGGGGAGGCGATTAATTCTACAAGAAACTTGATTTACTCGCTAAAGGTTTTTTACTTCCTACTTTATCGACGCCCATACTTTTTATTTGTTCTTGAATTGATTTAGTACGCGCGTTGGCGACGACCAAAAATACCTCTGCGGCAATACGCGTGTATAAATACACGAAAATTCAAGAGCCTCGATTCCAGAGAAATTATATCATTGCCAGTGAGATCGAAAAAGTGATTTACTTGGACGTCATTTCAATCATCGCCGAAAATAAATCGCATGCTCATCACAAGACTCATCTGCATACAGTGAAAGTTTACAACACCCGACCATCGCAATTTTGCTAGTTAAGATTCTTATTTTTTTCGACGACTCAGCAGTGTTCACTTGCTCCAAAGTAATCAACGCTTTCAAGCGATACAATTCGTGGACCGACACGTTTCGGAAAAGCTCTAAATTTAATCTTTCCTAAGCTTTTTTCGTAAAACATGCGTGGCTTCATCACGCAACGCTTCTTAGTCCCAGTTTCCACGGTCTCCGCAAGGAACGCTTAGCACAATGACCTGCCTTTTGCGTCCCAAAAAACGACCAAAAATTCCGGGGAGTACTTTCTTGGGAGGGGGTGTTCGGCACGCTTCCTGAAACCCTTACCCTATTTGAGACCAAAATCTGTGATTTTCCCCACCCTATTTCGGACTAGCCTGAGAAAACATCCGTTTCTACTCGTTTTTCGCCGCTGTGGACGTTTCGACGGGAGGAACGTCTGCGACTCAGCGACAGAAATACCATACTGATGACGTAAAATCTGTCCGGAATCCGGTCAGAAGCGCTGATTGGTCGACGGAGTAGTTACTTTGTTTTAGCTATTGTTCACGGATGACAGACAAAAGACAAAAGGCCACAAAGATCAAATGTAAACGCGAAGAATCTCTAACAAAATAGTCAATGTTTGTGGATTATAGTCTTCTCTAGAAGAAGCATTTGAGTTTTACTGGAGCTTGTTGGTAGATGGACACAACACTTTACCAAAATCGACCAGAAGACACGAAAAATTGGACAAATTTATATTTGGAACCTCATGACTACCGGATTTATCATGTAAATATTGATTTGCGTCATCAATATAGAATTTCTGTCGCTGAGTCGCGGACGTTCCTCCGCGTGAAACGTCCCTAGCGGCGAAGAGCGAGGAGAAACGGATGTTTTCGCAGGCTAATTTCAGACCTGATCAAAAATTTGATACCCTATTTCAGACCTGAACCCTGGAGTTCGGCGCGTGACCGGAGCGCATGACAAGCTGTTACGGCACGTACACGGTAGTTGGCGTAAACATTAAAAGGGAAATGGTCTTATCGCCAAATGATGAAGAAGTAGCTAATTCTTCTAAAAAACATACCCAATTCAAGACTAGAGTGCACAAACCATACCCTATTTCAGACCAAAATGGTCGAAATTGATACCCTATTTCAGACCAAAACGGCTAAAAAAAACCATACCCTTTGGCCAAGAGCCATTTGGCGCGGCACGTACCTATATAGCCTATATAAGGGACTACCCCCCGGGGAGAAAAACGCTTTGCAGATTATGAGTCTCGCTGCTTAAGCAAGCTAGACTAATTACCTAAATTATGTCAATGAAGTGGAGTGGGACCATTGAGACGTTATCACCTAAAGCAGACGGATAGAACGTGTTGGTCGATCCAAACTCGTTCAGACGAACTTAACCGAGACAGACGTTGAACTTTTCCATGAAGTTAATTCGCGTAGTTTGGTTCGTCTTATGAAAAATTCGACGTTTGGCCTTGGCCTTTGCAGGAAGTCGCCCGGTTAGCTCAGATGGATAAGCCCCGGGCAGGCCGCTGGTTCAAACCCCGGCTGAACCTACACTAACTGAGCAGAAAGTGATGCTTTTGAAAGGACATCTGCAAACGGTTAGACTTTCCAGTCCTCTCTCGGATAAGGACAATAAACCGTAGGCCCCCACTCACAACCCTTCCACATATAAATTCTTTGGGACGCTGTTAAAAGACTCACCCACTGTTGGTAAAGAGTTGGGCGGTTTGGTGGTCTCTCAAGAGGGGTGACTATTACGGGCCCGCAGCAATTGGCATCAGGCGCCGTTTCAGAGACCCTTGCAAAATTGGCAAACCTACGTAATTAAATGTGCAGATAACTTATAAATTCCACTGGTGAATTGATCGGGTTTCTAGCAAAAATTCTGCCATCCATCCTCCAATATAAACGATACAAAATATTAAGAAAAGAAAAAACACTGGCACCTGTTCAAGCACACGATGCCATTTCAAGTGAAATTTGTAATCTTCCGTGAGTCATATCTCTCTTTATTGAGACTGAAGGGCTTAAAGCTGCATCAATTAATTTTTTGCGTCATCACAATCATTTATTGAGGCCTCTACCGCAGTGACTTAACTTCCGATCGAATGTTTGGACTTAACGCGAAAAACAAACGTTTGATATACGAGTCTTTAGATTTGCTCTTGGAGATGGATCAAATTTGAAGAAATATTATGGAGTTTTGCTAGTACTCTAGAGATCTCCAAATTGTCATTTCTGAATTTACTTGTAGAAACCAAATCCATCTTCCTGTTTACTGGAAAAGTTTTGCGGTTAGAAGTACCGCCCCTCTCATTTTGGTGCTGTTATTGTTAAATATCTTATATTAAGCTCTGACTTTACTAGCCTCGGGCCACGCAGCTGTTTTTAGTGGAGCTCGTATTTCGTCCTTCCCGAAATACGGGCTCCCTTAAAAACGCCTGCGTGGAAGGCTATGTCTTTACCAACTTGAACACAAATTGTTACATTAGGTTTCAGTAAAAAAACAAGTGTAAAATTTCTCAATGAGACTCTTCCGAGACCCTGCCTTTAGTGTTATGAAGGAAACCGTTTTTGTATGTAGCTATTCGCTATTCCAGTTTTCTACAAGATCTCTTGGCTATGCATGTCGGTTTCCGGGTCGGTGTAGGCCAACAAGAAACCACTTTCATAAGCCTAAGGTCTATGAGCGGCATATTAAGATTGGTATTCGTTTTCGATTAATATTTCTTTTTCAAAATACCACTCGTGACGTTCACATATAGGAATAGAAATGGGTTACTAATGGACAGCAACACCTCTATCGAAAATAATATTTAGGGAACTAGTCTTAGTTAGCTAAGTTCCAGTAATTTGCTTACCTTTTTTTAGGTAGAGAATTTTTTAAAAATTAAATTCCTTGAAATCTGCTGTTAACATGAAACTGGTGTAGCGCAATTGTTGTTTGAGTTCAGTTTTTTCCGGCTCAAATAAACACGGCCACCCTCGCAAAATTCTTATGAGTGTCAGTGGTGCTAATTACGCATTATTCTCTTTAATAATTTACTATTGTTTTGGGTATGGCGATGGATAATTTCACTTCGCTTTCCATTGTGTTAGATTTGACAGTAGCAGACGAGAACGTTTTTGTTCTCTGCTTTTTGTTCTGCGGCAAGAGAAAATGAGCTAAGCTTAGATCATTCTCTCTTGTCTGCGGTTAGTTTAATTTTTATTTTCTCATTAAATAGCCAACACCCAGCAAAACTGATGATCTCAATTTTTTTTGTCACCCAATTCTGTAGTCGGTTCCAATTCCCTATGATAATTTCTTATCAATATTTACATAGAAGAAAAAAACTGAGGAAAAAATTATTGCTAGGTTGATTAACAATTCTGAAGTCTGACAGCTTTTTTAGCCATTTTTGACGCAGCTTCAGCGCTCTGATGATTAAAGAATTTTTTACAGGAAAGACTCAGTCTGTTGTAAATGTCGTTTCCTCCTTAAGAGGAAAAATTTTTCAGAAATTCCGGCTAAACTATCTTTTTAATGAATATATATATATATCGACGGCTTTTCAGACAGGCGATCTAAGTCTACCATGTATAATGGGATGTCTTTATAACTAAAGTGAACGTGGTTGAAACTTCGAAAATATAGACATATACGAGAAGGGCGAAACAGTCAGGGGCACCCTACGAGAATATAGTTTAAAACCACTTAAACATAGCATTGTTAAACGTATTTTAGTATTTAAACGGTGGATATAGGCATATTTTTATCCCCTAAAAATTTTTCATCTGTTCGGATTTCCTAGCTGAAAGTCTAGTGATCCGAAAATAATAGGGATCAAAACTTACTTTTTCGAAAATTTCAGCCAGAAAAAAGGCTCCCGAAAATTCTAGGTGACCTTTTTAGGGTAAAAATCCGTTAAAAATAGGCAATTATACCATTTTTTACATGTTCGAAAATCCTAGGAGAGGCAGGCAAGCAAGAAATTTTACAACAAATGTTTCGAAAATTCTAGATCTCAAATCGGCTTCCGAACAGATATTCTTCCGAAAATTGTCGTTGGGTGCCCCTGAACAGTACTGTCTGCAGTTAGACATACATCACACTGTCTTTTTTATTGGAGCTCGTTGCTTAGTATTACTTGTTGTTAACGATTTTACCGATATTGATTTGCGGCGGCAGGTTCCTTTGTCGTGTCTTTGTTTTCCTCCTGGTTATTAATAAAATATATCTCTCGGCTGCTTCTGCTTTTAAAGGAACACGCCTTGCTAAAATTCTTAATCTCGGAAAGCAAGAGAGGATTATTTATCCACGTAGAAAGTAAAATTAATTGTTTTTAGAGAAACGTTACCGAAAATTGTTTGCATTTGTACCATTGCTAGGGGTATAAAACGTTAGCTGTAATTTGTATTACTCAAGTCACAATCAGTAAATATTGTCAATTTAAAAGTGTTCTTTGCGTGTTATTTCCCGGTGAGAAATGGGTAGTTACATGCAGCCTAGCCGCAGGTTCAATATCACTTGCCGTTGTCGACCATAAACAAACATTATCACATACGGGGCAAAATTATTGAATGCTGATTAGCTCAGACAGAGAGGATTTTTTCTTAATCTGTGTAATGAAGAGAGGATGATTATTTGGCTGAGCGCTTTGAGTTACCCGCTTGAAACTGATTTTGTAAAAAAACAGTTCAGAAACGCCATGCCTCTGAGTTTGATCTAAAACGATTATTTGATCTAAAGCCCCATGCAAACGGACACAACATTCTTGGCCTACACTTCCTACATTGTTGGATGATACATGTTGCGTCCGTTTGCACATCCTGTTACATGTTGTTGCGTGTTGTTGCTATTTGTTGCCCAAAGTTTAAAACCGGTCAAATTTTTGAGCTAACTACTTCCATCATTTCTTTTGTTCCGGGATCGCCGAAGCGTAGCGCAGCAATGTTGCCCGTTTGCACAGCTCTTCCAAGGTTGTTGGGGCCACACACGCGCTAAGATGGCTATCGAATTCAAGTTTACAAAGTCTTATGGGTTGCATCCTTCCCACGATGCACTGCAGGTCTCAACATTGTAATTGGGAGTTGTTGCATCCTTTTGCACGCAGCTTAAGACTGCGTTCAATATGTATACTGCAGTGGGGTGGGGGAGGGCAGGAAAATTTTAAAATCGACATATGTTTTTGTCATATTTCCCCCAAATCATACAGAATTTTTTGACATCCTCACTCTTGACCAGCCAGAAGAAAAATTTGACAATTCCCACACCACCCCGTATTCAAACGTGCAATGAAACAGAGAGGTAGAGTTAAAATAGAGAACTTAAACAAAAGGTAGCGAAAGGGTAAATAGATTCTAGGAGCTCTCACGTAAAGGAAGTCGTGATGAGGTTAATGCCAGAGGCTCACTGGGAAATTGCCTACCGCCGGTACCATGTGGCAGTTGAGAGATAATTATTGCAATCATACCTAGATTGGTTAAATTTGCGACCTAGACTAGCCAAAGAACAACTTCAAATGAAAAGATGATAAACAAACAAATCAAAAAATCAAAATCAAAATAACAACAACAACAACAACAACAAAATATTGCCATTCAGCCTGCTTCTGAAGAAACGTTTACATACTCGGGACCGGGTTGTTCAAAGCTGAGTTAAGATAACCCAGTGTTAGTCTGAAATGTGACTTCAGGTATGAAGGCTTAGAGGGCAAATTCAGTTGAATTCCCTTTGCCTACAATTTTTTGAGAGGCTGCTCTAAATAGAAAAGAGAAAATTGTCGAAGAAAATGCTTTGGAAACAAAAGAAAATCTATCTAAACTCAGGTTAAAGTTCAACCCCCGGTTAGACCTAATCAACCTTCTAACAATCACGGGTCCTGGACTCTGAGTGGAATACAGATCTCTCCAAAAAAAGAGGAGATGAAAGTTAATTCACTGTTTTTAATTATTAAAGCCAAGATAACAGCTACAGCATTGCATCGCCGAGAAGAAACTGAAACTGAATGTTATAATTGTGCATTAATTCAACACCTTGGTTCAAATATTATTTCCTTTTCCCAGGAGAGCAAGGACTAGAAAAACGAGTTTCAAACAGAAGAAAACCATTTTTGTAGTACATAAGTCTTTTTAAGAGATAATTCGAGAATGATACAGTTAGATTCCAATCATTTGTGTAATCTGAATGGAATATCAAATTTTGATCCTAGCGAGTACATTTGATATGCATCTACAGACTAACATGCTACGAAGTCCACCTTGCGGCTATGAGTGTTTTCCCGGAGAAGTTTCAAAATTCCTCGAGTTCACACTCTTCAATGCTAGCAATCTCTTGATTACCTAAGACTTCAATTAACATTCATATTGATTGAAGTGGCAGATGATTTTGATACGCTCAGACTAAGGGAGCTACTCGAGAGCACTGGGCCCATGCAATATATAATGCTGTTCCAAGTCACATTGGCCCTGGCGAACACACCTTGGACCTTATTAGACAATCTGATCAGCTTGGAATCTCTTGCAGACATCAGAGAAAGGGTGCTATCGGACAAGCTTAATCTAAACGACGATAAAACAGCATTTACCATCATTGGGACGAGAAAACAACTATCTAAAATTAATATTGACTTTGCGAGTAGGAGACAGTACAACTGCACCGGCTAGCAAAGTAAAGAACCTTGGTACCTGGTTTTAATCGACACTTAAAGATGGATGCACATAGTACTAACATCTGAAAGCCACCTTTTATAATATAAGAAGAATTATTGGAAGTTTCTCAGCTTTAATCGTTCAGTACTCAGATTTTGGTTGATGCGTTTGTAACAAGTCGTTTGCACTACTGTAAAGGCTGGTTTTCAATTGTCGGAGTCGGAGTGGGAGTCGTAAGCGGAGTCGTAAGAGAGCTTATGACTTAGTGCAAATAAAAAATAGGAGTCTTAATGGGAGTCATAAACACGACGGAATCGGAGTCATAAGAATCAGAATGTTTCCTTTTCTTCCGACTCCGCACCCGACTCCGTCGTTCAAGTTCCACTTATTGGGGTAGTTTTGTTGTAAATTATGTAGCCTGGCCTGCTTCGAATAGCCTCGCTAACTGCAGGCCAGTCCCAATGTATCTTTTGCTATCTTTCCAAATTTAAATAAAGCTGAAGTTGAAAGCTGAAGTGAAAACCAGATTGTCGGAGTCGGAAGCAGAAGCGGAAAGATGAACCAATCAAAACGCACGTTCCCACGCTTTGTGATTGGTTTAGTTCTTCTGCTTCTGCTTCCGACTCCGACAATCTGGTTTTCACTAGATCAAAAGCGGAACGTAAGCGGAATTCGGACGCTGTTTTCACTAGATCATAAGCTCTACACTTCTGATTACGACTCCAACTACGACTCCTTTGCTACTGAAAACTAGCCTTAATAGACGGCCCATTGTATGGCCTGCCTAACAAACTGCTGTAAAGGCTCCTTTGTAATGTTGGACACTGCTCACATCACTCCCTCCTTATTTAGCCTCCCCTGGCTACCAATTAGGGGTCTCTCTATGGGTACCTGCGGACGTCGTTTTCGACGCGCGTTTTCCATCAAATAGCCGCTTTTTCAGTGAAATCCGGCGTCGCATATCAAGAATTGTACACTCGCTTGTTTCTGTGGTAACGCTACCAGCGAGTTCGAGCAACCACGACGACGACGACGGAGACGAAAAGCTGAGGAAAAGAAAAGGTTTAATAAGCAAAAAAAAAAAAAAAAGAATTGTTTTGCATCACATTTTTGGTATATATTTTTTAGTCGAAATGACAACGCGATCGTCGCTTCAGGCCCCGTCAACACGTATCCGGATATTTTTGAAAACGGAGAATTTTGTCCTTGGTTTTTGAAAAAATACGCGTCCATAGTTGCGTATTCGAAACGGTTCCCTCCCCTCACCCCTCCACACGAAAACGCTAGCATCCCTCACAGGGCATACGTAATGTAATTAGTATAAAATTTATGACATCATCGTATTCGAAAAATCTCCGTTTTCGTCCGTCCACACGTAGACGAGTAGCAGCGTTTTCAAAAATCTCCTCTCTAGAGAGCGTTTTTGAAAGGATGCGTTTTCGGTGACCGTTTTCACCGAATGCGTGTGGACGGTAGGCCAAACCGGAGCCGAAAAATCTCCGTTTTCAAACAAAAACGGATACGTGACGTGTGGAAGAGGCGTAAACGGTTTCCATCGTTTCAGCGTGTTCGTGTGGACGGGCGAAAACGATTCGAATAAGCTACGTGTGGAAGCTTATTTTTTTTGAATACGGGGAAGAAAATATCTGTTTTCAAAAATATGCGGATCTCTAATATAGTCTTTTCATCAACAGTGATCGCCGCGACTTCGATTTCGTTGGAAATACCCAGTACAGAGTCTCAAAACAATTAGATCTACTATACAGTTTCAAATCTAAATTTTTAGCCTTCAAGCCTAAAATTAACAAGCACTTGTACATGTAACAGAACTCATCAAACTCAAAGCTGTTTTTCCCTTGAAAGCTAGTTTTACTGTCTCCTTAAGTTTGAAATAATTAGAAAATGGCTTTTCTCAATGTAAACAATTTTGTGGAATCGTCCCACTTTATAAAATATTCAATTCAATAAATAATACAATAATAACATAATTTTCTGATTTTTTAAAAAAAGAGGTTTTGTCTGTTACTAGTCTTCAATTTTAAAACCTGAGGTCCCATTTGTTTAAAACTAATATTATTTTAAAGTGTTAAGCATTAACAGGTCATGGTGTTAAGTTGATACGCATTTAGTACAAGAACTAAAATATATATATATTTTTGAAGACTCAATTAATAGTTAATTGGACATGTTGTTCAGTTTAATGTCATCATCCTGGTTTAAATGAATAATTTATCACTTTCCTATCTACTAAGATAAATAAGAAAAACAGAAGAAAATAGAAAAATGTAGAAATATATAGTTCGGAAAAGCATTGAACTCTTTCTCAGTACTCGGATATGTAAAAAAAGGCACATAAAGAGATACACAACTAAGGGATAATGTAGTTATAATAAAGAATTGTTTGTTTATTACCAAATATTTTTATATATTTGAAGTAAGATAAATGGATAATAAATATTTCAATAATTTCAAATTACTTCGGAGATTATAATTTGTCCAAAGAGAAAAGTCATAAGCTTATTATTTTAAATTTTCAGCAGTTCCCTGTAATGTAAATGCTCTTAAGATGATGCGTTAATTTTTCACTTTCTAAAAAATTTATAAAGCGCTGTCACTTTTGCTTAGTAAATTATTCACTTTTAGAATGTAGCGAATTCAGTGAGGAGACATCCGATAAAATGTTCTTCATTTTTTCAAAATCTAAGAGCTTTCAAAAGCTCAGTTAACTTATTTTAGTTCCTTTATTCATCATCGTCCCAGGTTGAAGACAAGTCTCGGAAATGCGTGGCATTGTGCTGAGTCTTTCAGTGGCCCTTATGTTGGCTAACATAGTTCATAAACGAGAAGCAGCTAGCATCCAGTCAATAGGTAAGTAATGAAATATTTGAATTATTTCATTAGGGAAGGAGTCTTTGCCAAATTATATTTACTCAAGTACATTACAAAATATTACTGTTGAAAATGGTGCACATTTAATATCTGAAAACGAATAGCAATCTGAGCTGCACGCTCTCAAAATTGACCATAGGTAAATTCCCTTCATAACACGTAAAGAAAAGTACACAGATGAAACGATTAGGTCCAGGAAACAATAATTTTCAAGCGCGTCTTTGAATTTACCATCTAAAAAAGCGTTTATTTGTTATTTATAGAACAATTGTTTTATAAAACAGGGGGTAATCGGGACAGCATTTTGAAGTTTACGAAGACAAAAAATTCACCTTACGCGGCCAATTGTGATAACTTCGCTTTAATCAATATTTTGAGTCTTCATTAACATCGTGTATTCACTCAGTCTTAATTTTTGATTAACACAACCGAGACCTTTAACAGTCAGATAGCTGTAAATACTAAAATATCTGCAAGTTAAATCCGGTTTTGCAAACAGCGACAAAAGTATATAGATATTTAGTTGGGAGATCAAGATTGTTTCTAGTTTGTTATACTGCTGTTATTTCCAAATTTCCTGATTCTTGATTTGAAATTGTAAGTAACGAGCTCAGAAACTGTATCTCCTTTCATGTATGGCGTACAACTGGTGAAACGATATAGCCTCTTACCCAAGCGATTTTAGGGGAATCCCATTTTCTCCTTCTCTACCTCTCGTGGGGAAGGAAGAAATACGACTCCCCTACGAACGTCTGCATGGAAGGCCGGTGAGGCGACAGCTATACAATGAATTTTTAGATCATAACTTAATACTTTTTAAATAAAATATTTTTATAGGTGTAATTCATCATCCCAACCATGACCTCCTTGCCAATATGCTGAGAAAAAGCGTTATTGACGTCAATAGGACACTTACCGGGAATAAATACATTAACTTAACATCCATCAGAACGACATCATCGAAGGAGTTGTTATCCTACAGTAAGTACCCTTTAAAGCCGGTAAAGAAGAGCATATTGCCGATACAAGATCAGCCACGTGCTCGGGTGTGAAAATTTGGTGTTGATCCGTTAGTTCTGATCACAGCACTGTTATATTTAAGAAACGGTCCAGATAAGAACGATAGCAACAACGGCAACGAACATGCTGGAATGCAAAAAAGGTGCTAACTTTTCTATTGTCTGTGCTTACTTCTGATTGGCTTAAACAGCAAAAGTTAACAAAACTTCATAAAGTAGTACATATATTCATCCTTACTTTCCAACCATCTTCCATATAACAAAATCTGGTCTTAGTTTGAATAACAAAGAAATCCTATGTGGGGAACATGTAAAATTGTAAACTTTTCTTGGCTATTGTTTTCAACTCTTGTGATTGGTCAAAATTTTTTAACACAAAAAAACACCCTTTCAAAGTGGACTGTAAATGCATTTTATTGCGTAAACGGCCTTCATGTAGGTTTATGCATTCTCTGTGTAAAAATGAGAACATTCCTATGTGGGGAAAGCACCGTTGCCGCATAACAAAAGAAATTGCTATCCACCTTATTCGGATCGTTACTTAACTTTAATGTTCAACCAGTCTCCTCTACTAACTAGGCCTGAATAAACAACCTGTAGTTAAACCATTTTCAATCATTTATTTCCCTCTTTTTTTTATCTTTTGTACCAGATAATTTGAAAGACATGTCGTGCGCAATAGCAATATTTGATTTGTCCTTTGGTGACCACCACTCGTTTTCGTTTGCTGAGGTGCTGGGTATACCGTTATTCAGCTTCAAGCCCATCTTGCGAGACTTATCGAATCGATTTGTTTACTCTGCATTGCCGTCTTATGATATGTACGCACGTGCCATAATTGACGTCATAGTGTTTACCGTTGGTGAAGACAGTCCCAGGGAACAAGTGGCAATTGTGTTTGAAGGTAGGCGATAATTCAAAATGGGGATGTTACTAAAACGGGAAACGGGTAGCGGGTAACGAGCACGGGGAAAGGGCAATTGAAAATTGAGAACAAAGCAGGGAATTTGAAATGAAGTTACTACGGTATAAGCTAGGTTTTGTTCCTATTTTTTGTTTTCCGGTTCTCCGTGCTGGCTCCTCGATCGCTTCCTGTTCCTAGTTTTAGTAACATCCTTCAATATGATTCCTTTCTAAAAACTGACGGTAGGATAATATATTCAACAAAATAACGGCGGACTTGTGTGCGCGCTTATCATAAAGAAATGAAATAAAATAACAACTGTTAACCAGAATAACCGAGTATCAAACGAACGCCTTTTGTCTAAAAAACGCCTCTTCTACAATGTTAAGTTTGTATTGGACGTCTATCTCTAATACATGCCCCCTGCCTAATAGACGCTGCCCATAAAAATTACTCTTAAATACTAAGAATTAGCAAAAACGAACAAAATCATAAACTTTATTGAATTTCTTGCTTGATTAACAAGGGTTTGCGTATTGCATTTTTCTATGTCAAGTTCAAAGTAAGGATAGACTAACGATGACAACACAATTACCTTGAAGAGGATTCTAAACGGCCTAGACGTACACTTTGTATCAATGAATGAACTGGATATTCCGCTGTTTATAAATTCTCTTTTATTTTCTCCCAAAGCATATATGTTTTTTCGAGCTTATTGCAGTTATGAAAATAAATGTATCTCTCTTTTAAACGCGTCTATTATGTCAGTTACGCTATACCTAATTTGTTTTCTATGTGTAAAGTCAAGATATGGATGCCGGCTGGGTATTGGTTCCTTTATTTCTTTGAACACGGTACAAGTGCTGATTTTCTCAAAAGTCTCTTGTCGTGTTTTAATGTAGCACTGAGAATTTCTTTTGTTGGAAACTCTAATAAACGTCATCATTTCTTTTAGACGAGTACTCCAGAGTTGCAACGAAAGTGTACTCAATAGCTCGTGAACTCGAAAGATTTGAAGTTGACGCAATCCCTGAAGTAAACATAAACAACGATGAAGAATTTCAACGTGCACTTGAAGTTCTTCCAAAGACTGGTGCAAACATCGTGCTGGTCATTTGCAGACCAGAAAACCTGGATGATATCCTGGAGAAGGTACTGGTCTAGATCCTAAATTTTAGTTTCTTACTGAATACTAAGACAGAATCAATAAGTGTGTGATGTAGCTAGTCTTATTTACTCTTTCTTTATGTGTGTGTCAGGCTATGTGCAAACCGCGTAAGCAACATTCTTGCCCAACAACTCCCAACATTGTTGGATGGTACCTGTTGCGTCCGTTTGCACACTCCTGTTGCATATTGTTGCGCAAAGTTTGAAAGTGGGCAAACTTTTAGCCCCGTGCAAACGGACGCAAGATTGTTGGCCAACAACTCCCAACATTGTTGAGAGATGTTGCATCCGCTTGCACGTAGCTTAAAATGGCATTCTTTAGAGTAAAAATTCCTTCGAGTAGAAGGCTTGGCTAAAATTGCCCTCCTTTTTAATAATGCCGATCTCGGAGGGTGCTGTTGGACCTTCCTCGATCTGAATTCTTTACGAAAGATGAATCTATTGAATTGCTAAATGTCCTTGGTTATTCACCGTTTTGGGACGGGAATTTTTGGGGACGATCCTATTATCTGGGAGCCTGTCAAAGGCTAGAGCTGTAACAATAAATACAAAGAAAGCGACTAAATTTGGCTTGCCGGTGGTTACTGGCACGTAGAAAATTCATTCACAGTGAATTTTTAACAAATTCGTGAAAATGCACTCGACAGATCCCCTCACACATATTTTCAATTGAAACAAAAACAAAGCTCTTCAAAGTGACATCTTTTATTTTCAAAAAATACTGATTTGGTAATCCCCTCAGAGTTAGTGCATAATGTTTGATACATTCTTCGACGATTCGCGTTTTCTTTTATATACACGACTATTTACCTCCCTTTAAAAATAATGATATATATATGTGTAGCCAACAAGGCAACCACAAATTGAATTCTTCAAAGTAGCTCACAAGCGGGAATGCAGCCTCCTCTGACGAACTTGAAATTAAAACCGACTATCCAATTTAGTTGTCAGAATAATAAATTGGACTAATTAACTATATTTTTTTTCTTTTAAAGGCTTTACAACTTGGTGCTATGAATGAAAAATCCAGATGGTTTGCTTTGAATATGGTGCGCATCTCTTTTTTATGACCAGCCAGCCAATTTTTTGAGGGAGGGGGGAGGGGCGGTGGGGGACAGGGTTAGGGGACAGAGGTAGGGGAGAGAGTTGGAGGATAGAATAAACCACGATGCCCTCCATCAGTTTTTACGCGCTTATGGATTGATGGGATAAAGGCAATGTCACGTGGTATTTCAAGGGGCCAAACAGATGATAAAATATACGACTAGTCATGGTCCTGACCAGACAGAATTCCGTCGAGTTTTACTTCATTGTTGCTTGCTGTGAGGATGTCTAAGGTCGTTGCTGCATCCAATAAAGTCTCAATGATCAGCTTTCGCCTTTATTTACCATTCATCATTTTCACAAAGTCTATAATGTACCTTGTTTATCCCCCAAACGTTTGCATAAGCATTGTCTTCGATATCTCTTGAGATGACTGTAATACCTAGGAGAAATTGAAAACAATGGTCATGGATTTGTTTTTGTTTTTTTTGGGGGGGGGGGGCTGGGGCTGGGTTGGCGGAAGGGGAACAAGGTGCATTATAGTCTTTGTGAAAATGGTGAATTTTTGTCTTGAAAGCTTAAAGTACTTTATAGTCGTTTTCACATGACGTCACAACGGGCATATTGGTGTACAAAACAATGAAACGGCGGCCATTTTGGTGTACCAAGATAATCCCGTGGAACTATTTTCTCTGCATCTAAAAAACTGTCTTTTATTCCGAGAAATCAACATAGCCACTGATCACGTAAGTGAAGACGATCTATTTCGTTGTCCCCTTGAGAAACCACGTGACACAATGCCTAAATCCCATTGCCGCGGGCAGACAGGGAGAATACTGTGAGTAAGGTTTAGTACAAGTATTAGAAAACATGATGTAGCTTATTTCATTTAGTCTTAGAAGCTCAGCCGAGAACATTTTGAAATTTATTTCTTTTTAAAACATTTCCTGAGGATGTTTATTCATACTGTTTGAAGAAATGTCTTAATTTAGAAAACACACTTGTTATTTTTCCGGTAATCGGTAAAGGTGTATCGAAGCAGGTAAAAAAAATGGTTTTGCGAGTGCTTATCAGTTACTCAAAATTTATATTTGGCGCCGAAGCTTGGCGGAAAAGAGAAATCACCTCAAATTTTAGTGGTGAATAAATTTGTTATATTCCTTGAAGCATCGGAGTGAAGTATGAATTTTCATATATATCAAAATCATTAGATCTGTTGTGATTCTCAGTATTCGGTTTTCGTTCTTTTTTCCCTCCATAGGACTTTGATGGAAATATATCTAAAAAATGTTTCAAGGGACTTGTAGGTCTCCGAGTGAACTTAACAGATCCTGAGAAGACACAAAAATTAAAGGAGGATGCTGAGAGAAAAACAAGAAAAGGCGACCTCAAGAAAACACCCGAGGTACTTCGATAACTACTTGCTTTTATAGGACACTGAAATTATAATAGTCCTCCTCTTTGCTTTCTGACAACCAGAGTCACAGAGTATCTTAGCTCAAGATAAAGCTAAAATCTGTCGACTAAGCCCACGATGTTTAGGAACCAAGCCAAAAAAGTAGAAATATCTACATCACCATCATTATCATTATCATCATCATCATCATTATCATCGTCATCATTATTATCATCAACTCCAAAAGCTCATCAACAATTCAAATAGAAAATTCAAAGTATATTAATGCTTAACGAGAATCTCCGCTTAAACAAATCCCCGTTGTTCGTTTATTGATTAAACTATATACGTTAGTTAATTTTCTTGATCAATATGCACCTTTCCAAATTGAAGAGAATTGAAAGAGGTTTTACTATCTTGGTGTTTTGATGGACCAACATTCACTACTGATCATTTCCGATTTCCAAAAACCCTTACTTTCAAAACGAGGCCACGTCCAAAAGGATCAAATGAATGAATGAATGAATGAATGAATGAATGAATGAATGAAACTATTTTCATGACAAAGTCTTCACGTTAAAGACTTCACAATGATTATTGATTTCAGAAAGCCGAGGCTAGAGGCAATTTGGAGATGGCTAATTAACAATGGTATCTGACCCCATTCCAAAGCTTATGCTGCTGATATTTCGAAAACCTGAAATGCATTTAGTTTGCCGGAACGCAGAAGTACAGTACGGTCGTCGCTTCTCTCCACCAGAAAAGTAATATCTGCGAACCCAAGCCGTCAAACGAATTGTGTGACGTAAACCGTCTTTTGTGTTGTTGGTGACCAATCGGAATAGAGGATAAAAAGAAAGCTCGAGTGATTCGTCGCGACCTCGCGAGCTGGCGTATTTAGGAATTAACTGGAATTTGACTAGTTTACTTTTCGGGTGGAGAGAAGCGAAGACCAGAAATACGTCTGCGTTTGCAGGCTAAAGTGCAGTCATTAGCTGGAAGAAGAAAATGTACTTATCCTAATTCTAATACTCCACTCGCTTCTATTTCATCTGTTTAGGTTATCTATGCTTTGGTCAACGATACTTTATTCGCGGTAGTGGACGCCTTTAAAAAGGACGTAGCTGGAAAAATTCCCAAGTTAGGAAATTGCTTTACATCAGGAAAACGAAGTACAAGTGGAATAGAAATGCTCAAGAACCTTAATAATAAAGTAAGTAAAAATGATGTCTCACTAAGTAGTTCTTTTTTCCTACAAAATTGTGACTTTACGCACGATCAAATAAAATGTTTACCCAACTCCTGTTGCAGCGATTGCTCATATGTTTTGTCATTTACCTTTTTCTTAATTTGCATTTAAGGTAAAGTTTGCTGGAATAACAGGAGAGGTGAGATTTGATAATAATACTAGAAGCAGGGTGGTAGAGAGGCTGGACATAGTTAACGTCCAAGTTCAAGAAAACGACAATGAGGAGACGGAGTCTGTTCTTGTAAACGTAAGTAAAACCATTGCAATGAGTTATTGTACAGAGCTCCAATTAAGAGTCAGCCAAACGTCAACCTCGTTCCCAGGGTTCTCTCCTACCCGCCCGAACGAGGTTGGCTAAACGTTTGATAACGCCATTTTTCACATATGTAACTGGAACCTTGATTGAGCTTTTCAGCTGCAAATAACAAGGGCCTCGAGCAAGCACAGCAAAACAACTGTGTTAACCTACTCCCATGCAAAAGACAGCTCACAGCCAATCAGAGCACGCTTGCTATATATCCTTGTTATTTTATGAATTCATTTTTTCATTATTAAAATAGGTTGGTCTTTGGAATACGAACAAACGAAAAACAACAAATAAACCCGTGCAGTTGAACAACATGGACGCTATTGATTGGACAGGGGATTTCTGGCAGGAGTTGCAATGCTTAAGGAAGCAAAGAACGAAGAAAAAAGGAAAAGCCTTAGAAGGAAGGACCTTAAAAGTTGTGACCATAGTGGTAATTTTGCATAATCACATTTACCGAAGACTGATAGTTGATGACTTAAACTAGCTATTTTGATCCATAACGGTCATAAGTCAGTCAGTTTTCTTAGGCTAATTTAGCAAAAGAACGGGAACGCCAGTTGACGACGGGGCGGGGAGATCAAACAACTGGCTTGACCAATGGCAGAGCGGCAAATTGGGCACCGGAAGTCGTGTTTAGTCCTTTCCGCGCGCTTTCCCGTCGTCAACTGACGTTCCCGTCCTGTTGCTAAATCAGCCTAATGTGTGCTGTGAGTCGTGCGAAAATTAACTTCTGTCGAGAACCACCGTTCTCTTCCAGAAATGTGGTCGAACGAATAAATTAAAAATTACTGGTATATAACCGGCTCTAAACCGGCTTTGAATATCGCTGTGTTATTATTTGTTTGCTTCACTAAGTCATAATAAGCCCGTAAAATTCTCTATGGTTAATATCCCGGCTGCAGAAATTTGTGTTTCAAACAGTAAAAACCGCGCCTGTCTATCAAGGATTGACGCATGTTGAGGCCTCGTGCTTGAACCATAAAAAATGGTGCGATTATCAGAGCAGAGGTTTTTTCTCATACGCCCGTGTATATATCGTATTTTCCTCAGCTTCAAGACGAGTACTCTGGTCAATTTGGAACAGTAGCAGATTTTTTCGGAGGATTTTAGTTATCTTTCGCTTTGAATGTTTAATTCAAATACCGGACTACACAAGAGTCTGTTTGAAGAATCGATTACTAATCCAACAACTCGCCTTTCTTTCTGTATTTAGGATTCACCATTTTGTGAGAATAAAAGCAGCCATTCTGGTGATGGGAAAACCAACGGTGGACATGGATATGAAGGTTTCAGTATCGACCTACTCGAGAAAATAAAGGATAGAATGGGCTTTAACTACGAACTTGAGATTTCCAAGGAAGGAACGATGAATAGTCTTATTAAGCATCTACAAGAGAAGGTGATAACAACGCTCTTGTTCATGATCTTTTAAAATTTAAGAACAGGTGGTCCCTCCAGCACAGAGTAATAATCATGTAGAGATCTTAGTTAGCCTAAAGCATGCTCTCCCGTAAGGATTTTAGCTCTGCTCTTAGCATTTGGATGAGTTTATTTTTCGCCTAAGCAAGCTGGTAGGAGTAGAAATAAGTTTCGTTGAACGTTGAAGTGCCCCACCCTAGCCTTGAGAACGTTGAGAAGATCTTAGATCCCCACAGGAATAGCTCTTATACAGGTTCGCGTCAGACGAGTAGATTGCACCATCAAGCCTCGTTTTCAAAATAAGGATTTTGTTAAAAACCGACGGGGTCTGGTGGTGAAATTTACTCATATGACGTAAACACGCATAAGGGCTATTGAATGCATCACCCCCTTTAACCAATGATAAATTAACCGACTAATTGCCAAGCCACCCTTGGCTAGGTATTAAACCATGACTAGATAAACGCTTTTGAGTTAAACTTTGCTAATTCCCAGCCATGTTACTTTTTTCTCCTCATGATTGTATCACGACGGTAAGCATTCAGGATTCTCTTTTAATTCTGCTTTTTTAGCTTTCTTTCTTACAATCAACGAACCTCAAGACCGTCATATCGTGATAACCGTTATGGTTGTAAAAACAATGCCCTGGATTACGCTCCCGTTTTGATACTTTTAGAGGGCAATTTTAGCCAGCATTTAGAACTTCGTAACTAGCAGCAAAAACTAAAACAGTACACAAACAAAGAGAGAATGACCAGACTTTTTCGATCGGAAATCCAGGGGCAGGTATTCCCAATATTATCCGCTATAATGCAATATCTTTAAAACAGCTAGGCAGCTCACTGTATTAAAGTGCTTTTTGCGAGCATTTCTGAGTCACAAATTTTTCTTTGGATTGCCACATAAGAATAAGCCCTTAACAAATTTTAAATCATTTGTTTCTAATTTAATGATGTTTTTCTCTTTCTTTAGAAAGCTCATGTAGCCATCGGAGCCATCACTATCACTTCTGCGAGAGAGCTGAAAGTAGATTTTAGCAAACCTTTCATGGACTTCAAAATAAGTCTCTTAATGCCAAAACCAACAAAAGAAGATCTGAATCTCTTCGGATTTCTTCTACCATTTGAAATGGATGTCTGGCTTTCAACAATTGCTGTTGTAAGCTGTTTTTCTCTTTTACCAGGTTACTTGATGCGTTGCTCAAAACGTTAAACCTTTTACACTAGACACATGCTTTAAAGATTATTCTGGAGCTCGGGGGGCGAGGGGGGGGGGGGGGGCGCACTTCCTTAATTGGCCTAAACAAGGTTTTTAGGAACAGGGTATGAAATTTCCTATACAGCGTCTTGGGTAGAGTATCTTTTTCATCCGGAAACATTTCAGAGAGTGTAAAGACTGGTGAGTATCGGTCTCCCATGCATTTTGTGGTACCAACAGTTTTCTCCAAACAAACCCTCCTTCAATGATGTTAGTTTGAATATATATGCAAATCGAAACTACTAAGGTCTCGTTCTCTTTAAATTTGCGCTAATCACATTCTAATCCTTAGAATCGGTGTTAAAATTCAGCTCTTTTTAAAAATATACATCAGCTTAAACCCTTATCCATTTAATTTTACGTGTTTGCCTGCTTTTGGAGTGAGTTACAAAACTGAGCATTTTAACTCCTTCATGTTCTTCTTGTCTCCAGGTTATAGGTATCACTTTGCTAATCTACTGCTTGGATTACTTCAGTCCTAGTGGTTACCGGGCTAGGGCGGTCAGCACTGGTGAGGGCGATGGTGACGAGCTGAACTTGTTCAACAGTTTATGGTTTTCCCTGGGGTCTATTCTGCAGCAAGGCGCTGACAACACGCCTAGGTGTGCCTCTGGTAGAATGTTAGCTGGAGCTTTTTGGTTCTTTACCCTAATTTTGATTTCCACTTACACTGCAAACTTGGCTGCGTATTTCACAGGTAATGAATGACTGGATCATTATTCATATATGGGAGAGGCAATACGGCTTAGCTGTCAAATCAGGTTCCAGGGTTCCCTAGTGACCTCCATATTTTTTAACTGGGGGTAATACAGTTACGTAGAATATTTTCGCCTTTCAAACGTGGGTAAATTAGTTCAGTCTGTTCACCCCTTACCATCCCCAATTCTTTTCGTAACTTGTGTTGTGTGAAGGATGATTACTAAACAACAGCCTGCGTATACAGCCGTCTCTTCTTGCTCCTCGTCGCTATATAAGGAAACGTCCCTGGGGGCGAGGAGCGAGCAGAGACGGCTGCTTTTTCAGAATTAATTGAACAGCAAAACATTTTTTGATCATGACCAAAAACAACATTGATATCACCCAAACATCCATGTTACACTGTACCTACACACTCGTTTAAATTAATGCCCTCATATATTACCCTGAAGGCTAACAGTGACCTGTTAAAGGTGATTCTTTTTCAAAGCAATTAATCAACGAAGATTTCTTTCGCAGCCAAGAACATAAAAAGCACCATACAATCCTTAGAAGACCTGGCCAATCAGAACAAGATAAAATATGGTGTCTTAAACGACGGGTCACTTTCCGATTTCTTCAAAAAATCAGAAGTAGAAACTTACCAGAAAATGTATAACACAATGAAAAAGGGTAACACCTTTGTCAACTCGACAAAAGACGGAGTGGCCAAGGTGCAAGAGGGAGGGTTTGCTTACTTGACCGACGAACCATATCTAGACTACTACAACATGAAGGAACCTTGTAACACGACGATGCTGAAAAATTTGTTAGAAGCTAAAAGTTACGGCATTGCACTACAAAGAAATTCTGACCTGACGGATGAAATTTCAGTTGCAATACTCAAGGTAACTAGAAAAATTAATAAATGAGTAAATAAACAAACAAATAAATAAGTTAAGTATGTGAAGGAGTTTCTTATACATTTCCTGCGTTACCGGCTAACTATGAATGCAGTAAGAATAGCTAAAAACGCCAATACCGCGGTCTGACACAGTTTCTTCTCTAGTGATTCCCTCTTTACACTTACAAACTAGGTATTCCGCTTAGCCTTACTCTCTCAACCCACTCTACCACCCAGCCAGGCTCAATCCACTTACATATACCTTAAGGATTCCTCTACATCCCTGAAGTCCAAGGTGTAGTCGATTCTGTGTTCATTTTGCAGCTAAGGGAAGAGGGTTTCTTGGATAAGCTCCGTCAAAAATGGTGGGATCATCGCAGTGACTGCGAAAAAGAAAAGCCAGCGTCAGCTACAACGATGAGGATTTCTTTGGATCACATGGCTGGGGTCTTCATTGTTCTGGCAGGAGGAATAGTTGTATCTATAGTATTTCTGCTGATCGAAAGACGATGTAGCAATCTAAGGGAACAACTTAATAAACCAGAAGTAAGCAAAGATCGAAAATTCGAAGCATCTTAGAGTGTGAGCGAGTGAAGAAAAGAGTGGAAAATGTTAAGCTAGAGTGAAGAGAATGCATATGTTCAAATAACCGCGGGGAAACTTAAAAAAAAAAACGGAAATCCACTTTAGATTAGCCCGACAGACAGAAGAGAACGGAGAAACAACCCATCAGTTCAGTATGTCAAGATCACCAAACACATATAACTTTCCAACAAGCAGATGTTTTTAGGCTTCGTCTCGTGTTCCTTCCCTACGAACGTCGTTCGCAAGGTACGAACACGTGATGAAGCCCTAAGAACGTCCTCGAAGAAGACTACCGATCGCAGAGTATTATCCTTGAATAGAATGTATCATTCCATTTCAAAGGAACATTTCATTGCTAAAATACAGTTTCACGGCGGTTAGGGAAATTATAATTCTTTCAAGGTTGAAAAATGAATAATAATTCTCTTTACAGTCGATGATGAGCGTCAGAGATCAGATGGATCAACTGACGATGGCGCCGAGAGTCTTCTCCAGGCCTCTCTCCTTTGAGACCAAAACCTTCAACAACGTGGACAATATCAATTGTAGAAGCATGGACGCGAAGGATGGGGTCCAACCACGTGACAGCCTTGGGGTCCCGAGGAGGCAAGCCAGACTTCCCAATATTTATGCGGGTGCCCCGGAAAGTAATCTGTAAATGTCTTTTGGCACAATGAAGTTATACACCAAATGCGGTTGACGACTAAAAGCCTCATAGTCGAGTTATTTAAGAGTGTTTCAACATGTTTTGATTGGTCACACATAGAGAGATTTTACTTGACCCGTGAAATAGGTGGTAAAATACTACGCACTATTAGCCGTATTCATACTAGAGACGGATTATCCGTCTAAGACGGGTTATCCGTCGGATAATTCTCGTCAGACATATAATACGTCTTAATTTGAAAGTGGGGCGGTCTTAATATTGGATGGACAGTCCGCCTGAGTTATCCATCTGTTTTTCAGTCAATTTTGGCGGATTTTGAAGATGGATTATCCGTCTCTGGTGTAAAAACGGCCATTATGCGCTAATTCCATCGTCTTCTTTTGTTTACTTGTAGTTATTTTGCAATAGTTCTTATAGTATCTGTTTCACGGGTCAAGTAAAACCACTCTAATTCCAAGAATGCAAACCTTTTTGGACAGCTTCTCTTTGTTGTTTGTTTAGAAACTAGAAGGAAACAGGGGCCGAGTTAGCAGGGGTCGTTACCAGGGACGTGCCGGTCAGCTATTGGCCGATTTTTTTCCCTTGTCTCCAGTAACATTCCCAGAAGTCTTTTCGAAAGTTAACTCGGCCCAGAGGCCTGTTTCTCGAAAGTTCCGGTAACTTTTTGGACCCGAAAAACTGCAATCAAGATCAAAGTTTCAGAAATTTTGAAAATGCTGAAATGAAGTGATCAGTTAACGAAGCAAAATTGACTGGTTTGTGAGCTAGTAAAGGTGCTACTATTCAACAGGTTTTGATTTTAAAATTTGCCTTCGGGCCCGAAAAGCTCTCGTGCCTTTGGAGAAATGCGCGCCAGCAGTTTCCTTGTCGTTTCTAACGTGGCGAAATTAGTAGTACATTTGAAGGCACCTGGTAATCCAGGAAGGAGACACTCCCTCATGTGGCGTAAACATGTACGTGCCGCTGAACAGGGTGTGGTTTTCAGACTTGAGACATGAACAGGGTATAAAATCTCATTATTTAGCTTCTTGACAAGGGTGGTGCTTTGAGTAGTCTACATGTGGTAGCAACAATTTTTCCAAATATCTAATTCCATAAATTACTTAATTCTGTATGCGAAACGAAATAAATAATCGTCCTGAACTAAAGTTTCTGTCTTATCAGGGTAGCGAAATGAACAATTTTTGGCTTAAACAGCGTCGGGGGTTTGAAGGCCTCATTGGCACACCTTTACCCACAAGTCTCTTGAGTTCCTCCTTCCCTTCCCCCCCGGGCTGGCAATATATCAAGGCGTGCTAATAGCCCGTACTTCAAGTAACGCTAAGCTTCAAAATTAAATTGCATTCAATAAAAATGTATTTTTCGTCTCCGCTCATCAATGATACAAGTTGTTTAAAAAAGTAGAAATGAACACCCTGCAGAGGAAAGGAATTGAAGTAACTAAACGCTTTTCTCCTTATCATTAGAATCCTGACCGCCTTTTTGCTTAAAACCTGTCAAGGTCTTATCAAGTACTCAATGCTACAGCTTGTTTAGAAATGCTTTTTCTATTGCAGTTATAAGTCGCCATGGATATAAGCCACTCCGTTTATAAGCCCTCCTGACTAAAACCACTTATCAGGCTGTCATTAAGAGCCGGGGGCCGGGGATTTTCCCCGGCTATTAAGAACATGGCCCCCGGCTACTTTCATAGGAAAACAGAGGAAAAATAGAACCAAAAGAAATCCCTAGCTGTTTGATTCCCCGCCTAATTGTCGTATTTACTCGGCAACTTGAAATCTTAGTGACAACCCTGCTTATGCAGATGTATAAGCCCAAGGCGCACATGTATAAGCAGCAGTTTACGGTATTCAAAATAAAGGAAAGGGAAAAATTCTGACAAAAAAAGAAGATCGAACCTTAAGGTCCCAACTTTGGTATGCGATGGACATTTAGGCAGGGCCGCTGTCGTTGATGGCTAGGATTTCCTAGGCTACTTTCAAGGGAAAACAAAGAAAAGTCGTAGAACTTCTTAACTCTTTAATTCCCTGCCTATTATTTGCATATACCTGGAAACTAGAAAAATCAGCGACAGCTCACTGTGGGTCCATTAATTTAAACAAAGATTAAGTTAGACTGTGGTTAAAGACAATCACTTAACCTCCACTGGTAACATACATGTAATAGCAGGGGTACCCAACCTTATAACTGACCTAAAGCTGTATTGAGGTGGTGAGATGATGCATGGGGTAGGGGGCAGGGGTAAGGCATACAATAGTATACAATGATTAACAATGCAGCAAGCACTGCTTCAGCAAAAAAAGCTTACTAAAACTGATATGAGTTTATTAATTTTCAAAAAAAAGAAAATTTAAGGCATTTTTCTTAAAGGTCTTCCAAACATTACGTGATAAATGTTGTAGGTAAAATCCCTTCTCAGGTTAAATCAGAATTTCGTTTGTCTCCTGTTAATAAAATCCAACTAGTGGTCTATTATCAATGCTGTGTTCTGATTGGTTGAGCTACTACTGGGCTATATGATGTTATAGCCTGCTAGTAGCGAAAATCGCCGGCTTTTTGGCAGTGAAAAAGGATTAAAGTCTAGCTTTAACTAGTTAAAGTTGTTTTGTCTCGATATTTTTGACAAACTAGTTGGATTTTACTAAAACAATTATTCCTTGAGCCCTCATGGCCTCTAAGTTAATAGCCCATTCGGCCTTCGGCCTCATGGGCTATTGACTCAGATCCCATTCACGCTCAAGGAATAATTGTTAATTATTTTTCATTGTTTCATAGCCCTAACTATTAGAGATAGGACAAGAAGGAAAATTGTGAATCCAACTATTTTGAACAATGGATTTAGACAAGGGAATAGATTTTACCTAGAACATAAACCTTCGGCAATGCTTCCGGATAAAGCTTACATTGTACAAAGAGAAGAACAAGAACTGTAATTAACGAATTTATCAAGCCTCTAACACCATCATATTCAATACTTTTACATGTACAAACATTTAACTTGCTCTTGAAGTCTTTATTCGACAGAAACTGTGTAAGTCAAGTCAAGTCATCCTCAGTATCTTCTTCTTAAAAAGCAGCAGTTTCCCCAATTACGTTCAGTTTATTTCTTGCCATCAATGCTTTCTTGTAATGCTTTCACTCTGGTCTGTTTATCTTTTATCAATTTCTCAAGTTCAGCAACACGGGCTTCCTAAAATTTTAAAAGAAATCATAATGGTTACATTAAGAAAAAGGAATTTTTCATTGTGACAAGCAAGTGGGACAAAATTCTATAAACATGTATTGTTAGGCCCAGTGCATCATTGAATTTGTCATTTTATCATTGTACATTGTATGCTAGCATGTTGCATTTTGTTGTTAGTGAAACACACCTGTGCACTTAAACACTGTATCAGTCTCCAGCTGTTAATTAAAAAACAATTTTACTTCAAACTGCTTTGTATGATTGTCTTTACATGCAGATTTTGCAGTATAACTAATTTATTTTGCTTGATGTCTGCTATGGATGAACAAGAAGCAGAAAATAGCAAAAAATGTGGAAAAAGACAGAACTCTGATTCCCACAGGCAATTAAATTTCCAAAAAAATTAACCTGGCATGCAGAGCAGTCTTTTTTTTATCAGATAGCACCACATGACAAACAGATTACCCAGATACCTGACAGCTGTAAAAATGTGTATAGATTATACGCGAGACTTATTTACCAATCTGAACACAATAATTTTTCCAGAAAGAAATTCACCTGGGATGCTTTTGTTGGCCATTCACTGGCAATTTTCCTTAGATTTAATACAAAAATTTTTCTGTGTTTGCATAGCCTGATATAAACATGAGAAGGTGTCATCATGAGCAAATTATTGTCTTTGTTTTATCCACATGTAACATGATGGTGCTTGGATTCTTTCTTTGAGGGTGACGCTTTAATTTTTATGAAATTCCTCAGGGGTAGACCCATATTCTTCAGAGGTAGACCCATATTCTTTAGGGGGTAGGCCCATAATTATTCTTCAGGGGGTAGGACCCATACTTTTCAGAGGTAGACCCATATTCTCTTAAGGGGGTAGACCCATATTTTTCAGGGGGTGGAGACAAACTTTTTTTTTATCAGGGGGATAGACTAATACGTTTTGAAAGTCTGCAATTTTATTTAATCTTAAGTCCTTAACCGGGGGGTACGGATATAAAATGAAGTAGCCCATTCAAAGTGGTGTGAACATCCTGCCTGCCGCTTATGCACCACTTTTTTCTACCCACATTGAACAGCAGCAAGGCAAAAAGGAATCTATTTATATAACATAGTGCGCATGCTTGCCCCATATAAGTCCTATTAAGCCGCTATGAACAAAACCTTTATTTACGCACACCTGTGTGTAAATAAGAATTTCTTTCCTGATGACATTTTCAGCTGTGTTTGACACAGCTGACTGACATTCAGCTGGAAAAAAGACCACAAATAATTGGTCCGTGTCAGGAAATATCCAATTTGTATAAAGTGTCCTCCATTTTTAACGTTTCTTTATCCTTTACAAAACTTGTAAGTTAATTATAAATTAAGCTTAATAGTGAAAAATTAAGCACTTTTCTCGTCGCCAAACAATCCGACTGATGCAGAAAAATTTCTCTTGCAATAACAAGACAAATTACACAAGAAGACATGAATTTACATTTGTATTACTCACAAAAACAACTGCTGCCAGGTATCTCAAGAAGCCGTAATGACCAACCATTCACGGTTTGTAAATGAACAAAAAGTAGGATGAGAGTCGTCTTTGCTAAAAAACAAGTTTTCTGGATTTCGCCGAGGAAAACAAACATCTTTTCAGTGAATTCAAACCATACTCCACGTTTTCTAACTAACATGTGAGTATTTTAACTTTAGGTGGACTTTAAAACTCTTTTACCTTTGTTTCCGCTTAGTTTCCATTGACTGTTAATGAATATATAAGCAAATTTTCTTTCTCATTTTTAAGGAGAGAATTTTCTTTCAAACTAGATGATTGCGGAGTGTTTGTAACCAGCCAATAAAAGCATTTGTTTTCCTGTGTCGTGCCTTACAAGAACTTTGCAGTCTATCGAAAAGCAAGCATTTTTGTCAGCTACGTTATAAAAGAATTTGCTAATGCTTTTAGCTGTGTGTATATCGAGTTATGGATGCACTTGGGAAGTTTGGAGAGCACGCAAGAAGCTAGAGTTGCTCTCGGCTGCTCCTCGACCACCTCTTACGCATCTTTCGTGCTCTCCAACCAAACTTCTCGGGCGTGCATCCATAACTCGATATACGCAGGCTAAGCACGAACAACTTTGTTAGTTAAACATTTCTTTTAGAATTAGTTAAAAGTTGCAATGTATGTAGTATTACACACATCAATATGAGTATTATTGAACCTGACATTATTGTCATCCGTAAAGTCATGAAACTACTTTATTTACAATGGCTGAGTGTTTGCTAAGTCATAGATTATCAACTTTTGTGGCAAAATATCACTTGCGATAGCAAGAATTGTCGTGGTACAAGATAAACTGGTACATGTACATTTACACTGTATGCTGAAAATATTAAACGCGGTTTTACCTTGGCTTCGATATTCCAGTAGTCACGTACGTAATAATACACACTTCCACTGACAATCGCTCCCAGAATGATAACGCTAAATAGCAAACCTCGTCTTCTTTCAAGCTGTACCATGATGTGGTTTAAATATTTGAGAAAATGTTCAGGAACAGCAGATATTTTCACTTCGAACTTCTAAACGAGGGATGATCAATTCTTTTTACTTCATGTAAAGGATGTTGTAAATTCCCTTAAAGAAGCAGCCGCTGACCACATCAAGCTTGCGGACACCAACGTTGCAGGAATCATCGCCTGCGTTGCTGGCGGTTGTGTAGTAGTCGAATACTGCCAGCTACTCGGGCTACAGGAAACACTGTCCGAGACAATTTTCCTTCATTTGCCCGAAATGTGAGCAAAAGTTTCTGAAGTTAAATGTTTTGAATTGTTACGCCCGAATGTTTTTTGGGAAGTAATGTACTCCTGTTCGAAATATTGGAATTTTCTGGTTTATGTTTCTTTTTTTCGTGTGTTCTGTTCTTCACAGTGATCTGTGAAAATAAAAGTGCCGGCCACACAAAAACAGCTTTCAGGCTTTATCCTCTTATTACCATTCGAGGATTCAAGATAGTCTCTCTCTCTCCTTTCTCTGCATGTAGCCAAAATTCAGTATTTGTTTTAACAGCTCGATGTTAGGTGGGGCTGGCGGTAGGGGGCATTACTTTTTCTTCTTTTTTCAGTCAAATGACCGCAGCTTTTGTTAGGTTTATCTTCAAAAATCCGGCTAGTTATAGCTTAAAAAATGTAATATTACACAGAAAAATCCCAACTGGCAAGAAGTGAACTAGTAAGCTATTTAGGTGAGAAACAATATCCAGCTATATAGTGCCTATGACTGAATCTCGGCAAGATCGAACTGATAGGCGGATACCCAATGCAAATGACTAGGGATAGTAGCGCCGCATTTGCACGACTGTAATCAGGGCCGCTATAGGAGCGCCCATATCTGCCTGAAATAACCTCCAAACTAAAGCAACGTCTGTTATCCTCTGTTTATGACCACAGAATTATTGAGCTTATGGATGGTGCTTGCTTGTAAATGAAGGGAAAGCGGTAATTCAACTTATCAATTTACAAGACAGCTCTTTAGTAGTTAACCTAAGACAGACCTGAACATTTGTTGAGAAACGGTATTTTCAGTCTTTAAACCCTTGTTTGCCTTAGGCTCACTTACGGATGGCTTGGGAGCGAATTACTTTATCAGCTTGAGAGTAAATAAGTCTATAAGTAAGAGAAAATTTGCGGCTAAAAGACAGAGAGAGGAGGAGGCGGGGGGGTGGGGGGTGGGGAGAAAGAACATAAGTCAACGTACGTTCAAAAAAATAATTTAAAAAAGATACCAGAAAAATAAAAGGAGACTGTTGCCTTTCGATACAACACATTAACCAGCACTACAAAATCAGTGATGGAAAACTAGAGTGTATATAGAAATCTGGCCTCTGCTGAAATCAATTTATAATTAGTCTCCTATCATATCTTACAAAATAGGAAAATCTCTGAAAGATTAGCTTGCAAGAGCAAATATATGACTCGAAGGCCTTGATAATGCGACGCAACCAATGATACGACGGCACCAAGAGAACTGAAATAATAAAAGCAATTGCCAAAGGTAGTTGTAATTAACATAAAAATAATTCTTAGGATTCGTTTGGAAAGCTGTTACAACTCCCTTTTCAGACAAAGTATCGTCTAACGTCTAGCAGAAACATCAAATATTTAGTTTACTTCTTAGACCAGTAACTGAGGTTAGTGGTGATCAGTTAAATGTAACCAAAACCAGATTTCGGGGAAGTAAACATAAATCATTATGGTCAGTGACTGGCAATGCGAGAAGCCAAGTTTAATTAAAGGTTTTTATTTATCAATATTTACAATCTTTCTTGTGGACAACTTTTGTTATTTTCAGTGTGGTGTGCATACCTATGAAAAGCTGTTAATCACTAAACTACCTATTCTTTCATAATAAGTTCTATATTTCTTTAGTCTGAGAAGGATCTCATTATATATGTATCACCATTTCATTCACGTTGCATAAATCATTAGAGATTTTGTCCCATGGAAATCAATTAGTCCTTCCGAAAACACTTAAAGATTATAATTTAATCCTTTCAGAGAAAGGGTACCGCAAATTAGTTCTAACAGTAAACTACGCTCTGTACAAAGAACAATCATTGGATTTTAATTATTTCTGCGCGCTTCTTACTCTAATTTAAGAAACTAAATATTGCCTAATAAAAAACGTTAGTGGTGCGTAAGACATGAAATATCTTCTCTCTTCGTTTTGTCATAGTGTAATTCTTTTATCATCGCAAGATAAGCTAAAAAAAGTAGCATTCATTATCAGCATTCTAAGGGAGTAGCAAGCTGACTAGCCGTGTGAACTTTATTGAATGTCCTGGCGCGTTCTTTGTTCAAGAGCCGTCATTTATAACACAAGTCCAAGAAACAAAGCCGAAATGTATTTAAATAAAAAGCGAAAAGTCCTTACAAGAACGCCATGTGACAATAGCCGATTTAAACACCTAAACAAACAAAAGGGAGAATTTATACGAAGAAAAGAAACGCATCGGGTTTGACTGACGAGATCACAGTTACTAAGAGGTGCGTGTCCTCCCAAAGAGCGCAATGCAGAAATCATCAGTTTTGCCCCTTATGCTCCTCTGTCTTGCAGTTTTTGGAGGTAAGGACCCTTCAAGTAATTCGCCGGCTTTTGAGACCAAGGATTTTTTTCAGATTTCCATTTCGGATGACTTGTTCATTTGCCATGTGCAAACCAGAACTTCAGTCAGTTTTAATTTCACTGTTACTTCTGCATTTAGTTATGAAACCATACCCTTAATCTTAGAAGAATTGATCTCCACTGCTTTGTGATTAACCAATGATACTTAACAGTCCATCATTTCATTGGTCCGTTAATAAGCCTGCAAGTGGTTGCCATATTCTAGAATGGTAGGGTTATATTTTGCACTAATAAAACAAGTATTCATTCACGAATTACTTGATACTTTAGGTAAACATTTAAGCTAAAAAGTGAGTCAAGGTACTTTTTTATGCAGTTCCAAGGGCAAAATATTACATGTTTTGGATATTGTGAAGTGTAAAGAGGATTTGAAATAATTTGAAACAATTCTTTAGTTGAGCGTATGCTCAATCATTCATAAAAGCAGTGATTCTTGACAAAAAAGAGCAAAGAACAAAGAAAAACCTACAGGAACCTCCTACAGAGAACATTTTACTTCATCTACAAGGCGGAAAATTCTCCAGAATTTAATGACTTATTGAAAAGCGTTCATTTGCCACGGATTGAACGTGCCTCTCATATCTTACTGGCCTGTTTTCAGTCAAGGATAGATAAATTACTGAACTCAGAAAGTGGCATACTTAGGACGTTTTCCCAGAAAGATTACCGTATCGTATCAATACGGTTATTCAAGTTTCCCATTTAACCAATTTACTAGCTACTAACTGTGCAACTTTACATAAAAGGCAAGTCAACTGCATGCGCAGTTGCGATAGTGATGTTTCAAATTTAAGCTTAGACACACCAAGTCACCTGTACTTAAAATCTACCTTACTGGCCTTTACCAAGGGGTCACCTTAATTTTCAGTTAAAAGGGATACGAGGTCAGTCTCAGTAACAAATTCTTTAGTGTAAAATTAATCCGCTCTTTACTGCAATACACTCTGTTAAGCTGTAGAGGTTCCATACTTTACCATGCTGAAGGTTAGCGTAGGATACAGGCTACTTCACTTGCCGTATGAAAATACTAGCCTGCATTTTAGCGCAGCACTTATTTTTACTTAGAGAAAGGTATCGTCCGCTGATATCACAACTAATAAACTGAACAATCGCTGAAGGCTTCCAGCCTTTTTAATACGCTGTGATTGGAGAAATTTACCGTAAAATCCTGAAAAAGAATTAAAAAGGGCTCGAATATAAATCCTCCTTTGAAATTCAAAACGGAGAAAACCTTCTTGTTATACTGAGAGAAAAGCTTCTAGTATTAGCTTTGAGGAACTGTATTTGTACAATTTCTGCCCTAAAATACCAAGAAAAGCGTATCAGAAGCGCAAGCAAGAGAGAACGACTAATAGATATTGATACTGTTCAAAAACCCTGACGCGAGTCTCCACTTGTTAGATTTACATCCAGCTTTTATCACTGAGTTTTGTGTAAGGTATTGCATTTTTTATATAGCTTATTGTCGTTGCATTCGAAGTTAGCATGTTCTGAGGAATGAAAGTCGTCATCAAATTTCTTTTTGATGCCCCGACATTATAATTTGCACGTTCAAAATCTTGTTGACGATTGAGCCTCCTAGTAGACAGTTTTGAAACTGAGCCCCTCCTTAAATATTTAAGCTCCCTCAGAATATTAATTTTGTTACCTCTAAAAAAGTGATTTGAAAAATTTAGGCCACGAGGCTTATTTGCGCAAATTTTACAGTATGCCCTGATCAGCAGCCTACTCGTTCACTGCATTAATTCATGGTAAACCACACTTAAGGGTAGGTCAAATCTTTATTGCCTTTGAATCAGAGAACCAAGGAAAGGAAACTGACTGTTAACTGGGAAAAACCAAAAATTGTTGACATGCATTGAACTACGGTTTTCCCGTTATAAAACTTTGAAAGCCAGAGTTTTGGTCAGCTGCCAAACAGTGATATGACTCAGTATGTTTTAAATATCAAAACTTCTCTTTAATTTCCTAAACTCACTCACTGATAGGTTAAAACTGCTTTAGTGACCACTGAGCGAGGTCATGTACCAATCAGAAACCTAGAGCTTTCCAGAATTAAGACGACGGAGTGGTACGCAATGTTAAACCGGGTTAGACTGATTGTAATAAAGTCTTGTTTTTCATTTTCGTTTAGATAAAAACAAAATATGACATGTTTGTTTTGGTTATAAGTGCGGCAGAGGACATTAAACAAGTGTGAAAATCAATAACACCAACTATCCAAATTAATTGCTTCCGGCTGCAAAAGCGAAATTCAGTGTTTCCATGTCAACCAAGAGGATGTCAACCCATTTCGCTATAGCTCGGAGTTCTGTAGAGGGAGGGCTTGCTTTTTCGGATAAGATCGCCACCAAGGCAAAGTTTCTCAGCTGTATTAAAAAGCAGTGATACGTTCGGTACAATATTAATTTTAACGAACTGGAACTTCGATGTCAACTTTAAGTGCCATTAATAACGAGTTTCTGGAAGCAAACTGAATGTGCAACTTTTCTTTCATTGATGGGTTTATTTATACATACATACATACATAAACTTTATTTATCCTCGGATTTTAGTGTAGCTTATTTTAGAGGATATTATATTTAAAATATGTTTGTCTTTCCTGAGGCGTTCCAAATTAACTTCCTGACGATTTCTTTTTAGTGCAAAACAAATTAAAAAGCCGTGATGATAATGTCTTTGTAATTGTTCTGAAATAAAAAAAAAACCATCTAATTATATTCATTGAATGCAGAAAATTGACAGTTTGTTGATCATAGTTTAACCTTTGGACGCTAGCAAATTTGAAACGTTTTTAAGGCTTAATTAAATCTTCAATTTACCGCTTTAGTGGCAGTGTCCTGGTGACTTAGTGAGTTTGTACACCATGGTAACCTATCTTACCGTAAACTTCTCTCAGGAATTGGAAAAAAGGAACAAAGAAAGAAAGAAAGAAAGAAAGAAAAAGAGAAGAAATAATTTTTTTCAAAAACGCTGGCTCAACCCGTAACTGCCAGCCCGGGTGTTGGAGCACACTTACTTAATTTCTTTGAATTTTATTGTAGGTGGACACAAGGACGTTCGCTTGAGCCCGGAAGATGCTAATTCATTCGGCGGCAAGGTTCGCAGATCGGCACTTCACAAACTTTTTGGTATAAACATTTATCACGAATGTTATGTTGAGGGCTGCTCGTTTGAAGAGGTCAATGAAGTTGACGAAATACCATCCAAACAAAAAAAAGTGAGTAGCCTCAAATTTATTTCATTTCTTGATATCATGCTATAGTCCAGTTTTAAATTCGTCGCAGCCGCTGAATAGAGGCACTGAAGACTCATTTATACAGGATTAGCCTCGACCTAAAGTAAAATGTTTACAAATACCGGCGAGAAGGTGCCTGAATTGACTTTAAAACAATAGACAGTTGTACACAGGTCTTCTTCTGACTGGAATTTATGATATATTTACCTTAGATCGAGGCTAACCCTGTATAAATGAGTCTTTTGTGCTTCTATTCAGCGGTCACGACGAATCTCGAAACTGGACTAGTAATACAGTTAGAGTGACGTTGAGCGGCGTTAGACACAAAGGTAAACCTTGTCCCCAGGGTTTTCTCCCTCCCCTCTTTTCCTAACGGAAAGGCCTGGGGAAGAGGGATACAAGTCGGAGGCTGGAGACTAGTTTTGATCCCAGGCCTGGTCCAATCTTAAGGTCCAATCGGTGTCTTATTTAAAGACGGAAACTAAGGGCGCTTTCCATTTGTCAGAACTTATCATGAATGGCTTGACAATTCCCATCGTAATGAAAGCATTTCACTTTTAATCAAAACTATCTAGCCTGACATCACTCAAATTCATAATAGTTTAATGCACAAAGGGGATGATTTTTCAGCCAAATTTCTCGGTAAAAGCCCTTTTCATTTTCGAAATGATTAGTCTAGCCGGCCAGTTCTGACAAATGGAAGCGACCTTAGTTTGCTAGTAACTATTGCAGTTTAGTAAAATCCAACTAGTGGTCTATTGTCAATGCTGCGTTCTGATTGGTTGAGCTACTACTAGGTTATATGTTATGTTCGTAACACCGGTTCCAGTTTGCAAACACTTAGAACTTTCTTAGTAAACTCTATCAAATAGTTTAGTCAATTAACAGCGAACCTGTTGGAAAGATATTCAAACTTTCAACATTGAAAAGTACGTGACAACCTTTAGCTTTGAGGTACTTTGCTTAGCTTTTTAATTTTGCAAATTCCTCTCGTTTGACCGCGGCGGAATCCCGAACTAATCTAAACGTATCTTAATCCCATCTTGCTTGAAGAGGTCACTCCATGGAGTAGCACATGTACATGCAGTAATAAGTGGCCAGGTGGATCCTTCATTTCTAACCCAACCTGATACATGCTACATGCGCACGAGACAGGGTTGGGTTGCGCTTGTTGTGGTTGGTATATCAGTTACACCAGCTTAACCTAACCTTTTTCGTTTGTTTGCAAATTTCCCAAAAGGCACTTGCCACTTAAAAAGGATACGTCATCCTCTGCGAGCTTTAATATCTTCCCGAATCACAGAAAACCTAAGAAAAGTATACTGCGCCACATGGGAGTCTACGCAAACCGTTTTTACATTGATCATATTACAGTAGTGCCTTTTTCCGTCTTATTTGAACTGATAAAGAAAGGGGAAGGAAGCAATGACAAAGGCCAGTTCATCGCCAGCGGTGGATCCAGAAAAATTCATACGGAGGACCGGCTGGTGGCAGTTCCAAGTGTTTTTCTCAATAGGCATAAGTCTTTTTCGTTGTGATTTTATATGAAATGGGACTGTTAGTAAGGGTTTAGTGTCCTCTTGGGTGAGAGGGGTGGGTGCGTAGAGATTCCTCACTAGAAACATTTATACGTAAGCGTACAGCTAACAAGATTTCTTTCAAAGCAGGTCGCGATGCTGTCACTTTGACATTTGCGACCTCGCTTATTGATTTGAACAGATAAATTATCAATCTAAAGATCAATCAATCAATGATTTTTTTGTGTTAACAAGGCTAGCTAACATTATGTTATTTTCATTTTTCTTTCAGTACGAGTACTACTACACTTATACCTGTTCGAAATTTGGCCGACACTGCAAAGGTTTGTGCATCCTAATATTACAGACCACATTTCTTTTACCCCCCCTTCCCCCCCTTCAATGTTACATTCTCGTGGAAAAAAAAACAACAACAACAACAACAACAACAAAAAACAAGAAAACAAAACAAATACTAACAGAAAAAAACCAGACTTTTCTGTGTATACCGCTTGGCCTCTAGGTGAGATTGGGTTCTCAGTGAGAATACATAATATACAGGCTGTCCAGATTCGTTTTGTAATATAAGACGTAGAGAGTAAATTTCAGTTTTGAGGCGAATCTCTTCATCTATTTCCGTTCGCAAAATATTTGTGACTTACCTTGTATTTTTGATGTTTCTACCTTTTGGAGCCATTTCGAAACCTTTTTAATTTAGTGAGAATTTTGTGTGATGCAACTTAAGATAGTAATACCAGTTCCAATAAATGTATATAACGTACTCTCTCTTTTGCTCCGTTTCTAGTCTCTTTTAATGAACCCCTACCCCCCACCCCCCATGCATATGATTGGCATTACATGCGTACAAGCTATGAGTAATTGATACTACATATATGTGAATAGGTGAGTTACTTTTTTATTTTACAGTTCCTTGTACCTACAGAGATGACTGTAGCTTCGGAAGCTGGGGTAGTTGGCAGGGAAATATCAAGGTTAATAATCCTGGATGTTATAAACAGACCAGAAGCAAACCGTACAACCACCCACTTCAAACTGTGATGAGGCGTCACGGCTGCGGGGGACTCAACACTAACTGCGCGGCTCCGCCTGTTCAAAGCAGAATGCAGTGTAAGTATACGTGTCCCTTCGTTGCTATAATAAGGTGCACACGTTCTTTGAAATCAAGGAGAGTGAAATGAAAAAATGTAGTATAAATATTTCTGCCTTCGTTGCTGTAATAAGGTACACTTTCGACCTCATCAAGAGACTACCCTACGAGCAGAGGTATCTCTCATACATCACTTTTAGCGTTTACGAGGTCGCTCGCGTCATTTGTCAAGATAAAACTAGAAAAATGAGAAGAATAAACCTAGAAGAGCTCTCGCAAAATTGTGCGCAGAGGGATCAAGAACAAAAACTTTACCCGCTGAAGGTCGCATAGAATCTAAAAGCAATTTTGTTTTCGCGTCTTACTGGATCTGGTCCTTGTGAAAACCGTAACCCTGCCATTCCATTATAAGGGAACTCTGGATTCTGGAATCCCGGAAAGTTTTTCTTGGAGGGAGGCCCTGGAACACTGAGTTGGAATACAAAAAGCGTTATCATTTTTACAAATTTTGAAACAATATTGTACACGTAATGTTGGATCTTGAGGGAAACAGTTAGTTTTGTTTTCCCGAGAGTCCTGATGTTTCCCTCGACTTCGTCTCGGGAAATTAAACATCAGGACTCGAGGAAAAACAAAACTAACTGGTTTCCCAAGGGACCTGGCATTAAGTGTTTTGTTACATTTCTAGACTTTCACTTCAACGGCAACAAAAGAATAACCAGAATGAACCAAAACAGTCGACTCGGTACTTATAACAACACAAATTTAATTCTTAAAGCCACTGAATGAATGATTTACAAAGTACTTTCCTTATATTATCTGGCTTTTTCCTCCATTAGCTGCTGTTTCTCTTCTGGGATGACTTTAAAAATCGTTGCTTTTTAGCTTGAGGCTTCGTGTTTGTGTTCAAGTTGTTGTGCTCATTCACCAAAAAGAAAACTGGCAGTGTTTTTCATCCCTTCTGTCTCACCACTTTCCACCATTCTTTGATCACGTGCTGATGTAGCCCAAGCGGGGTACATTGCTTAATGTATCACAATGGGGATACATTTGATTTTAATCAACGCCACGTGACCAAGAATCAACCAATGGCAGTCCCTGATTAGCTGAGTGAAAGTCTAGGAATATAACAATACTTTATGTTTCATCAGGTGTTTGTAAAAAAGCCAACTGTCAGCCGGGATCCTGGAAACAGTGGTCAGGGGTCATAAAGCAGGGTACCTGTGGTACACAGACCAGAATAAAACCACAGATTCTGACATGGACTACAATTCAGAAAACAGGCTCTTGTTCGGGAGTGCAGACATCTTGTCCTGAACCTGCAAAGGAGAGTCGGAAGATGTGTAAGTATTTCTTACACGATAAAACGAAAAGTGCTCAACGGTTAAGCTTTGTAATCTTATTGTTTTACCCTGTGATACAGTTTGTCTCTTTAAGTGACGCGATTTTCTGCCACTGCACTAAAAAAGTCACTTGAAGCTGACTTGATCAAGTTTTCTCTCAAAGTTTCGCTAAACTTTTCGTTACATGGACAGAATAAAGTAACTCAGTAACTCTAAAGTGAGGCTTCATGACAATTTCTTTCTTAAGCCGAATTATAGACAGTTTCATCCTACCATTTCACTTTTAGAGAAACTGCCAACTTGAATCTCTAATGTTTGCAGTAAACTTTCTGATTCTGAATCTCTCCAATGACGTACAGCTGTCTATTTTTATACGGCTTTAATCCTGACTAGAAATGATATTATCAAAAAGAAAAATATTTGCATCTTATTAGTACTAAACCAATTGGAATGGACTTTGTCTTTTTCAGGTAGTTGTTCCAAGGCAGAGTGTTCATTAGGAGACTGGAGCGAGTGGGAAGGCAAAGTCGAACAGGGTCGTTGCGGCACACAAAAGCGAAGACGGGTATACACGAAGGAAACTGTTTACGAACAGCACGACAAGCAATGCCCTAGCCTTCCTCAAAATTGTCTTGCACCTGTTGAAGAGAGCCGTGCAATGTGTAAGGAAACATTAATTGGGCATTATAATAATTCATATAAACGTTTGGACGTTAAATCACGTGTACGTTGTAGTTAATTTTTTATCTCAGGTAATTTTTATTTTTCCTTTTTTTCAACTTCATTAGCAATCATTACCATACCCAAAAACAAAATAAAAATAAAATTACCTGAGATAAAAAATTAACTGCAACATGTGCATTGAGCAGGGGTTCCTGGATTTAGTCGTTTCATTGTAATGAGATGCTTACCTGATTGTCATCCGCGCCCTATTGCAAAGGACACCTCCTCCCGAACGCCGCTGATTACGATGTGGACGTTTCTCCTTTTTTTAATTTAGGAGCGGACGTTTTCGCATTCCAAGTTATACTACCATTTAAAGAGAGTATACTGATTAAAAACCAGTTTTCACGATTGACTTCTATTAGTTGACAGCTAATTAAGATTACTTTCTCTAAAAACTAAGTAGAACCGAACTAACTTTTGACCGTGATCTAACAAAGTAGGGGGTTAATACAGAAGTGGCAACTTCTCAGCATCTAACGTAAAAAATCACTTGACGGGGGAGAAACTTTACACAGACTCACAGCAGTCGATTTAGAAATTGATCGAGTTGATGAATGTGACTCATCAAGCCTTCTGTCTTGCTATACATGTAGGTAGCTGTAAATATGCCACATGTTCGCTTGATGATTGGTCCCAGTGGGAACCTCAAGAACTGGAACATGGTAAATGTGGTCAGCAGCAAACCCGTAAGAAAACATATTCGCTGACTTGGGCTTATCAGTCGCATGCGGAACAGTGCCCCTCCCTGCCGCAGACATGTCCTGATGACATCGTTGAAAAGAGAACGCAATGTAAGGGGATAATCAACATTTTAAACCACTCTATTCCTCTAAGTATTAAACAAAACGCACTTAATTATAGAGTATTTAGCAGGAAAAAACTAATTGGGGACACTATTTTTACGGCGTCTCCTACTAAAGACGGGACCACTGTTTGTCATAAGCAGTACCTTCATTTTGCACTTACATTTTGAGACCCCCACCCTGGAATTGACCGCTCCCGACCAGTCCCCGCTTTCTACCGCCAAGAGCTTCCGACTAAGCTAGCCCCAACGTGTTTTTTTTTTTTGACAGAAACTGTTCGATATTAGGAGAGTTCTCTCTTGTCGATATCCATTACTGTTTGCTAAACGGCTTCTAAATAGTAATGTAGAAAGGAGCTTGAAGAACGTGGTAAACACTTCAGTTGATCTGAGTAAAGTTCTACAATAAATCCACAGTAATCTGTAATTATTTGTTCATTTAGGAGGTATGTTTTAAAAAAGTATACGAGAATTCTTGTCAGGGTTTGGACAGGTTGAGTTGGATAAGACAATATATGAATGATGCTTTATCAAGACCTCCGATGGAGAAAGCCACTGTCTTAGACTATCTCAATTACATCATTCATTTTTTATTTTTCAACAAGAAACGTGTTAATTGAAAAATTTAGAATCAGACTGAGTCGATGCTAATGACAATATTAATACTAATACACATTCATTATATTTATTGGGCCAATTTTCGAGTTCTAAAAACCCTCACTTTCGAAACGAGGGTAAGTGCAAAATCTTCCTTGTGACAATGAGTTCATTTGTATGAGAATAAAATATCTTTTTCATAACAATAGCTTCGCACTTATCCGAGAGGCTTGGGACAACTCGGTTTTTAATACAGTTAATACAGTTTTTTTTTTGCATAAAAAGGCAAATGCGTTTATAGAGACTCCTGTGACGTAAGGGCATGGAGCGAATGGGATAAACCACTGACCGAAGAAGGCTGCCAAGTGCAGACACGAACCAGAAGCTACGTTTATCCCCTTAAACATTCTGTGCAGAAGGACTGCAGTGGCTTGCTAACATCTTGTATAACAGAACCAAAGGAAAGCAGGAACTATTGTAAGTACTTTTCGAAAATAACTAATATAGTACGCGCGCTCTGATTGGTCGAGAGGCGTGTTTGTATGAGAGTATGTAAACATGGTTGTGAGGTCAAGATGTTTTGCTTTTCGCGCGCAAATCACGCAAGCACGAATTTGAAAAAGGTTTCGAGTTGAAAAACTCGACAAGTTTACTTTATTTACCAATTTCCTCGTCGGTTGAAACTTGAAAAATCTTTAGAAACATGCTGTGTCAATTTTTTTTCGCTTGAGCTGACATTTTAAGGGAGAAAAACCCCTATTTTAGAAAGCATCTTTTTTGCAAAACAAAGACTGATAACGTGTACAAGGTTAGTGTACAAGACTTCGCGACTGGTAAGAATTTCTCTTTTAATCATTGCTCTAAACAAGAGAGTTTTGCTTTTTTCTCGGGAAAGTTATTTTATAAAAGCAAAAGAAAACTTTCTTTCTTGTGTTTGCATATCCTGATATAAACGCTCGAGGGGTTGGGAGAATTCTCGACAGCTATGCAAACCCTCGACTTCGTCTCGGGTTTGCATAACTGTCTCGAATTCTCCCAACCCCTCTCGTGTTTATATCAGGCTATGCAAACACGGAAAACGTTTTCTTTTGCTTAAGAAGAACTTAAGAACCCGTGCACTTAAACGTTGGCACAAAAAGGGCAACTATACAGCAGTTCTGCATCAGCTGAAATCAAGTATACAAGATATGTGAACAAACTTCTTGAACGAAGACAAGGAAAAGCTTTGTCAGGGTATCCAGTACGACAATTTATGTAATTGCTTCCCCTCTATTGATTCGCTTGAAAACTTTCGCTCGGGCCCCAGTTTTTAAAACATTAGATAGCGCTCTCCACAAGATAAATCACTATCCAGCGGATAATATTAGGAAAACCAATCAGTTGAGTCACCCACTGAACAGAGAGAGATTTATGCAGAGGATAGCATTATCCACCTTCAAGAAAATTGGGGCTTTCCCCTATGGATCTCCTACCTCCCAGATCTAATTGTGAATGTCCACCGGAACCCATCCCTACCTTTAACACAGCTTAATTTTTACTCATAATTCTTAAACCCACTTTACTTTTTTAATTTCATCGTTGCTTCTGTAACTAAGAAAATGCAATTTTTTGACACAAGGCAAGTGCAAACACGTAGCGTGTACACTGGCTGAATGGTCCAATTGGAGCAGTGCCGTCCTGGCAGTAGGGCGGTGTGGGAAGGAGAAAAGAATCAGACATTATGTTGCTGAGGAAAAGTTCACTTTTGCCGAAAATTGCGACGGACTCACAACGTCATGTCCTGCCAGTCAAGAGGAATCAAGAACGATGTGTATGTTTAAGTGTTTTTAAGTTGTCTCTTAATTCTGCAAGCTTGTTTTAGAATTTATTGGTTATAGAATTTCTATGAGAAGCCCATTATTCTAAGCCTTCGGGCCGTTCTAGAGGATCTCATGGATAACCTGTGCGCGCCTAAAAATTGCCCAGAAAAATCTGGCCGAGACTTCAGTTTTTGTGAAAAAACGGAATGTCTTTATTCGCAGTACACTTTCTGGGGTCATGCATTACTGTTTATTTGAGAACAAATCTTAATTAATAAATAAAAACGACAAATTACTTTGAAGATAATTAAGGAATACGGGATATCATTTTGAGCTAAAACATTGAAGGCTAACTTCAAGTTATGTGACTGTTTTCTTTTCTGTGCGCAGGCAAATGCCCGTATGTCACGTGTGACATTAGTGACTGGAACCCATGGCAAGGAGCGCTTCCCGCTGATAGCTGTGCACAGCAAATAAGAACAAAAAACGTTACAGAGAAACAACACGAAAAGATTCAAGCTGCAAACTGCGACGGCTTGCAAACAAACTGCCCCCCCATTCCTCAGGAAACAAGGCAGTGGTGTAAGCTTAACTTAATATTTCTACGAAGTTAAAGCTGAAATTGTTGATATAAAAGCAGTACAGTGTTATTACAGTTTTAATCGCTGGAATGTGTGATGAATGTATTCGTATCGTTTTCACCGTCTTGAAACACGTTACAAGAATTACGAGAAGCATTTGCTGAAATACAGCGCATTAGGCGTTTATTTTCTTAAAGAGAAGTCATTAAAGGAGCTGCGTTATGAAGTCCTTCAAAATCCGAACCATGGAAACCGCCACCATATTAAGTGAAACATGAAAAGACCAGCTCAAAACAGTAAATGAAAGTATAAAATAACGCAGTAAATATAAAAGGAGGAACGGATGGACAAATTTAAAGAAGATTGAAACGGATTGCAATTACTAGGTTTTTGAAAACTTGTTAGCTTAACAATTTTTCAGAGTTCATTCTTTTTGCATGTAGCTTTTGATATAATGCTGGGGAAAAAAAATTGTTTGACATGAAGCAGTGATTTTTTCATTTGCGAGTAATTTCTTTGCTGACGGTAAGTTCCATTGAGAATAAGGCTGACGCGTTATTGACAATATTAACAAATTGAACTAGCACAGTCGTGACACAGCCCCTTTAAGTTCGCGTAAAGGAGATACGGCTCTAGCGCTCTAAGATTTCTGTGCTATCAAAAAAGTAGCATTTTGCTGAAGCAGATTTTGCCTATAGTGTGTATGGTATTTAATAGTTTCAATATTTACCAAGTTTATTTGCAAGTTTTCTCGCAGACGGCGATGTATCCAAGACGAAGGGCTGGATGAAAAATTCATTCGGACCACTTAACTGGAAACGAATAAGTGTATCTATCAAGTAATGATTATTGATGTCACAGGAATTTTTATTTTTAGGTAACTGTTCCTTCAGAGAAAACTGTTTGTTAAATGACTGGAGCGACTGGACTGGAAAAATTCCAAACGGAGGATGCGCAGTGCAGATTCGAACACGTGACTACAACAAATCCATTGAATATTTTGAACGAGAAACATGTGACGGACTGGACTCTTGCCCTGTTATAAGAGAGGAGACTCGAACTAAATGTAAGTAAAGGAGATAGTGGTGCCAGTTTGGTTCACATCACATGAGGCCCCTAACCGTGCCCAGAGCCTTAGCAGGCAACACGACAGTGACCGTTATCATTCAATTTTAACGGTTAGATACACAGGTCTGTTTTATCTGAAATAGAGAATAAGGGTTACCAGAAGCATTCCTCACCCCCTCCACCTCAAACAATTCCCCAAAGTACCGTCCCCAGGCCTAGTCGTGTTTTAAGTTTGGTTCTTAATTGCATTTCGGTACATAAAAAGTGATATTTAATTATGACCTATCTATTTAACTGACAGAGAGAATTCTCAGTTGGGTTTGTAGCGTGGCCCAAGATGTTTGTCACTAATTTTAGCCGGTTGCGATAAACCATATGAGTCACCATTTAACTACTAAAATCCTCATGCTATATTCGTGTAGTACTGCTTATTATTCTGTGCAAACTCACAAACGTTTTCCAGCGTTTAAGGATGTAAAGGGTGCGGCCAATCATTTAGTAGGTTATAATCAGAGAGCGAACTGTTCGGTTGAGGGTGAGGTTCATTAACTTCGACAATGCGCATATTCACTGAATAAAAGTTGATGTAAGTTACAGCGCTGTTAGTTTGTTGACATTTATAAAATGATCTGAGGCAAATTAGCAAAGTTAAGGGTGTTATAAAATGTTCCCGGCAAATGCCGTTATTAAAGAGTTGTTAATATTTCGCATTCATTAGTTATCACAATAAAGTCGTGTTGTATCGAATTACAATGTAATTACTAACAATACAAACTTTTCGATTATATAAATAATTGATGATGATAATTTGTACTGCACAGGCAACTGTAACGAGGTCATCTGCTCCTGGGGAAACTGGACACGGACCAACTACAACCCTGAAACTAACTGTTATCAAGAAATAAGAGTCAAAAATGAGTCGAGTGGCTTTAAAGTAGTCGAGCAATCAGAAAACTGCGATGGTATATCAATCCAGTGTAGTAGCCCCGAGATTGAGAAACGAGAGGATTGTAAGTGAATCACTTTGTTTTAAAAGAAGTGAGAAATTATCCTAGCAATATGAGTTAAATTAAACTCAATTTATTTGTAGTTTGAAGCAAAAAGTGTAGTTCACTACTTAAAACAAAAAAAAAATGCATGAAAAACCGATCAATATGGTCGTGGCTACCATGAGTGCCTAAAATTGACCTAAATCGTAAAATAAATTCGAAAATAAGATATTGCGAATCAATAAAGTTTTGCAAATTATTTCTCAAGGCTTCTCAATTCTCATCTGAAAATGGTATCAAAGATTTATCAAATTAAATTAATAACCATGCACTATGCATTCGCTTTTCGATTTTGAGCTGAGCCGTTAGGGTTAAATGGATTGTTTCAGATAGACAAATTTACGTTTCCTATTTCCTGACGAAGCATTTTTCTCGTCGTATGCAAGCCTGACTATAGTATCTTGGAAATAAGGAAACCATCTTTGAAGCAGGAAACAAATACAAGGCGAATTGTGATCACTTGGGGTAAAATCCAAGAAAACTTAACTTAATTTGACTTCTGTCTATTAATTTTCTCTTACCAGGTATAAGTGGTGGTGGTGGTCATGTTATACACACCAGTGAGGCTCCTCCAACAACTGAGCCTTCGACCACAACAGTGGCTCCGACAACGGGATGTAAGTCTACGTTAGTGTTTTTTTTTTTGCACTTGTCAGTTTCTAACTAGCTTTGAGACAACAACTTTTAAGCGACCTGTTCTCCCGTTCAGCATCGTAGCTCAATCTGTAGAGCGCTGAAAAAGGTTGAAGACGAGATTTCATACCGTAAACGATTTTATAGACGGCCTCTATCAAATAAACGCCTCAGTCATGTCAAGTTTGCTTTAGACGCCCCTCTCAAGTAAACACCCCCTGTCTAATAGACACCCCTTATGGCAGTTTGTCTAAAATACTAGCAAAGGAGTGAAATAGAGTAAAATCGTTCAATTTATTCAGTGTCTTGTCTGATTAACAATAGTTTGCCGCATCGCATTTTGTTAAGTGTCAAGCTCAAAGCAAGGATTCTGACATCGAAGTGGAGATTTTTAACGATCTGGATCTCTAAACGGCCTGGACGTATCAATGGATGGCCTGGGTAGACTGCAATTTATAACATACTATGTATATTATTTTTTTTGGAGTTTCATAAGCAGGTGAAGCCTGATCGTCAGGGTGATCGTAGTCCTGAATTAAGCACTGTTCTTTGTGCGGTAGTGATCTTCAGAGTCATCTTCTGACTACCGCGCCAGCCTACTTCACCTACTTATGAAATGACTCCTGTGTTGAAACCTTTCATAGTTTTGTGGAGATTTTTACATAAATGACAAAAATGCCTCTCACTTTTAAACACGTCCGGAGTATCTGTTTAACGCCCCTCTTGGGCTCCAAAAAATTAAATCCGACACTCTGGGCGTTTATAACTGAGATCAGATACGGTACCTCTTTCCGGCAGATGTTTCGAGGAGCGACTAAATGAATTTCTCATTATGCATGAAACTTTTGATTTGATTTTGTTTAATTTAATATCACTTTAGTTCAGCCAGCCACTTTTGTGTCACTTGGATGCTTTGCCGATACTAAGGATAAGAACAAGCATCCCCGTGCTATGCCAATTTTATATGCCAACTTCAGAAGTTCTATTGACTGGTATGATCTGTCGAAGACAGTACAGGCATGTGCAGAGGAAGCCAAGACGAAAAGGTGACTTCTGAAAAGAAAGTTATTTCTAACCCGGGCATGTTGGGTAGTTTCAACACAACACAGATGTATTATTTAAAGGATTTACTAGGTTTAACATCGTTGTCGTTGTAAGGTAGAAACATACCGGGCTTTTCTGTAGTTTTTTTTTTCCAGGACTATACACTCTACGCTAGCTGGGGGTGGTCACTGCAAAAGACTATAACGTCTCAATGGTTACTCCATGTCTTACAAGGCCACATTGAGTGAAAGGATTGCAACAACAACAACAACTTTATTTCCACTATACCCGGACATCTAAAAAATTTACAAGAGTGAATATAATTATTAATAACAATACATGCAGCAGCTGGACACCCCAAATAACTGTAAAGCTAAACTAGTTGGATAATCATCATTAATTCTAATAACTGAAAATGTGCAAAGCCAGGAAAGAGGCGTAACTAATACATTGATAATACACATAAATATTCAGTATAAATTTGGTACAAAAGTAAATATGCAGAACAAAACAAAAACTGAAAAATGAAATATCTAAATATCAGTAAAGATTAATGGAGGGGGGGGGGGAGGGATTGAAGCTAGTGAAACGTGAAGTTAGTTCTTTTGTAAATAGGTTGGAGGTCCTTACTGGATGGCGTTTCGTTTGTTACAAGATAAACGGACACAATACACCAAAAATTAAAGAAACAAACTGTTAGAATCTGCATTAAAATAAAGCAACAACTGGCAGAAGAAGCAAGAGGCAGAACCCGCAGTAAGCAAAAAACATCTCTGCCATCTTTACTGAGCGCTCACCGACTGAGAAGTCTCCAACCATCTTTGACTACTATTCAAACATAGACTCGCACCACTTTCTATACACCTTTGGAGCCTTCGATTGACCTGAAAGAACTAAATAGAAGACGAAAACCATTTGTAATCATACATTAGTGCACTCTTCCCATTAACAAACAACAATCTATCTTTGATTCAGATTAGCCTCCCCGCAGACGTCCTTTGGGGTTCGTTTGTCACGCATTCATTTCTCCCCCACGGATTGAGGCTATGATTCAGATATGATTATCCTCATTTTCACGCTATGAACTCAAACGATACGAAATCAATACTCTTTCTCTTTAATGATGTAGATCCTTTTGTCTGCAAAAAAACTGGCCACTTTATCTTTCTGGCCTCCAAAATACGGGCAAGTAGAATCGTAAACGTAGCCGCTATATAACTGGAAAAGTTCCTGAATAATAATTTTTTTAACACTGATTATTTCTTAATATCATTGACTGAGTTATTATCTTCCCTTTCACTTTTATAATCATATGGAAATGCTAATAAATTGAATTGCCGAAGAGGAACATATAGAGCAATCAGGAGGATTCATCCAAAAAACCTGCTATTCCAATTCTTGAATGATAAGTAGACTGGGTATATTTTTAACATTCATCATCATCATCATCATCATCATCATCATTTATTAGCCTTTTTTTTCAAGCAAATATAACAGGATGCAGCATGCTTGAAATAAAACGCTAATAAAGCTAACCAATGTGCGATATATTTCCTATTTCGAAATTCAACAACAAAGGAACAACTTACAACAACAGCCAAACGTAACCAAAATCATCGAGGGGAAAGACAGAGAGTGGTGAGCAGAAGTTTACCTTGAGAGCTTATATTTGGGCATTCCGCAATCTTAATATTTGCGGCCTGAAAATAGCATATATATATACACTGATATATTCTGCTATAATTCAAGTTTGTTTTAATTACTTTTTTACATATTAATAGGCTGGAATATTTTTCGGTGCAGTTTTACGGTGAATGTTGGAGTGGAGCCAATTCAAAGCAAACGTTTGCGAAGTATGGCGAAAGTGACAAATGTTACCAAGGAGTTGGAATGGAGAAAACCAATGCCGTCTACCGCTTAGAGAACATGCCCGGTAAATTTTAAGTTTTGTCTGTGATGCCTAAGGCCCGTTTGAAGAAAGTTTATGTGTCCCTGGGGCTAGCTAACTTTTCACATACATTTCCTTACAAAACTTGGCGAACGGTTTACATGACAAACAGAATGCTTGCTAGAGAAGTGATCCGCATACCCGAGTCACCCTTTTTCGATGGTAGGGCCTACATTTCGCTTTAGGAACACTTTGGCTCTCCCAGCTTGGTAAACTCGAACAGGCGAGGCTATCAAAGCATGCGCGCGCGCTGTTTTAGAGAATCAGAGCATGCACGAGAGCTGTTGGGTCGGTAGGGGCGAACTTTTTGCTCATATAAACGGCGCTCGCTAAAGTTGACTCGGCTGGGAGGGTGACCCTCTTTCCCTGGACGACTTCTTTTTCATATAAACGAGGCCTAAACCTTTTTCGTTTTTTACGTTCTCGTTCCCCGTCGCAGTCATCGTTGCTAAAGCTTCCCGAATATTTATCGATTGGTGAAAACGGTTCCGAGTAAGTTTTTAGTGTAACCGCCTGCAAATACGGTAACATTTTTGACTCCAATAAAAACTCCTCGCCAGTAAACTATAGATTTTAGTCTTAAACGCTTTGCATGTCACGTACACTTTTTATTGCCACTTTTATGTGTGACAATAGCTGAATAAAACCATCAGATCGTTCTGCTTGTTATACAATTTTTATTTTTTGTAGCTTGTTCTTCGGAACTGCAATTCAGTGCATCTGTCAGCACTGGAGACGTCAACGGCCATACTTGGTGTGCCGGTGACGCCGCTGAATATCAGTGGATAGTTGTAGACTTGGGCGGTGAACGTAAGATTACCGGTAAGCGATGGATTTCTGTTTTCCACTATACAATGCTATTTCCAAAGTGTCGTCTTCTCACCGGAAGGGTCGAGTCGTGATTCAAATTGGTCGCCCTCTTATAGACCCGCTATTTTGGATCTTAATTTTAAAGTAATGAAGTCACGAATTCCCTCTCTGCCAGCGGCCAAGTGGTAAGAGTGCCCGACTGGTATCTGAGAAGCACGGTTTCAAGTCCCATTTTTCTTACACCGGCACCAGAAGATGTTTTCCTAATCGGAACGTAAAAGCGTGAAACAAAAGTAAGGTTGATGAGTTTGTCGGAAGGATACTACTTGAATAAATTATCATCATCATCATCATCATCTCTTTAATATTTGTTCCTATTGTTGCTGTTGTTGTTGTCGTTATCTGTAGTGGAAAGAACTCAACAGTACGTGTCAAAACAGTCACCAATCATTCTTGACCCCCGCGAGCTTTGTGTGCCTCCGTTGACTTTTTATCCCAGATTAAGGTACGATATTCAACCAATTTTTAAACATGCATATCTTACGTGTATACACAGGTGTCGGAACACAGGGTGGTAATGTAGACAGTTGGGTAACCCTGTACAAACTGGAGTGGAGCGAGGAAGGGGGATCATGGAAAACCTATCATGAGGGTGATCAAGAGGTATTGCAACCGTAGCGATTTATGGCCCTGAATGTAGTAACGTATAACTATAGCATTACCCAGGTGCGCATGCCGGTCAAGTCCAAAGGAATTAATGTAATGTCAAATAATATAGTTTCCTAATAGTCTTGATTTAGCAACTTGTCATTTGAATTTCTCTCCATTACGAAATTTTACGCAAAATGCAGAAATTAAAACGTATTCTGGTTTTACAATTAATAATTCTTCAATTCGGCTTTTCCGGTATGATATGAAAAACTCTGCAGATTGGGTTATTCGCCGAGGCCGAATTATTTTTCATTCATTCAAAATATTTCTAAGTATATTTAACACCCTTACCTCCTTGTAACCTTCTTCTCGGCATTTTGAGAATATAAACCTGGACATGTTTTTCCTTTGCAGATATTACAAAAAAAAAGCAGTTTAATATCCATCGAGAATTATTTCTTCGTGGCAGAGCTTTAAACGCTTTTGACGTTTTCTTGTGTTCTGTCGGCTCATGCCAAAACATTTAAGTTGCTGAGTCGCTGTCTGATTGCGTGACTTCAATGGCAGAATATCTGCAATATACTGTGACTGACGTCACAAGTTAGTATTCCGATCTATAATCTAGCATCTTCCAAATTTGGTTAGCGTCAGCAAATTATAAAGAATTAGGTGCGTAGATAAACGGAGAAATATTTTGAATAAGAAAAATTGCCTTCAAGAAGTCATGCTTTCCGGGTTGATCGTGATTACTTAGCCCATTAAATGTATTTAAACGTCAAAGCTAGGGCAGAAATCTATTAGTCATGATTGAATGTAAATATTACAAATATATACGTCTGGGATCTTGTTTACTGTGGGTAATGTCGACCGAGATATCGGTCGATATAGCGGTCGATATAGCGGTCGACACTCGGTCGATAGTCGGTCGACACTCGGTCGATAGTCGGTCGACACTCGGTCGACAGTCGGTCGATAGTCGGTCGACACTCGGTCGATAGTCGGTCGACACTCGGTCGACAGTCGGTCGATATAGCGGTCGATAGTCGGTCGATAGTCGGTCGATAGTGGGTCGACACTCGGTCGAGACACGGCCGATAGTCGTTCCAGATGTGTCTCGGCCGATATAGCTTTTCGTTCACCGACACTTCGCCGACTTTTCGCCGACATTTCGCCGACATTTCGCCGACACTTCGCCGACACTTCGCCGATACTTGGTCGATAGTTGGTCGATACTTGACCGATGTGTCGGTCAGTAATTGGTCGACACTCGGTCGATGGTTGGTCGACACTTAGCATTTCCTACATTTTCCTACATTTTTGCGGGACCACAGGAGCACCAGATTCAACTTAGGCTGAGACAGGTTCTGTTTAACAGCTAAAACTCAGACGATCGGTGATGATACAAACTGGAAAAAAAAAGGTTATCATGTCCTTAGTTCCCAGTGCTCTTCGGTTCTCTTCATAGCGTAATCGCGCCTTGCACTGCCACATGTTCCCCATCGCATGATAACAGTAATTAATGACGTCTTTGCTTAAAAAAAAGCCATTGGACTCACCTGATAAATTAACACACGACTAATATTCGAACGATAGTTGACCAATATACCACCGACAGTTCACCGATATACCACCGACAGTTGACTGATATACCACCGACAGTTGACCGATATATCACCGACAGTTGACCGATATATCACCGACAGTTGACCGATATATCACCGACATATGACCGATAGCAAGTCGAGGTGCGTCGACGAAATATCGACCGATACTCGGCCGATAGTCTATCTCACTATCGACCGACTATCGACCGACTATCGACCGACCATCGACCGACTATCGACAGACTATCGACCGACTATCGACCGACTGTCGACCGACTATCGACCGACTATCGACCGACTATCGACCGACTGTCGACCGACTATCGACCGACTATCGACCGACTGTCGACCGCTATATTAACCGAGTGTCGACCGCTATATCGACCGCTATGTCGACCGATATCTCAGTCGACATTACCCACAGTAAACAAGATCCTACGTCTGTGCGTCTGATTCATTGCTTGAAATGATAGATCTTCCCAGGCAATTCAGACCGATTCACTTTAGAGACGCAGTGGTTGATAAAGCCAATTACTGCTGGATTCCTCCGCTTCAAACCATTGTCCTGGACTTCAACACATGTCTGCATGAAGATTAAGGTTTACGGGTGCGCTGTATAAGGTACGTGTAAAATTACGAAAGCTTAGTTAAATGAAGATTTGCGTTTCATATTTTTGTCCTTTGTTCAAATTCTCAGTAACATATAGTCAAAAACATCAGATACACAAATTTATTGACTGATTATAGTACACCACAGACTGAATAAAGCTTAGAATGAGATCGGAGTCGCAAGAAAATCATGTGTAAATCGAGAAATTCATAAATACCAAAAAAATAAGAGGAGCTCGACGGAATCCGAATTGGTAGAGTCAGAACGATTCGGATTCCGCTTACGTATTCCTAAGGTGCTTTCGATCTAGTGAAACCTAGATTGTCGGAGTCGGAAGAAGCGGAAAAATTAAGCAATGACTCTTTACTTAAGTGGTTTAGTTCTTCCGTTTCTGCTTGCGTCTAGTTTCCATTAGATTGTTTGCGACGGAGTCAAAAGCGCAACCTGGACACATTTTTAACCAAATCGAAACGCTCTTCGCTGCTGATTACGACTGTCTGTCGCATTAGTAAAGACCATTCCTTTATTATAAGTGGAGCAAAATAGTTTCACTAAGTTCTTGGTAAGGAGCTCAAAATAACGAGATTTTTAAATTCTAATTAGGTATTCTAGTATCTATGTCAACCATTTTTGTATTTGCTGGGTGTTTAGAAAAAATTGTTATATGATTATCCCGACTTCTACCTCAAGTTCAGGGCCGTAGCTATGTTTACGCCAGTAAGCACTTGCTTCCCTGGAAAAAAGTTTCGAGTTAAATAAAAAGCAAAGCAAAGGAGGTAAACGAAGGTTACTTGAAAACGGTGTTTTTAACCTTTTTTAACAAAATGCTGTGTTTTTCTCCGATTTTTCCTCACGAAAGAGACGTAATTTCTGTCTGAAGAACTTAGTCCTAACATAAAAAAAATTATCAACCTTACGTGAAACGTGTGAAAACTCTCTGAAGTTCCCTTGTCTGATGTGTCACCACTTTTGGAAGGTCTTGATAATAATTTAAGGTTAAAAGCTTACTTAAGAAGTTCTTGTTCTTTTGGGGAATAAGCAGTTATTCAAGATCTGAAACGGCAAATTCTTCGAGTCGTCATATTTGAGGTCATGCGAAACTAAAAATAAAAAAAAAAAGACTGAACCCACAATTGAAATACATCGTGGTTGTGTTTTAATGAGATCTTTTAAAGAAGAAAATTAACGTTTTCGTATTTGAAAATTTCTTCCTCTTATCAGTTGAACAATAATTTACTATAATACAGAACGCCTTGGTCAAACATTCAGTGTTGCATTTGTGAAAAAGCCACGTTCTAAGTCTTCTCAGAATATTTCAGCCTAAAGCCTTTTTCCTTTGAATTCTCAAAAAGGTAAGCAGCTTTAAATAAGTTGCATGCTAATGGTTTTCTTGAATCTTTCTTATACATAGACGAAACCTTGGATGGAAGCTTACCAGAGGGAGCATTTTTATAATACTACAAGTACCATCAGCCGTTTCGATCAGTTCTAATAATGGCTTGTAATGTTTAGGGGCATATTTCTAGTTAGATGTTCACAGTGAAAATAAAGAAAAAGGGACCACTCTGATCTTATTTGACGTACTCATGCTTTCCCTTTCCATAATAGCGGCGCTCTGGCGCGCGAAGCGCGCCTGCGTAGCACCATGGGTAAGTAAATCTACCCATCCCAGAAAATTTTGGTAATCACGTGACCGAACACCGCCCGCCCGTCCGTCCGCACCACAGGAAAACCAGTGTCACCACAATTTCTAGCCAGTTTGGGAGCACAGGAAGACTGATATTGGACACATATATTGCACATCAATGTTGTGATCAATTGACAGCTGTCAAAACAGGGTATCCGCTGACCAGTATTACCTGAGCGTATCGCGGGCTCACGTGTCGACCCATTGAGGTCGAATATCTTTTTGAAGTTATCCGCTGACAAGTTACTAGTTTTCAAATGATCGCAGGCTCAAGTTTATTTTTTAATTCATATGAAATATGTTGTGTTTTGTATGTGCCGCACAATTAAAATGTTGATTTCAAACTGAAATCGGAAGCTAAAATTCAGCCAGTTTTTACAGGCAGGGAAGACATGCCAGTTGTTTTTGACTTTTCTCACCAAGGTCACGCGTTGGTCACGCTCTACGTCCAATTTTTATGCTCTGATTGGTCAAATTTGACAGTTGAGTTCATGCGGAAAACTTATGCAGCATCTTGAAACTTGTTTACTTTGCTGAAGCTGACACAGTTTTGTGTCAACTTGTGATTTTTTTATGTCTTTTTCCACTGAATGTACAAAATGAAATTCAGCTGCTATCAAGAGTCTTCTGTTATTCATGGCTAGTTTGTTTATTGGGTTTTTGGTTGAGAACAGAGTCTTCTTCGATCTTCCTAGATAAGTCGGGAAGAGGAAAGAACCTCCGCCGACATCCTCAACAATTCATATTGAGCATGCTCCAAATTCAAATGTTTCTGCGACGTCAATCAAACCGTTACCGTAGCATCCACTGTGTTTGTCAGCAAATGTAAATGTCAGCGGGAACGTGCCGGCTCGTTTTCACCCTTCCGTAGCTGTGATTCCTCTGGATTTGGAAGCTCTATAGGAACAATTTCACCGTTGAAATCTCAACTTGCCATGTTTCAGTGTAAAGATCAAGATAAAAAAAATCTTAGAGCTAGGGTAAAACTTACGGTGCTTTTCAAAAACCAAGCATGTAACCTTGAAACACAGAAACACACAAAACGGATCGAAATCCACCAATCACAAATCACGAACGACCTTTTGTTTCCTAAGAGGTTGGCTAAGATGAATAAAAGGCGAGAAAGTGAAGAAAGCGCCGCTTCTTCAGATTTTGATTGACGTCGTAGAAAAACACAAAATCCAAAGACGTTTTTGGCATCGCAAGTCGGTTGTTATCCACAAACAGCTGAAAAAGCATCGATCGTTTAAATGCAACATGGATTCTGTAGCCTCATGATCTTATTTTGAATTACTGTTATCGCAAAGACAGAAGAATAAGCATAGATAATGTTTCTTAAAGATTATTATTTTTATTCAAAACCCATTTGTTTATCCTTCCAAAAACTTCACGTAACACTCACTGGATTGTGAATCCGTTCACGCCGCAAAATCGGCTAAGTACATGGTAAAATCCAAAACAAAAGCCATCTCGAATCTGGGTACATTTTCCAATTTTCTAAAACTGAACGTTCAATCTATAATTTTCTCAAAATTCCCGCATGAAATTGAAGCGGCAGCTATTTGTTTTTCTATGGAGCGTGGCCGCAGAAAGAGTCAGCAAAATTCCAGAATATGCGTGCGTGCACAAATAAAACTGTTTATCCAGTATAAAACTTGTCTGACTCATCCAGAAAGCTGGATGATCGGCTGATCAAAGGAACTTGAAGATGTCGGCAGAGTCGCTTCCTCTTTCCCGACTTATCTAGGAACGATCGAAGCGACTCTGCTAGCAGGGTAAAAAGTCACATGAATGTGCTCTAAAGTTAACTGAATTGTGGAAAACAAGTTTATTGTTTGATTTAAATTATAAATTCGAGTTAATATATAGGAGCTTCGCTTTTAGTCCTGGCTAAATCTATATATTATACTAGCTAGCTAGTGTCTAATCTTCTGTGTTATTCTACTGACACAAGGCTATTATACAACTATCCCCAAAGAGGAGGTGAAATTAAACCCGGTATATGTTGTGTTTACATTTTATCCTAGAATAGCGCGAGATTTTTTAGCCAATCATATAGCGTTTAATAAACAATGTTCCACCCATGGGATTGGACCACTTGCAAAAATCGCTCTGACGTACCTAGAGTCCTGTTTGTTGAAGAAAACTTTTTGTAAAATATCCTTATATACACTACCAAATTAAATATACTCGAAGTTTGAGTTCAGTACGATATAGCTCTATATAGGCTATGTCAGTTACAGATTGCATAAATTCTTTAAAAGAGAGAAAAAAAGAAATTTTCACGTGCAAACTTTCTCTTACAAGTTATAATTAATTTTCAAAAGTGAACAAACAAAACTCACATCTCACGAGGGCCATTAATGGCCTTTAGAACAGTCTAAAGCTGATACTATACCGCCGAAAGCTTTCTGGCCAGTATGAACAGCAATGACCTGGGACTGGAATAAGTTGTTCACACACATCAAACATCGTTCCGAAGCGGTTGGCCGAGAGGGTCTGGTGAACTAAATCCCAGTCTTCACTCCCGAATTACTTCCGTTTCATTGGACTCTGGTCCTCACTCCAGCTTATTCACTTCTGCTACGGTCCGAATACCTGTTCACACTGCACCAATGGGTAGAACAGAACTTATCCGATATGTGACGCTCCACTTTCGAAATTGGCGCAGCGCAGCTCCGCTCCGTTACAGAAGTCACCGCTCTTATGTGTGAACAGATGTCCTACCCGGTAGAGCAATTTTCGTATGACCTTGAAATGAAATCCCGCGAACAAAACAGAAAAAACAAACGAACGGAAATAGAGCGATTTGATTGGTTTATCAAACGGATACAACGCGCGCGGCGTTTGGTTGGTTAGGCGAACGCTCAGGTGAAAAAACTTCACGTCCGAGAACTTTCTAGAAATCAGCCGATACTTCGCTTTGACGTCATACTGTAACACGATTGGCCAATCGAACAATGCCTTCTCCATGTTAGGGTTTTCTTTAACGGGAAAACGAAGACTCCATGTTTTGATCTTTTTATCCATTGGCTGATAAAACAAATAACGAACACTTACAGCAACCATTTTTCAAGGTCATACGAAAATCGTTCTATCAGGGTTTTTCGTGCCGGCGTAAGAGCTATCTGGTATTGTGTGAACATCACCTAATAAGTTTTAGCTAGTTTTGTATCCTCACATTCCAAATCCGTGCAAATGAAAAAAACGTAATACATTCACTATCGATGAGTTTACGTTGATCTTCCTCCCCATATCTGAAGCCAAATGAGACATCAGTCGCCGTCACTTAAATGACAATCAATAAAGAGTTTATACCACGCAACTTGCTTAATACTTAAGTTCAATGAACCCAAGGCAATGTGGACTTCTCCAAGTAACACTTTTCGACCAAAAATACCTTGTTTGCACCATACGCTTACCTTAAATAAATGAAAGAAAGAAAACGATACAATGACTGATAGTTCAGAACAGCTAATTATAATCTACACCATTAGAGGTTGTCTATGATGAAGACTAGCAGTAAACAGGGTCGGTCCGATTGTTCTTAGACATTTTGTAAAAAATGAAGGACACATTTGGTAACAACTTAACAACTTAACAACTTACGCATTTTGTAATTCGAATTGCGGCAGTTTTGGTTGCTAAAAATTGCGTAGACCGACGCGATGATCACAAATGCTGCAACCCTGATTACAAAATGCTCAGCTTCCTTTCATTATCAAATGCGTAATTTGTTAACAAATGCCGCAACCTTTGTTACAAAATGCATCGTTAATACAAACTGGCGCAGAGCAGCGATAAAAGTGGCCAAACGACCCCTATTTTTTTAAACTAATTACACAAGCCACGAAGAATAACATCTTTATAAGATGATGATCGTTCTCATTTTGTTTGTGTTATTGTTATTTTTTTATTTAAATATCACCGAAACCTACCAGTAATTCCTGGTTGTGAATTTCACGGAGAGGATATTTGATTTTGCAATTGTAGACTGGAGCGGCACTCCGACGAGTGATTGACGTCTTTCGCTTCAGAAGCCTGCTGCTTTGATCTTTTATCAAATAGGTCTTGACGTATGTATCTACCCGAAAAAATTAGATTTTGTCATAATGTGGTATAATGGTAAGGTGTCGCTATTGAACGCATAAAAAAATAAGTACAATTGGAGAAAAGAAAAAGAAAAAAAAATACGTAAATAGGGGGAAGACCCTCTTCCCTCCGTATTACGATAGGAACAATCCTACTCTGCACCCTTGCCCCCCTCCGCTCACCTCTTAGTATGTGTAATCAGACGGTAACGAGTGAAATTAAGGCATAATTTCACGCGCGTTTTGTCCAAATCCTAATAATTTCGTGAGTCTCGCGAGGGTTTATGAAATGTTTATCGTATCGATGGAGAAATCTACGCACCGAAAAGTTAAGAGCTTAAAGTCTGGATAAAGTTCAGGATTTTCAGAATTTTTCGACAACCTGTAGAATCCTTTTTGACGTGCTATTTCGTGTGTTCAGGTTTTGTATAGCGTTTTTTAATGTCCTGACATCTTAATTCATAACATTTTAAAACCTCGACGCCATCTTGGCACTGTGGACGTACTGAACGTTGCCATGGCAATTTTGTAATTTTTGTTTCCCCACTCAGAATGTTCCACCTTAATTCTCCATTTTTCCCTAAAAAATGCTCGGTAGTCCCCCAAAAAATCACTAAACTGCTCGATAATGCTAATTATAGAGAGGCCTTTTTTATTAATTCTAAACAATTTAATTTTTTCTCGGAGGCCGTCATCCACCGAGGCCGAAGGCCTCGGTGGATAACACCTTCCTCGATCTGCTTAATTCTTCATATCCTACTCAGACTCATTCATTAATTGCTAAGTGACAAAGGGATAACGTCCCCAAAACATTCACGTAATGCAATACGACAAAAACCGGCACAGGCTCAAGCTCAGCATCCAAATGGCCCTTTAAACTGTGGCACGTTCTGACTGATTAAAAAGCAGACCCATTACGCTCACTTTTTTCTTTTTCGTGCTGTGAAAAGTGAGTGGTTTGTCAAATTGCACTAATAAGGGTCGGTGCTGTATCAAAGTGCAAGAAGGGACTCTTTTTGGGGACAAATATTGACACAGTTTCTTACGTATATTCATCATAGCCGGTAAAAGAGGGATAACGTCCCTTGAAAACATTTACGTAATGCAATTCGACAAAAAACCGACGCAGGCTCAAGATCAGCCTCCGAATGGCCCTTCAAACTGTAGCCCGTTAAACTGATTAAAAACATATGGTCTTACCCTATGTTATATTATTTGTACCTGGCAATTGGTCTCCTGGAACCAAAAGTGCAACTGCTCGAATGATTTCCACTTCAAAAGTATCGTGTAATGCTGACAATCCAACTCTTATGTAGCCAAGTTCATTTCCTAGAACAGAACTGAGGAGTTGAGTAACACGGGCAAATTGGCAACGACGACGCAACATTGTTGTGACATTGCTTCGGATTGTAACAACATTGTGCCAGCATTGTTGGCCTAAAGATCGTCGTTGTAATCTCGTATAACATCCTTCGACTTTTAAAACAAGCGAAAATAGGTACTAGGTAGAAGTGTCTCGAGCTCGTCTTTTTGTCCGTTCTATTTCAATAACAATTAACAGTTTTATAACGTGCAAATTTTTGAAGGGCCCGCCGTATTTTTCTGGTAAAACACGAGTCCGCCTTTTTGGCTCTGAGAGTTGAATGAGTCCCGGAGCAGTGGTAGCTTTCCACGCAGACGTTATTTTGGTTAGTCACGCCATCCTCGCCAACAAACGTCCGCTGAAACGAGCGGTAAAAAACATAGACCAATGACATCACACTTCCAGATCTGGGAAGTGCGCTTTCGCGGTTCGTGGGCAAGGAACGCGTGACGAAGCCGAAAGGACGCCGGCGTGGGAGGCTAGGGCAGTGGTGGGTACTATACTGAGGTTTTGGCTTTTGTGCAGGGGTGCCGTTAAGGTTATGAAATGACCTTGATCTTGCTCAGGAGTCAAAAGAAAAAGTAAATATCTACTTTGTATTGTTTTGGAGCTTTTGTTATTTCCCTACGAAAACTTGGACCCTGTTTAGCAAAAGCTCGCATAAGATTTTATACCCTGTTTTAAATAGAGAGGGTAAAAACTTTTCTCAGCCGAAACAGTAAGGGATAAATCACTGCTACATTTTGCCAGTACCTTGGCAGCTTCCTCGTCTTATTTGGCCGGGCCCAATAGCACCTTTCACGGGGTCATCACCATAAAGACATAATTTGTCCTGCGGTTTTAAGCTCAAACGTGGCCGTAACTGTTTAGAGTACCTAGGAGAAATTTAGGGTTAAATGGAACAAAGATGGCTATAAAACAGATAAAATAAAATCAACAATTAAGTCTATTACAAGTAACAGCACACATGTTAAATACAGTTGAAAAGTTTCCTAGTTATTCTTTTAAAAAAGAGAAAGACTTAAATGACACAAAGATGGTTATGAACTAAAACAAACACACATGTTGATTACAAGAGACAGCAGACAGGTCAATTATAGTTGAAAAGTTTAGTTTTCAAAAAAGGGATAATTTTCCACCATCATTGACTATTAAGATATTACATTTGACCTAGGACACCACGAAAACTCGCTTGCTACACCAGCTACTATAATTTGAGGCTAAAAAAAATGGGAATCCCTTGTGAAAACCTGAAAGGAAAAAAGACCTGCAGGGATGGAAGTTAAAATGGGAGAGTCGTCGTGGTATTTGCACATCGCGATGTCAAGAACAGTGATAGTAGGGTTACCATGAAGCCGTTTAAAATGGACAATTTTGCAACAGTAACTATGGCCTGCGTGCGTTCGAAAGGAAAGGAGAAGGGAATTTGGGTGCAAGACACTCGCTAGAAGCCAAAGGCAAAATGTTAGAATTTATTACAATGCGCAAAAAAGAAGAAGAAGAAAAGAAAGAACAAATTAGGACCTTCACGACCATATTCGCGATGGTTGACCCATTCAGTTCCTAACGCCGCCCTACCTGGCTTAACTTGAGGGGCGTTACTGAAAAAAAACACGAGTTTCGCGAGGGTTATTGCGCGATTCGTATTTCTTGTAATACGGTGATTTATTCTCACGGACGTTTATACAATGTAGATTGATACAAACACTTATTTTGGTTCAAATTTCGGTATTTATCGATCGCATTCGCGTCGTGTTGCGTTACATGCACAGTTATTTAAAACCGTTAATGTCAAATATCAACAATAGAAATAAACTGCAATGTAATAAGTTCAAATTAATAGAAATGCCACGCTTTACTCGCTGCACTTACTTTCCATTGGAAACTACTAGTTTAGGGGTTTAAAGGGGCAGGGATTCTACGATCAAAATATTTCTCATATAAACACTGTTAATTCAAAGGCTCCTCAACTGACGTGCACATGCGCAACTAGCTTGATTAGCCTGCACAGCATACCCTATCTGCAGGAGATTACGTGGCGTGAAACCGCGGTTCCTCCTTCCCAGAGGCCACCTCTCTTATCTGGGCCCTACTTTTTTTGATTAACTCACTTTCTCAAAGCACGAATTGCTCCTTTCTGCTCCTCGTGAGTCTCAACAGACGGCTTGGTAGTAACAGGTTCGTTCAGCTCAGGATTGAACTGAGATAAACCAATGGGAGAACTTGAGCGGTGTATGGCAATACGAGGAATCATCATCCTCGGTTGACTCTGGATACTCGCGATGCTTGATCTAAAAACCAAACACATCCGGCGAAAAGTGAGTAGATTAGCCATATTTAACTTCCAGGGCTGAGTTGCTCAAAACATGGTTAGCTTTAACCATTGGTTAAGCAGTATCAAAACCAATACGGTGTCAAGGTATTAAACGCTGGTTAACGCTAACCATGCTTCGAGCAACTGGGCCCAGATGTACAAGAAGCTATTAAACACGGGGAGCCCAATATGTTTTTTGCCAGGTTATAAGTCTCTTCGATTCAGTATATACCAAAACAGTGAATACTGTTTTTAGCGCGCTCTGATTGGCTACTCAAACTCAAGATATGCAGTGCTGTTCACTGATTCATCTCCAGACTTCTAGAGACGCCAAATGCGCGTAAGTTATGAGCAAAATGGCTTAACGGTTTGCAGCGATAACAAACGGGTCATCCCCTGTGTAACATAATTTATTCGTTTTTTTTGTTTCATGGACTGTTGTCAGGTTTAGGTTCATTGTTTAGGATGTTTTTTTTACTTTGTTTACGTCAGCTGTGAGTAATAAATTACTTTACACCGGCGTAAGCCTATAATTAACAAACGAAGAAATTTCACAAATAAACGAAGAAACTGTCCCCGAAAAACATGAAGAAGGCGACGAAATCCGGTTAGGCAGTTTTACAGGTTTAGAGAGCTTTGTCTGTTCAACCCGTGAATTTATCGATGAAGCCGGTGAGAACGTTTCTTGTTTACTGATGCATATCAAGTCTTGCGTTACGTTATTTAGCTGACAAGTTTATAAATAACCCAATGAAATGTTTTCTTTTTTACAGAATGGTTTCAAACATGGAAAGAATTTACAACTTTTCTCATAGAAATGTCCCTGCAACAGCTAAACTAGTGCCTTAAAAAGGTCACTTATCGGCAAGAAACTGACATGATGGCCATTCGATCACATGCGTGCCAAAATTGTAATCGTTGGCAGCAATCAATGAGTTAAAAATTATCATTTTTGGTTCAATTATCTCACTATTTTGGTATATACTAAAACAATCATCCACTTGATGCAGTGTCGAAGTAGAGGTGGCTAGTGGGTCTGGCCACTAGCCACCTCTACTTCGGTGAATAATTGTTATATTTGGCGGTGACCTACCACGGGATTGGATAAAATTAGGACATTTCTTGGTAGTTTCTCGATGTTGCGGTTCGGTGCGTTTACCAAGCAAATGACGTTATGCAAAAGATTGAAAAGACAAAGAACAATTTCCAGACCAATGGTTTCCAGAACACCTTCCCCCAAAAAATCCCCTATCGAATTTCGACACAACACCCGGACCCAGTAAATTGTGCATCCTCAAAGGGGTGTCTTACGTGCGTTCCAATGAATTCAGTGGAGATCAGCTGAAATAGTGAGATTTGAATTGAAATACCTTGAAACTTTTTGACGGTTGATGTTAATCTGCATTTTTCACGGTTGATGGTAAAAAAGTACCTTTTTCGACCGCTGACGGTCAAAATTAAGGGCCGTTCAGCGTTTGACGTTCCGACCCTCGTAGAAGGGTAGCTCGGTGAACTAGATAATTGCAAGCGGCCGCCGAGTGCAAAAATGTACAGGCCATTACTCGAAGGCAACTTTTAGGGCGCTTTCCATGGCCGGACCAGTCAGTTAGCAAATGAAATCGGCTTTTTCAAAGAGATTTTGCCAAAAAATCATTTCCCTTGCGCATACTATTTAGGATTTGACCGATCTGGCTGGAGAGTTCTGATTGAAAGGAAATTATCAGTGCGACAGGAATGCTCTGGCCCGTCAGTTCTGACAAATGGAAAGCACCCTTGGAGTTTATCTCTGTACCAAACCTTACACTATATTTCAGTCATTCAGAAGAATAACGGTGTATGGTACTTACTTCATAGAAGCAACCGCTGATTCTTGATTTTCCGCGTCAATATCAAAATCAACATCGATACCAACATCTTCGAGTCCGGGATTAAACTGAGAAACATCATCAGCAGCATGAGATTGCTCTAAGGAGAGTTCAAAAACTCATTAATCATTCATAAAAAAAAGAAATTCATGTTTAATGAGTATCTTTATCTCTAATAAAGACACGGATAAACTTCACGTCCAGCTTTTTGCAACAAAATAACCTCAAATCTAAATATTAGTGCAAGAATGAGTTGATCTATATCAGAGATTTGGAATGCGTTCAAAAAACTCGCGCAGTCGTGTTTATTATCAGGTTTGATAACTCTCGGCTTCTCGTGAGTTTTTACACTCGGTCTCCTGTTCGTTTTTTAAACAGTACGTAAAGTATGTGCAAACAGTTAAAAACCACGCTTCAAAGAATTTGATAACATCAAGAAGAACTAAAAAAACACACGCAAACCTTCCTCTTTAATAAAGTTCTCCTTTTCAGTAACACTAAGCTGCGAGCTTTCCTCCAAACTAGATTCTTGTTCAGCCTCATCACAAGGTTTCGTTCCGGGATAACTGAATTGTAACCTGGTATGAAATGGCATATCATGCTTGATCTCAGTTTCACAAAAATGCCTCATTTTAAGTTAGTCTGAGAATCTGATACATGAAGAAGCTGTTACTTGGCTTGGTGGCAGTAACACATTCCTATTCAATTCGTGCATGGCTTGAGAAGGTCATAGGCACCAACAACCTTTTCTATTTCGTCACATTAGTAATACGAAAAGTATCGTATACACCTCTCTTGTATATTCTAGATGTCAGTAAATTTAAATTTATTGTTAGTAGAAATTTTGCACCCCCAAAATTCTAAATTGAATCATGAAATCCCAAGAAATACTTGTCAGAATCGACTGACTGGTATCTTTTAATTTTAACTTTTAATCTCGAACACCCCTTCTCCAACAAAAAAAATAATTATTCCCGTAACTTTAGCTACAACTGCTATTAAAACAACAAAAACGGTAATAAATGTGTTTGAGAAATTGCAAAAAAATAAAATAGAATGGCTTACTCAGGCTTCTCTCTAACTTCCGGTATTGGCGTCTGCAAGGGTTCGGGACTTCTTCGAGGCGAAATCGAAGAAGCCCTTTTTTTCCCTCCAGTGTTAAAGAAAAAGTGGCCTTCATTTGGTCTGAAAAGTTCAGCGAAAGCTTAAATTAGTACTAGTGATATTAATGATTGACCAGGTTTAGGTTTATACTCTAGGTAAAATGTGTTAAGTTCTAGGACTTTATTTGAATATCTCGCGTAAAGCACTACCAAATCACTGTAGTTACCTTAAACGCTTTGTGAAATTAACGGGAATTTCACCAATTCGCGTTAATTTCAGTAAACGCGCCATTAATTATGTGAAGCGTTAATTTCCGCGACGTTTATTTCCATTATATTTTGGCCCCAAATTCTCGATACACTATTGAAATACTTGACTCCTAAAAAAGGGAAGAATTTTTTATCAGGGTGGAGATCCGCCAGTATCGGTTCGGAACAGTGAAGAACCCTCGAAGTGGCCAGATTTCTTCGCTTATGACCCCATTGTACGTTTATGGAAAGAACCACCACGTACAAAGTTTCCTTTACGAGTTTTACGTTTAACTTTGTATCTGTTGTTTCAACAAGTTTTGTTCCTTTGTGAACGTCGCGTTAATTTCCTTCATTTTGAAAATTGATGTTACCCTCCCTCTCTTTCGTGTTACTTTCCTTTAGTCGAAAGTAATCTAAGTCGCGTTTAAATTCCCAAAATTTCAATAGTCATGGAGCGTTTATTTCTTATAACTAGTTATAGCTATCGCTAAGTGCCAACGAGCAAAGATTTATGGTGCGCCAATGAAGCCTTCCGAAATATTTTGCTTCAAAGACGCAAAAAATTTGGCTGCGTCATTATTTTTCTTAGCGGCATGCAATAAAAAATTTAGACAGCATGAGTAGTACATTTCAGCGTGAGTATTTTCAATGTTTTACATTCAAAAGATGCGATAAATTCAAACTAAAATGTACAAGTCATGGAGGTATGTATAGTGCGCATTATTTTGGAAAAATTAGCGTAACGTCAAAACAGTAAATGTTGTTGCGCAGAGTTTTGACCGGTAAGTATGATAGGTTTGTCTTGAAATTTCAAGGTGTAGCAGTGAATCAATCTTAATGAAAGTTTCAGACATTATTATATACATTATGGAGATTGTGTGAAGAGATTTTCAAAAAATTCGTTCGAGTCGTTTCAGAGATATACAAAAAAGGGCTTTAAGTCCAAATTTTGTATGAAGTTGCACTTATACAGGTGGTGAGAAAACGGGTTACGATAATACACCAAAACTTCCGAGCATCAAAATATGTTATTAATATAAGCAGTATCCTGACGCTACTTAAGAATAATTTGAGTCATTTTAACGTTTTTGCACGGCTATTGAAAATTTAAGGTTTGAAATATATTTTCGCTTTAGTCGAATTCAAACATACAGAATTTTTTAATTCTTACGGAGATTATTAGCTGATCACCAAACCTTAAGTTCGTAATGTTGGATTTTCAGTAGCTGGTCTAAATCGCGCAAAATTAGCCGTTTATCAATTTCAATGTTTTTTTGTATATTGTTGTCATAGTAATAATGATTTTACTAAAACCTACATTTTGACAAATTTCAATCTATAGTTAATCATTAGTGAAAATTTTAAAGAATCAGACAAGAATAAAATCACTTTTAAAGCGATTGAAAAATATCGGTATGGCCTGTGAAAAACTATATCGAAACACCTTAACATGAGTACAAGGCTAAAAGTTACGTCTTAATAAAGATTTTGGGAGAGCATGATCACAGGCTATATTAGCTTCAAAGAAGCTTACGTGCTAAGAAAAGAATGTACCCACTGGCAGACATATCCTAGTTCTAGAAAGAGCATGAAGGGTTTCAAAGATAAATATATTTTTAAAGTTGGTAGGACAGATCCCTTCTCCCCGGTGTATGTATAGCTAAGAAGCTCTGGAGCTCGATACCTACTCCAGTTTGAAAGTTACTGTCAGTAATAATGGTGAAACGTGACCTACCTTGTTACGAATGGAGACTGAGGTACTTCCCCGGAGAGTCGTTTTGAAATTTGTCTTGTAAAGATTCCTGGACTGGGAGGGACTTGCAAATAGTCGCTGTAGGTGGTTCGGGAACGTTCCCGAGCCAAGTTTTCCGTCGATGTCGACCGACTTGGTGTCGTAGGTGCAGAGTTATATCCTATAGGAACTATAATAGGAAATAAAGGAGGAAAACAAGGACACCAGTTTTATTGTCCAGTTTTATATTCATTTCACTGGCTCCAGTTAAATTTAGGATAGAATTTAAAATCATGTTTTATTTGTGAGCTACATAATAAATCACGCCTTTCACACCAAACACTATTAAAGTGAAATAGTTTGGTAGTTCATTGGTGTTTATATAATAAATACAACATCACATGGCTGTGATGTTTATCGTAATTAGCAAAATTGCCAATGTCTTCGAAACTATGAATTATTAAATTGAACTACGAATGAAGAGTCACTGCGGAGAATAGGTAGGTTTTCATTTAAAGCCTTTTTGTGGTTTCGGCAGTGACTTTGCTTTTGTTTGTGCAAAGTTGTCTGGGATTTCAGTTCTTTTTTTCGACCTTCTTGTCATTTCCACTGTCAAGTGTAATAGTTCTGTTAGCTTTCTTTCTTGTTTTCTTCCTTCTTCGTTAACGACCAGTTCTTTTCAATTAAAACAAATTGTTGTCTTTGAAGTGTTCCGTGTGTGTATTTAAGCTTATTTCATTGCGTGATTGCGATCAAGTTTGACTATTAATTACAACAGATTTGTTAAGAGTACTGCATGTAGTTGACAGTTAAATGTTAAACATGAATTACGATTAAAAAGAGTAAAGGTATTCTGTATCATGTAGACACTTCCGTACAATATTTCTTCGTTTGCCAGTTGAAAATCGTGTTTTACTAACAAAGGAATAGTGACGTCACTGGAAGGCATTAACTGCCGGTCGATTCAGACGTTAATGAGGGAGTAAAAACGACACGAAGTAATCGTCTGAAATTCAGGCTGCAAATGGAGACGATTTGGGGGACGTTTAAAGGTTGATTTAGAAAACTCAGTTAAAAATCCTAGGCTAGCTATGCCTCTGCTTTATGCAACACCGAGTTGAAAGAGAGAGCGATGAATGGAACAGTGACAGATGGATAAAGAGAGAAGTAATTAAAAATGAATGAATGTCTGAGCTGATATCGTGGAAGAAAACTTTCAAAGTTTAACCAAACAACTTTAAAGAATCTATGGAAGTAACAAGGGAACCCCACTACTGTTTTTTGTAAAATATCTGTTCGGAGAAGCAAGAATTACTCAGAATTTTCTATCACTTTCCATTCATTTACAGTTTTGTAGCTTATCTAATAAATTCCGACGATTTTCTTACGTTTGATTTTTCGCATTTTACTCCTCAGGTTAAGCTTTTTCTGAGGAAAAAGAGACCTAACTTTTTCGGATTCGAAAATCTAAAGTAGAGAGAAATCAGAAAAATTTTGACTTTCAAAAAACTTTAATAGATTGCATCTAAGATTTTCTGAAAATAATACTGATTGGAAGCTCTTTTCATTTCGAAAACACTCAAGTTGCCTTAGGATGACCAAACAGATGCAAATTTTATAGCGCCGCTTAGATTGCACTTCTGGAGATCTAAAAGTGCTCTAGATAGCCTGAAAAGACTTTTCAATGTATTTAGGAGGAAACCGTCGTTGGGTGCCCCTGAAGTTAGTTCGGTTTTGCCATGTAGGCTGCTAAAGCTGGTCGGTATAGAGTACTGAAGTGATGACGTCATAAAAATGAAATTTCTGAAATTATGGGATTTGTCAGGATATTCTGAAAGAACAATGTCCAAGAGGCCTACTTGCCAAAAATGAGCATTTCGGGGCAAATTGTCTCTGAGATGTTAGCCGGTTATACTCAGAAAATTCCATACAAATCCTTCTAATTTTTTTTGGGTCGACCCCAAACAAATTGGCCATGGGCTACGATCTCAGAGACAATTTGCAGGAAATGCTCATTTTTGGCAAGTAGGTCTCTTGTTCTTTCAGAATATCCTGACAAATCCCATAATTTCAGAAATTTCATTTTTATGACGTCACACTTTAGTACTCTATACGTACTGCGTTTTCCTTGACAAAACCAATTTGCTCGTGGCCATGAGCAATCAGCCAGAAAAAAAGGAAAAAAAATTACGTTACCACCAAGACAGAAGGGAGACAATGGTCCACATGCTCCAGTTTCTTCGTCAACTCCTCTAGTAGGGTTTCTCTCAGCCAATTTACCTAAGCGAATTCGCAGATTTCCTGGACACCTAGTAAACAGAGAATACGGGATAGTACTGTAACTAAAAAGAGTCTAAATCTCTTTTTGTAAGCATCAACTTCAAGTCCCAAAACGTTAGGATCCTGTTCTGGCTCATTAAATTGCTGTCAAACTCAGAAAACCGTGAGCAACTGAAATAAATGAAGATATGATCGTCGCAGTGGTAGTTGCAATTTAAACAATTGCAAATTAACCCGAAAATATTTCGCGACTTCAACAGGATTCGAAACCACGGCCTCTGCGTTAGTGCTGCACTGCCAACTGAACTCTGAAGACCTTTCATTTTAATATGCTTCAGTCCTTTTAAGGGTTAAGCTGAACTAAAGAAGCTGGCCTGCTCTCGATGTATCAGTCTTCATAGCTCAGTTGGTAGAGCACTGTACCGCTAACGCAGAGGCCATGCATGGGTTCGAATCTCCTTGAAGTCCCAAAATTTTTTTCGGGTTACCGTAAATCCTCTATTAAGCCCCCTCTCTCAAATTAGCCCCCCACTCTAATATGCCTTTTTAGGAGAAGAAGGTTGATACGCCCTCCTCTCTTTTAAGCCCCCTCCCCTTCTCCTTAATATTCTTCACTAATAAATGATAGACTTTGTGAATCAATCACGATCGTTAAAAACTTCATTTGGACTAATCCGAGATGGTTTATTCGCGTGTTGGAAGTTCGGATTTGTTTTTGACCCTTGGCTGCATGACCTCCAACTTCTTGTACTTGAGCTTGCCAATTTGCATTCTAGTTTTTTTATGGAGAGCTGATACCACCATCTTCGCTAAATTAAATAAGCCCCCCGTCTGTATTAAGCCCCCCCAAACGTGTTTGAAATAAATAAGTCCCCCGGGCGAGTTAATCAGAGAGGATTTACGGTAATTTGCAATTGCTTAAATTGCAATTACCACTGCGTCAATAATATTTTCATTTAAATTAGAATTTCCGCAGTTCACATCCCACATCTTCTTCCTTCTAAAACGTATTGCGTGTTATTTTGCTTGCCGTAACATAATAACATTCGGAGGGAAGCAAAGTTATAAGCTGTCCAATTAGTAATATTTTTAGGAACCAGCATGTACATCTGTGGCTACGGGCAGGAAGAGTTATTGTTCAGGAATCTTAAACGATTCTCAGTTTACAATTTTGAAGTAAATTTGATTGGTAAAATCAAGATCATTAATCGAGGATTGTAGGAATGGCTGGAAAGAAACGCTCCACTTGACAACGTATAAAATACACTGTTTTTACGGATAATGACATTACTGAACCATATTTTAAAGTGCAAGTGAATTGAATCCCAAGATTGCATGCAGAAGAAAACAACAAACACTTTACCTTTTTATAACCCTTAAAGCCCCTTTCACTTTTCCTTCTTTTTCTTCATGCTTTGGTTCAAGTTCTTCCTCAACAGGCTTGGCTTCGGGTAGTTGATTCTTAGATAAGAACTCCGATAAGGTAAACGCTGGTGTAGTCAGCATTTTGTGCATGGTTGGAAATGAGGATTTTCTCTCCCTTAAATCTTCAGTTGATACCTGAGCACTCATTGCAGGTGTGCAAGGTGCAGAATTCCACTTCTTACAACCTAAAAGGAAAGCCCGGAATTTGAAGGCTTTTAAATTCTTTTCTGATTAGCCTGCAAATCGGCATTTGTTTTGGATGAAAGCAAACAAAAAAAACACACAAGACAATTGACACTTAACAGAGTGAAAGTTATGACAATTTTCCATGAACCTGCAATTGCATCTCGGATATCACACACTAATATAAATTTAGCAGAGGCTAAAGGCGAAGCTCAGCGTTAATGAAAAAAAGTGCAATAAAGAAATCCAACTAGAGTTGGGCCAGCGATCAGTTGAGAATTAGAAACTTGTCAGCGGTAAACTTCAAAGAACACGTAACCTCGATGGGTCGACACATGAGCCGGCGATACGGTCATGTAATACTGGTCAGCGGATACCCTGTTTTGACAGATGTCAACTGACCACAACATGGATGAGTAATATCATGTTGCAGGTTCCCACACTAGCTAGCACGTTTTTCCAGTGTAGTACGGACGGGAGGGCGTCTGGACGTACGGTCCACACGGATGAACAGGTAACCAAGTTTTCTTAGCAAGGCGGATAAATGTTGGGCGGTGAAACGAGCGCTCCGCTCTTCATTTAATGTGTGATGCGGAGTAAGACTGGCACGAGCGCTCTTTCCGCGCTTCCGGTGGGTTTGAAGGCCGGCGAAATTTTCCATTTTGCAAACCGGAAATCCTATCTTCTCCCTGTAATTTCAGGCTACAATGTTGAATAGATAAATTTGTTTCATAACAGTATCAATAAATAGTTTCATATGTTTGTGTCTGTATGCCTATAAGTCAAACTTGTTAGTCGTATAATGCCAAAATTTGAGTTTAATTTGAAAGCGTTGAATACCTCCTCCTTCCACTAAATATCGCCTAATCGTCTTCCGCCGTTTCGTTTGCAAAAGGTTAACACTTCTTTACCTCAATTTTTACATATGTTAAAGCGGAATAAATTTTATACAACATAACAAAAAATTAGATTGATATATTTTGATATAGTGGCGTTGTACTGCTTCAAACTTTGCTTCTCGGGTGCAACGCGCCATAGCGATCCGCGCAATGCGTCGCAAACCCGGCAACCGCATGTAAACAAAATTTATTGAGGTTAGTTGTAAGGTTTTTTCGCCGTTTTTCTCTCTAAAACAAAACAAGGTAAACAGTAAAAACTAAGGGGAAACTAATTTTGAAGTTTCGAAGAAACAGAAAGTCGTATGAGATGTTTTTTTCAAAATTAAAAAGAAGGATGGTGGCGATTGAAATTAGCATAATTTCACCTTCCACGAGCTGCACGCATTTATAAAATACACGTCATCTAGTTATGAAACACGATCTGCTGTCTTTTAGTTTTGTCATGGATGACATGGATGAGATTTTCCTTCGTGTTTTAGACAGTACTTAGTTGTTTTTGTTTTGGAATAACATCGACATTGGCGAGTAGAAGAACGAAAATATAATTCAGTGGTAGAGTCATGGAAGTAATAAGAGAAACTTTTTGAAAGAGATGTTTGTCTACTCCAACTAAACCTCCCGCAAAAAATACCAACATTTGCCTCTCGGAGACAGCGTACCAGCACAAAGGAACCAGGAAGAAGTGCAAGAAAACAATTCAAGCCGACATAATTCAGTGACAGCGGCAGTACTGGACAAACCACATCGCAAGGCCTTACCGAAGTTGAAAACAAGCGACATTTCTTAAGCAGAGTCCCAGTCCACTGCATCACACCTTTTTGCTCGGACGCGCTCGTTTCACCCCCCAACCTGCATCCGCCCTGTTTCTTAGCTATGTGGCTCCGCTCGCGCGCGCGCGCGCGCGTGTAAAGCTCCGCAAGAAAGCCGCTTTTGATTACTTGATCGTGAACAATTAAGCTGTCAAACCAGTTACAACGGTATACTAGGTACAACTCACAAATATAAAATGGCATAACTTTGTCTTGATAACATACCTCTTCACCTTTTTCATTTAATGAGGGGTTGCCTCCTAAAAGGTTAATTTCATCCCTACACTACTACTACAAATGTACTACTGCCTGGTTCCACGTGAAAGCTACAATCGCTGAAGAATGATCTGCATGGTCGCAGCGATTATACCACAAGCCATCCTCAACGGAGATCGCTACGATCGTTGGCGACTTGTTTTCTTATAATGGCTGTCATCCACGACCTTCTTCGCTGGCCATTTTAGCCGGATTACAGAATACCAGCCTTTGAAGCGTGCAAATTGCAAAATCAGGTCAGTGTTTGTTGTGCGTGTATGTTTTTTCTTTTTTTTGATAAATTCTGTTTGAAGTTCTCCCTTAACACACACACATGCACACACACAATAAAGCATTCAAAGGCTTTTATTTTTCTTTCACCTTGGTGTTTTTTCTTGTTGTTCTTCTTGTTGCTTTCCTCAATCCCTACATCACGGAATTCTGATCTTGGGCAGAGGTTATCTTCTTTTACCACCGCTCGCCGTTTTCTTGTGTGATGAAGCGTTAAGTCAGGTGGACTGTTCTCACTGCAAACATGTGAATCCCGCCTAGGTGAGAGATCTATTGAGCTTACACTGCGCGCAGACACATCTCTACCAGACCTGCTGTATGTCCTTACGTTGTCGGCTGTTTCCACCCTGGTCTTGCCTGTTTTAAAAGAATGTACCTTGTTAATTCTGCAGATATGTATTTCACAAGTCTGTAATTCTGCAACAGGAATTTAGAATGTTTCCGGGTTTCGAAAGTTTTGTTCGGGTTTTAGTTTACACCTCAATAAAATGGTATACATGTTAAAGCGAGCTGTGAACTTTCAAAGTTTATCAAAACACGCTAATGCTAACATCAAGCGTCATTGTTGAATAGGGGAGACACAGAAATTAGGAGAAGCATAACACTCGAACACGCACAGATTTAATGATACAGATACAAGCAAGAGCAAAAACTCTGGGCCACATTGAGAACAACTGTAAGCTCAAAGATGCTAGGTCACCAATGCAAACCTTGTACTAGTAGGTAACTTGCCTAATAGTACTCTATTTCTCTCAAGTTGGTAATTGAAGCTCCCGCTGAAGATCTGCATTCTCGAAGCTTCGCCGCTTATATGTCCTCTTGCCAATGAGGCTATAAGATGAACTTGTGAGCGAAATTCTCAAAGTTCCTCTTCTTGTCGGATGAGTCCTCTTTATTCTAATCCGAAATTTAGATCTCCAAAAAACCGTGTGTTGCATTAAACAGAAAAAAATCAACCTTTAAACAGACTCTGCGGAGATGGACAAACATGCTTCATGGATCACGCATTACCCTCTGGGTTACTGGGTTTATAATTGCTGTGATAGTGCTCATTTTTTGACGGAGAAATCTACTCATTTTATAAACTAGGCTTGCCTTGAAGCAGCCCAGTTTATGAAAAGTTATACATTGATTCAAAACAAATTTGATATATTTTGATACATGTTTTAACCATGTTAAAGCAGTGTTCATCCGCCGAGTGGTGTTTTGCGCATTCTTGGTATGTTTTTGAGGCAGTAATACAACTTTTTCGCCTTCGCGTCACTCAAGCGCTATTTTTTCCAGCTCTACACTGTCAGTCTAAACAGCTAAGGTAACGCAACACTTGCCTGTGTGTCCCTCTTTCGGCCAATACCACTACGATTGACATCACTCGTATTGATATTATTGCTATTATTATTGATATTTTGATGAATAATAAGCCGGAATGATTATGATAATAATGACGTTTAATATGGTAATACCGTTATCAATTATGACGGCAGTAATGATGATTATGAAGTAGAAGATGGTGATCATGGCGATATTTATGTCTTATGATTTTGTGATATTTATAGAAACTTGAAGATGGTACAGATTAAAGAATAGAGAAAAACAAAGGTAGTCTCGTTTAGTCTCGCTCCCTATATCTCTGTAATTAAAAGACAAATCCAGGTAACCATTATAAGAATACCGTAAACTGCCGCTTATAAGCCCTGGGCATTTCCTTCTTCGTAAGGGGTTTTAGGAGGGTTTATGGGGCTCTTGGAGCCGATCAAAATATGTTTTGGATAATAAGTCAAATCCAAGAAAAGGAAAACTAGAGGGGAGCTGAATCGGGGGGAGGGGGAAATTTATAATCGGATGTATTTATTGTCTTACAGGCGGTGAGATAGGTCTATAACTGGGAGGGGGGCTTATATGATGTACCTTCTTGTTCAAGGACTGGTTCGCTCAGGGAGTGTCTACGAGGCATTGGTACCGGGAAAGAGAAGGAAGAATCATCGTGATCCACAAGGTCATACCACATGCACTGGGCTCCACTTTGCAAAAGCTCTGGTGTAAGGCTGATAAGGACCTGCAAGAAGGTAAGAGAGCGAGGTTTACGTGGAGCAGAACCGTTATGACTATATGAAATGTTTAAATTGCTACGTTGCGAAAGAAGGCTTTTTTGCCAAGACTAGAAGTAGATGAAATATGTTTGAAGAAATTTTTGATTTCTCCTGCTTCTGTAAGCAGCTAACTATGTAATAAGAATTAGACTTTTAATAATCGAACGAACCGTCACAAGACTGGTATTTGCGCCAACAGGTCACGTAACCCTAGCTCCTACAGAAGTGTATTTCACAAAACATCTTTGAATTAAAAGGACGCCCTTAGCTCCAGAACAAAAACAAAAAAAATGGAAAATACAAATCACCGTCTTTGAAACAAAATTATCCTTCCTTAACCTGTCGTAATACGTTGCCTAGCGAATAAATAAATAAATAAAACTCTAATGGCTTACACAATTACTGCGTAGCCCAGTAGTTTACATTGTGGGCCCATGCAATATAGATACCTCTCCGAGAAATGTGTGACTCCTTGCCTGATCTTCACTCCATAAAGTTACTTCCAATGTCCTGAGAGAAAGCTTAAAAATACTTGCAGAACTCAGTATCTTTTAATGTCCAATCCAGAAAAAACAAAGATAAGGGAGTGAATACCCCAGTTAGGCCATATTCTTTAAAGGAAAGTCCCTGTAAAAATGGAGTGAAACTTACATTTTAATGTCTTTTTGAAATTAAACGTAAATGGCTTGATATGTAGAAAGATGTAGAAATCGACAGTTATTAAACTTTTACCCAGGGGGGGAGGAGACGAGGTCTGGGACCGAGAAACGATGTTCTCACAACTTGCAAAGCGGTCACCCGGCGTGCTGGTCAGCGGATAATTGCACTTTTTCCCACAGTAAATATTTTTAGACTTTTTAGAAGCAAGAAGCGAACCGGCAGAGGAAATCAGAAATGCTTAAAAAATTGAAAAAAATAATATCATGCATCTCTGCTTTTCTTGCATATCGTCTTTGTCTTTCACTACTGAAATTGCGGGGAAAACTAAAATGCAGCTGTGTTTAATAGATCTTGACCAACAACAACGCGCTCGATCGATTTATAGGTTACATTGTTTTTGCAGGGCAATGATACCTTGATGCTGATAACAATTACTGGAGAAAGTGTCAAATTTATCGGAAGCAAGTATATTCAGAGAGCTTTATGAATATGAGTTTACAGCTCTACATATCACAACTGAATAAACATCCACACTTCTGTCTTCATAACATTTCACTTCGTTTATTACGATCAGTCAACACCTTGAATCCAACGTTAAAATTCAAAACGATCCTAATGAACAAATTACAACTACTACTGAAAGCTCTGTACCTTGAAGCGACTTTAACTTTCCTAAGGTTTGCAGCAAAACATTGCTCGATATCTCAACTCTTCGGCGATTCTTATCAGCTATACGGAGCTAATTATGTTACATACATACATAGTTTATTTGGTAACGCAGGTTACAGAATACGCAAGACTGAAGTCCTGATGTGGACCTGCCTATCTACTTGTTAAAAAACTAAAGTATATACATGTGAATAAATAGAAAATCAACAGAAGTTAAATAATAAATAATAATAACAATACAAATATAAATAAGATTAATAAAGAAATTCCTCATTCCTATTTCTTATCATGGAAGATTCCTTATTATGGCTTATAGAATTAATTAAGTCCTTGCTAGATCTAAGTCTTTTTTTAAAACATTCTAAGCTAGAAGACTTTTTGATCGAATCAGGAAGTGAGTTTCAAGCAATGGCAGCTCTATGCTTAAAAGTCAGCCTGCCAATTTCTGATTTGGGACTTGGAAATTCAATATTCATTGATTTCCTTAGGCAGTGAGATGATTGTTTTAACATTACTAGATCATTTAAAACATTGGTATTGCATCTATAGTAGGATTTATACGCTTCTACTAACAGTCTCTTAGTATAGTAAAATGATAAATTCTTCCAGCCTTTCAATTTATTTAATTGATCAGCATTCGAATCCCTTGAAAGTTTAAAAATAAGTTTAGAAGCTCGTATATGAGCACGCTCAAGATCATCCATTAGTGCAGGTGAGCAGGAACCCCATACTAGTATTCCGTATAAGACACTTGGAAGTACAGTCCAAAAATAAATGGTCTGTAGAATGGATGATGGCAAGAATTTAATTCTTCTGAGGACTGCTATTTTCTTATTAAAAGATTTTAACAGACTTTTAGTGTGTTCTTGCCAAGAAAGATTACTGTCTATAGTTACTCCTAGACATTTACATGATGATTTTAATTCAATAAATTTTTCACCATACTTCAAAGGCAACAATGGACCAATGAATCTTTGTTTAGATAATAATAAGGCTTCTGACTTAGTTTCATAACAGAAAAAGAAAACCACACACTATGTCTGAAAAGCGACGTAAAATCAATAAAATTGCGAATTACCAAAATATAATAGTGAGAAACAGTCCCGCCTTCGACCGCCATGCTTTTGTTTCTTCTCAAGACCGTTGATTTATGGTTTTTGACGTAATGCGCATGATCAGTACACAAATCCGCTGGCAAGAAGCTTGCTGATCGCTTTGCAAGTTGTGAGAACATCGTTTGGATTTCATTTAAGGTGGCTCCCTAGAGTAAATTGGCCGTGCGCAGCCTGAGCACTAGTATGGCGCGAGCTTTAAAATCCGCGCGACGTCCACGCAAAAATTAAAACAAACATGGCCTCTCATTTGAAATATTCCCCCCAAAAAACTTTATTAACTTTCTATTGAAGCTCATTGTGCAAAAAGTTTGATTAGTGTAGGTCAAACATTTATGAGAGGAGACAATGTTACACCAGTTACAAGTCACTATCGATCTCCAAACGAGTAAGTTGTATGTAAAAACAAAGCAGAAATTTTCCGAAGACATCAATTCTTTCGCTAGTCGAAATAGTCGAAGTAAATGGACAAGGTTTTTGCACAACGAGAAATAATTTTTACTCACAGATTGACCCTTGACGAAAGCAATAGTTGTCCGTCGAGACCTACGGTCTTGTACATGTAGCTGAGGACATGATATACGATTTATAGATCGGCGCCATCTTTTACAGCAGACTTTAAAAGAAAAACTTCGCCGTCGAAATTATCCCTAAAGAAGAACAAGGCTGAAAAGTATCCGGAAGTGGGCTAACATTTGAAGATCTGCAAACAGTGTACAGCAGATTAGGAAATGAAGGGTTTATTGCGATCCTTGCACAACCACCGTCTTCATCGCCGACGATCGCCATCCTCACGAGTGACCACCACGCTTCGAATTTTAGCTACAATAGTCAAGTACTTCGAAGAAAACATCCTGTGTTAGGTATAAAATTGAATCCGCTATCCCTCCTTTTTCAAGTGGCGAGATATCACCGTAATGATACTAATAAACGGCTTCCAAAAAATGGCTTTCGTACTCTTCAAAGAAACCACATGTTTTCAGTAGCTTTATGCATTATGCGCATGCGGGCGTGATGGTTCGCGCGCGTATTTTGCTCACACGACCCCAAACCACGCGTGTTTTCGGATTTTTGTGACGTTAGCGCAGTTAATTAACCGTTAATTTCTCGCGTTTCCTTCGGTAAATTATTTTAAAAATCGCCTCATTTCTTAACAGTCGCAGTACCTTTGTACTGTCATTTTTTTGTCAAAATCTGTAAGAACTAAACTCCTCTATTAAGAAAAATTACAAACTTCAAAATATTGGCAAAACCGTCTTAACGACCCCATGTTTTTCCACTTTAAAATGTTAAGCAATATCGTTAATATAAAGTGGCAAAGTTTAAAGACATTTCACCGCGGGAAATTAGAAATATCAAGGAAAAATGGGCAAAAATGACAAAATTACTGCCTGTTTAAGGATGCGATGTTTCCATGGCAACGGCCTTAATCCAGAAAATGAAACTTGATAAAGGAGCCTTCTTATATGGGTAACCTTAGCGGTGAATCTCGTGAACAAAATCGCAAAGACAAAGTAACTAGATTTCCTTCTGTAACGTATGCTTGATAGCTCGGATTATTAGTAAATACTCTAAGGAGCCACCTTAAGAGAATGTATGGGAAGTAGCTTCCCCCCCCCCTGCTTTTACCTTTCCCTACTTTTCTGATCATGACGTTTTGCCTATGACGTCACAAAAATTGTTCTGTTAATGTGCTATATCATATTTATACCTAAATATGGTCTAAGAAGGATCTCAAGACTGAAAAAAAAAAAACAGTTTCATCGCCATTTTGTCAGTTGAAATATGTATTGAATAGGACCTACATGTATTTGGCGCATCTGCTTTTTTACCCTCTATTTTAGCCACACTTGTGAATTACACTTGTAGAAGTTTTACTAAATTGGGCTAGGAACTCACTACGATTTTCCTCACCTCATCACTTGGAATATTTGAAAAGATAAAACTTAGATCCCAGTTTGGAGTTACCGTTTGTGGGTCTGTGTTGGTTTTAAATCGACTTGATATCCTAAAAAGAGATTGAGAAAGTCAAAGGCTATCACTCTTAGATATTATTCTGATTATTACCTTGTGCCATAGAAAAGGTTATATACTATTAAGGCTAAAATGGCTCATTCCTAGCAATGTAGACTTTTCAACACAGTGCAAAAAAGTTATGCAACATAGCTTCCGACTTCTCAGGTTAACTTTGCTGACGAACACTGTGAGATACAGCGGAGAACTTGGTGCTTAAATTTTAAGCCTTGATAATGAAAATTTTTCAAGCTTTACAAATCCCCGTTTTTCACACCATTACCGGCTCTTACGTCTTGCTTTATGAGGGCATGATCAGCAAGAAGAAGCTGGGAAGTGAGAGAGTTAATACTGGCTTCAAAAGTTTTAACGTGGTGTTCGTTCTCAATTTCGTCCTGTTGGTTACTTTGAGATAACACAAAAAGGTAAAAAAAAGGACTTTACGCATGGGAAGTACAATTACTGGTAACTCTTTAGTTTTCGTTGTCACCCACAACCAGGACAGAAACAAATATGTACATTCGAACCTCCACTAACGGCCACCTCTGCACAACGGCCACCTCTCACAGCGGCCACCTCTCACAACGGCCACCTCTCACAGCGGCCACCTCTCACAGCGGCCACCTCTCACAACGGCCACCTCTCACAGCGGCCACCTCTCACAGCGCCCACCTCTCACAGCGGCCACCTCTCACAGCGGCCACCTCTCACAACGGCCTTTTTTTTTGGCGGACAGTCCATACATCATTCGCTCTTGTTTCAACCTCTCGACAACGGCCACCTCTCTACAATGGCAACTTTCTTCTGTCCCCAAGGTGGCTGTTGTAGAGAGGTTCAACTGTATTTTAAATAAACATAAACCTGGAATTTTTGTAGTAAAAGTGCTGCAGACAAATTGGAAAGGTTAAATGAGCGCGCGATCAGGTTTGTTTTCAGGGATAAGTACACAAGCTACTCGGAACTTCTCAACGCATTAGGCCTCTCATCTTTAAAACAACAAAGATTAATTAAAATCACACTGTCTATTTTTAATGCCGTGCACAATTCTTTAGCGCCCAAAAGTATACAAGACCTGATAGTTCATAGGAAGAACGTTAGCTACAATTTAAGAGGTTACTATATCCTCTCGCTACCCAAGCCAAAGTCTACTACATATGGCTTGAACTCAGTCCGTTATATTGGTCCGAAACTCTGGAATTCAATTCCGAACATGTTTAGAAATATAACGAATTTTAAGTCTTTTAAGAGATCCATTAGCCAAGTTGACCTAGTGCAATTTTTATAATTTCGACGCTTTTTTATTGAATTTAGTATTTATTTAGATATAAGATATACTTATTAAGATTTTATTGTTACAATTTTAATTATATAATATTCCATATCTAGTTTTTTAACTCTTACTTTTATTGTGTTTGTGGAATACCTGTAAATTAGCTGGCGTGCTTTCACAGACCCCGATTTCGGTTCCGTCTGTGAAAGCACACCATTATTGTAGCTAAGTGTATTTCCACAATAAACTCTTATTGTGTTGTATTGTATTCTATTGTTAAGAATCCGAATTTAACCTGAGTTGACAATTTAACACGCGTGAACGAGGAGTTAAACTCGGGACTGCCGAGAACACATCCAGCAAGCAGTTTGGACGGGATTTGAAATCAGGCTTCCGGATTGCAATTCCAAAGCCGGTTCTAACTGCTCGGCCTCGCTGCTTCCCCAGGTATGGTAGAGAATTGACATACTCACTCTCTGTTAGGCAGCAAGTAAATAAGCACGTAAGGATTTGGTAGCTGGTTTGGTTTGTCTTGTAATGATAAGCTCTTCGCACCTATCACCCGGACTATGATATTGCTTCCATTCGGATCATGCCATAGCTGCAGCTACAAGATATTTAAGCAAACAACTGATTAAAGTATTAAGGCTAAGCTTGTTGATGGTCTTCGTACTCTTTGACTTGTTGAGTAAAAAGCTAATTAATAATAGAGATTTTGAGGTCACTTAAATCTTGAGATTTAACTGTATTTATCCCGGCTTTTTTTGATGTGTTTGGTTCGAACAGAAGACACCTAAGCCACCAAAGTTATTTCAATGGTATGAACAGTACGAGAATGAAACTTCCAGAGTTTGTAAAAAGTCAGAAAATTGCCAGATCACGTGATGCAATGAAGTTATGTTTCCTTGGATCGTCCATAACTTAGTTTACGGCGATTGATAAAAGTGTTGTGCAGAGTATCAGCTCTCGAATGGTTTAAACTAACCGAAAGGACAAGTTTGGTGGGTATTGTTTAAAAAAAAAACTAGCCTAGCTGGTTAATGGTATCTCGTTCCGGTAGGAGGAAGGTAATTACACGATTTATGACGTAACTTCTTTCCAAAGAAGAGAAGGAAAATACCACTCATCGTTATGAAATCTCTATATTTACCAGTATTTGTCCTCTGTTCCTTTCTGCTTGGATTTTAGTTTCACCCTGGGTAAGTATCAGAAATAAAATAATAATAATAATAATAATAATAATAATAAATGTAAGTTCTTTTTTTCCAATAGACGTTCAATTAAACGGATCTTAGATCTTGTTGAATCCAAAAGAGTTGGATGATATTCGATCAAGATAGCTGAGGCTTTCACTGTCTAACATGTTTCAAAGGAAGCTCGAGTCAAAACGAATACTAGGCCAATGTTTCATTTAAAACTTAAAATCCACGTACAGAGATATTTTTTGCTTAGATGTATCATAAGGGTGCAAACGAAGGCCGAAAGTTGCCCGTGTGCACCGTTGAAGTTATTCAAACGTGCTCAATTTGATGCTTAGCTAGTCCGGGCTACTCAGACAACCACTGTCCATTATAACAGGAGAGATACTAGGCCATGCATACACAGCCAGACAAGATGCTTGAACTGACACTTTTATCTTAACAGGTGCTAGTTGCCCGCGTTTGCTAACCTTTGTATACAAATTGTCGCGAAAGCTTGCCTACCTCTTCAGAGGTGAAGTCATTAGTCATAAACTGAGAAAGTGACCATCGTGACCAGCCTGTAAAGCTTTCTGTAATTCAAACAATTGAATTTAAGTAAATCAATGGGAAGCAGGTTACTGTTACCATATGTACCAACACTAAGAACACCAAACGCTTCTCCCCATAAGGAAGACTCAGATTCACAGAGAATCAAGGAAAGTGACTAAAGGGGTAGTAGAGACCAAATGTACGGCTAGTTGTCCGTTTTAGGGGGGGAAAGGGGATGTCCATCTTAAAGAGGTGTCTGTTGAGAGAAAGTAAACTACAGAGAACACTCTTGGGATAGATAGATTGGAGTTACAAATCAGTTTCCACGCTCCATCCATAGCCAGTCAATCATCCACCAATGGTGACACCATTTTGGACATGTTGGACTAAGTCTCAAAGTAATGGTCCATTTCCGAGTTGCCCGAAGCCTTTGTTTTAAAGTGAGGCCATTGATATGAAATTTTGTTTTTACTATCTAGCAAATAAAACTCATTTTCAAAAAATAGGTTTTGCACTAGCATCCTTTTGAAAGTGGCCTCGAAAATGGACTATTGAATATTAAGCACGAGACACAGTGTTCCATCCGCTAACGCTTCGTCCCCAGTCCTTTGCAATCGCTTTCCATGACTCCATGTGGAGCCCTGTACACGTTCCTATCATCCCCAAACGCCATTTTCTTCATTCTCTCAAAGCTTTTTAAGAATTGCCGTACTGGCCGAGAGAGGCCATATTTTGAAGCCAATGGTCAATGATCAGTTCTATTTTCTCCGTTACTAAAAAAATACGCCGCCAAAGCGTTTCTTGACCATTAAAAAGGCCGCAAAATCAACCGGATCAAGTTTGTTTTGTCGCAGTTCTGTTACTTCTCAACTGCAGACACCAACCCGACATTTATATATTGTGTTTGAAACCCTTCCTTCGTTTGAATTATATTTTCCTTTCCTGATTCCAATCGTTCGCGTGATTCCGAACTGTCTTTGGGTATGGCACTGTATCATAATGAGTCTTAAACAAAGGAAACTAAAATTTGAACCAAGGATATAACTGAACCACATCGATCATAAACATGGGAAAACCAAAACGACACTAACTCAGACTCATTTATAAATTCGCCTCGCCTCTTGTGCTCCACCGGGTCTCGCTTTGTAAGAAATATCTTAGTTTTCTCTTGGTATACAACTAGGAAATCTGATACGGCTAGATTTAAATGATTGCTAGCACATACTCACCGCGTGTTTTCGCTTGCTGGAGCAAGGTCATCTCCATTGTTTCTCTAGAGTGCTGGCGAGACAGCTTAAAACTTGAGTATAGATTCAATCATAAAATTTATTAGTAACGATCGTTGTAATAAGTCAGCTACATAAAAGGATTTTTACAAAAAGGAGCTATGTTACGATATTGTAATTGCATTATAGCCCTTTAAAAACACCTAGGGCAATAATTTTAATTGTAAGTTTCCTTTGTTTATTAAAAACTTACTCTTAATACCGTACATAGATCAAAGCTACATATCTTTACGGGCTTTCGATTACAATGATGGAAATGGCTACAGCTTGGGTAATCATTTTAAAGTTCAACTCTCACGTTTTCTTAAGATCAATAACAGCTGATCGTACTTTTTCCTTCGAAAGTACTGTTTGATATCTTTCTTTTAGAGATCTCCGAGTGAATAAACGTTTTAGGATTGATTTAAATTTCAACTCAACTATCTCCCAAGAAAAAGTATCACCTATGAAACGGGAGTTGCTAAGCTCTTGAAACTTCAAAACGTACTTGTTTCGTGTTCTTAGACATTCACGCCTGCTTACAGCCCGCCCCACGTAAGGGAATCCAAGACAGTCTTGGATTCTGGATTCCACACCGTGGATTCCGGATTCCAAGTACTGGATTGCGAACTCCAATCGTAAGTGGGATTCAGGATTCCATGAGCTGTATTCCCGATTCCAAAGCCCAGTTTTCTTGATTCCACAAGCAAAAATTTCCCCTATTAACCAGATGCCCAAAGTAAAATTTCCCGGATTCCGGAATCCGAAATCCCTTACATGGGGCGATAACAGTGCCTCAAAGAGCACTCGGAAAGATTCGTGTCTCCTCATCAGTTCGAAATCATTCAGTTTGTTTTACCTGGTAGTATTATGACAAACAACGAGGTTGACTTCCTCTGGCGAATCAGCAATAATACTCCTGACTTGTTCAAATGATACATCCACCATTGATCTGTGATTCCATTCCAGAATCTGGTCACCTTTAAACAATACGACAAAGTTAGTATCGATCCCTAGTGTAAATCGGATGTACTTTTTCACCTGCAAAAGCGCTTTAATAAAGGGTAGAAAATTTTATTCTCCCTGCCTTTTTCCCACAGTTTTCTAAAATAGAGGAACATCAAGGAAGACTCCCTTTATAATAGTATGATTATTATCGAAATGGTATATGCCGTATAATTTTGTTGTTTCCGTTCATATTTCTATCTTTTTAAATTTGTTGTAACTAGACCGATGCCTCCCTTTGGAGAGTAAGGCGCAATAAAGATATACTATACTATACCATACTTTATAGTATACCTGTACATGAACCGAAGACTTAGACCCTGTTTACACGGGTACGGATAAATTCTGTTACAGCTTGCAGCACTGTTTGCCCTTCAAAAAACTTGCACGATGTGAACGAAAAGCGGATCCGTACAAGTTTAGTCCGTTCAAAAATTTGTCCGGATCCATGTTGGCGGGGTCTTAGAAAACTTAAACAAGAAAAAGTATGAAAATTCAAGAAACGTAGACGGGGGTGTTTTGGGTGTTTTAGGGATGTTGTGGGGATGTTCCGGGAAAGTTCCAGGGTGTTCCGGGCCTGTTCCAGATTTTACAGACACCCAAATTCTGCAAATTGGAGAGATTATTATAGATGGCTTGCCTTCTTTCATGCACTTCTCTGCTGTGGAACCTCCTGTTACCTTGGCGACATACACACCATTGAAGCCACCTGTACACATTCTTCCTCCGACCACTTTAATACCGAACTCGGAACCTGTAATAAACGCAGCGATTTTGAAAGCTGGTGAGCGCTAAATAACCCATACACAGAGCTTTACAAAAAATGGCTCCGTTCTTCAGAAGAGGCACAACATGCATATGTGAGCTCTTAGATATGGACTGGGAGATGATCTCTTCTTCATACTTTTAGTACTCCTTCTTAAAAGGAATACAAAAATTATTAGTTACCTAAAATAACAGAAATAATCAAAGACTTCAGAGTAAAGGTATAGACCTTATTTTATGCTGGTAACTCGCAACAGTGCTTAAACCGGGACAAATCTGAGGCCGAATATTCGCTCATTTTACCCCTCCCTCCCTATTTGTTTCAGTGCTCCGTTTTACAGGTACCTAAAGCTATACTTAAAGCTATATAAAAAAGATAAAAGTTGAAACTAGGATTGAGCTCCGCATACCTGGAGCTTCCCGCATAGAAGGCTGCGCTCCTGAAAGAGTGCGCTCGATCACTCTAGGTCCCAAACTCTTTCTCCTTTGCCAGGTTATTTACTGGGTCATTCGCAACTAGCAAAATCTGCGGAGGGGGTTGCATTGAGTAGGGTATAAATCTTAAGATCCGTTCAATCAACTGGCGCGTGTTCCATTCAATCTCACTCCAATTTATTTATTTATTTTTTTTTAGTTTAATCTACCAATACCTTCTCCTCTGAGACACCCATCCACAATACCGTGAGTATGTTTAAAGCATACCTGATCCTGATCCTCCATAAAAGAGAGTACTTTTGCGAAGAGAAACCATTTGAATGATTGGGCATACGCCCTGGTTGTTTGACAATGTAGACACTGCAATCTTCATGAAAAACAATAAAGATCAGCACGGAATAGGGCTGAGTTTAATTCAGATATTAAATTAATTACTGTCGAGGCAACTATTTACCCCTATAAATTTTTGATGTTTTTACCTTCTAAATTGAAGTATAATAAATTATAAAGGAAATCAAAAAATTCTTAATCGTCGCTTTGAAATTATCAGTTGTTTTCAAAATTCTTTTCTCAACGTACAAAATACCCCCTTTTTAACATGGAAAAGAAAAAAATCGCATTGCGGGGAAAAATATTACTTTTAACTTGACGTTTTAGTATGCTTCAACAAACATATTCAGAAGTAACGGTTTATTCGCCAGAAAGAGGGTACTGCAGGGTTAGCTGTCGGCATGGGTTCAAATACCGGTCACATTAATACTCAGGACATTGTCTGTGTTTCACATTTGCAAATGCTTAGACCTTGTAGTCTTCCCCGACAAGAAGACTAAAACAAAATCATGAAACGTAAGCCCCGTCTCACAGAACTTCAGTCTTCGGAGCTTACTCTTGTGCACTTGAAGAACTAGGTTTTTTGCAAATTATACCATTGTTTCCTCACTAAAATGCTCCACTTTAATGCTCCATTTTTCCCACTAAAATGCTCCGTCGCCCTCAAAATAGTCATTAAAATGCTCGGATGAAGCTCATCATTAAGAGTTTCTTTTTTATCGATTCTTGGCGTTTTAAGAGAGTTTAAGGCTAACAAAAATGTACAAGTGGTATGACAACAATGTAAGCAAGCCGAGTCATAGTTTTAATGCAGCAAAAAATGATCCCATTAGAGTGAAGTTTGGATATATTTCTCCTTAAAAAAATGTTTCAATCTTTACTTTCTCTGAGAAGAAAACTAATAATTTCCCACGAATATGCCACTAAATTACTCGAATAATGCTTAACACTTTTGCCTAACAAAAATGGCTCAAAGAATTGCTTGCATAATGTACAAAAGCATATGAAGAACCACAAAGGGGATGAAGTTCCCAGCTCCCTAGTGTCTATCTTCAGTCAACATTCAAATTGTTGCCTGGCTGTGTTGTCCTGGCCTTACTCTACGACGACAATTCTAAATCTAAAGCCGTCAGCCATCAGGGCCTGGAAAAACCACCGATTTGGCAGCTTTCACAAATAGTCTTTTATAGAAAAAGCGTTCCGAATTAGGAGAACTTATTATTATCTTCTCTTTTTTAGATTTCGTTAGTTTTAGGGCAGACAAGAAAAATGTATAGTAAACTGATCATTAATGAGTGGACTTACTTTTCGCTGTGTTGTCTGATTTTCCAGCTCATGGTAGTCTGTAGGAGTACTAAAAAATCAATGTAAAATCATCAGACAGTGTGTCACATGAATGCAGAGTCTTAAACTCTCTCTTATCTTAGAATAGAGATGAGTTTTATACTGCCCTGACTGATTCGTCTGATTCGGTCTGTAACCATACGAGTGATTAATCATGAGTGTGATTACAGACCGAATTGGACTCCACTCACTCCTATTACCATTATTAACTGACTAACCAACTGTGTTCATATCCTGATGCATCCTGCGACTCGTCGCCAAACGTTTCTTCGTCTACGGATGAGGAAAGAATAAACGAAGAACCACTCGTCTCGCCTTGACTCTGTTCTTCTGGGTGAGGAAAGCTGAGATATTCGTCCGAGTACATTGGTTGTTCGCTATTATCTTCTTCAAAAACGTCGTCATCATCTCCGTCAGCATCTGAATCATCATCTTCACCTTGGTACCTTTTTACGTGCAGCCTTCTCTGACTCTGAGTGTACTTCAAAGTGTTTTGGGGCTGTTGCTGTCTTTGGGGTAAAGAAGGAGCGTTGCACAGGCTCGGTGGCTCGTAAGGGGGTGATGAAACTCTAACAGCTGGCTCATCTCTCCTTCTGCAAGTTGCCTACGTTGAGAAGGATTTTTTTAGAACGACGTTTAAAGTTCAGTCTCTTCGGTCTTCTAGGACCGAAGGGTATGAGGTTTCAGATTTCTCTTTATATTGTCTAAAACAATAAAGCTATGCCATGAAAGCTCTGATGATTTATTACTTATCTAAGGTCAGCCAGAACAGTTTACTCCTAAATATAGTCATGATTTACGAGTCTTTGGCGAAAACAATCGAAAACAGCCCATTTCATTTTCAAGAGATAACAGGTCCAGCCAGTCAGTTCTGATCTTTGGTAACCGCCCTAAGATAAGCCAATTTGCGATAACTGATAACGCCATGCATTATGTCCTGGAAATTGCATTGGAACCCCGCCATATCAATACAGTGAATTGATATCGGCAGGTGACTCAGACTCAGCTGTTTTGTGATAATTGTAGAGTCGAGGAAAACGGCGGAAGATTTTATAAGTTATATGAAGACAAAATAGGCTAACTCCTGCCTCACAAACACAGTGAAGATCAGGAAAAAACAACCACTCGAGGAGTGAAACTTTAAACCAATCATTGGATTCGGCTTTCGTGCATGATATGAACAATTATGTTGATTTAGATCTTGGAGGAGTTATCCGCCTCATTGGATAAAACCCTCATCAATGTATTACAGCGGAAGATCTAGCCTGTTCCAGGCGTTCAGAGAGTGGAGCGCGGCGCGAAGTAAGAGTACGGATTTTCCAGCTCACACCTCTTCGCGCCGTCCGCACGATCTGAAGGCCTGCAACAAGTTACGGAAAATCAAAAGAAGTGTCCTTAAACATATTCGTATACACACCACTTCCGTTCGCCTCACAAATTCTTCAGCAATCTTATTAAGCATCACTTGAACCTGGAATCTTTCACACAACTCAACATCACTGTACCATGCGCCTGTTAAGATAAGGCTTGCTCGTTTCTTCAAGCATAAATCACACCTCCACTTGCCCTGTCAAAAATAAAAATCCTCTTTAAAAACTACTAGTCAGGCCTCTAGTCTATGAATGCGCCAAAGATCTCTAATGCCTTAAGGTTTAAGACTATATATCAAGATCACCAATATTAGGATATAAATCATACTTCATCTCTTTTCCCGCATCTTGAACACGTCTTTTTACTGCAGCTTTCACAGACGAGTGCCGATATTGATGCCACTTTAACTTTCAAACAGATATTGCAGCTCTGTGCGATATTTTTCCTGTGCAAACTGCGAGATCTTTGATCGATTTTCTCTTCAAGTTCCTTGATTTCTTGCTCGAGTTTTCTAGTAAGGAGATTTAAAAGTCATTGATCAGTGAATTCTCAGTGCTTTCCATTAAAATGACACTTAGATAGATTCGGCCCTGCTGTTCTTTATTTACGAACTCTTTAAAAAGTGGACACTACTCTCTTTTACGCTAGGATTGACACCTAGGGTACATGCTGTTTACACAAGGAAGCCAAATTTTCCGATATATTGGATCAGAGAATATGGGCTGTTCCCGGGATCGTATAGTACTCAACAAAGTTTAAAACGGGAGGGCTCCGCCGCCAGATCCAACCCCTTACCCTTTTACTGACCATTTTTGACAGAAAATGAGAGCATACCCTCTATTGACAAATGGTACCCCTTTCACATACCTAGTTTAGAACTTTGTTTCATCACCAGATGAAACACCGAGAAAGAGTTGAAAATACGACGCGCCGGAGTTTTTACAACTGCTGTAAATGTCTCTTTCTTTAAAATATTTTTGAATAAATGCAAAACAAAACCATAACATTAAACATTTTTCTTTCCTTTTCCTTTGTTTCTCATTCATGATAAATCACAAAACCATAACGTTTTCTCCTTTTCCTCTCAGTCATGAAATGGATTTGCCTTTTTACAGAGAGAATAGCAGGTTTCTCGACCCTCTCATATAATATACTTCCTTCCTCCTTTACTTCCTTACTAGTAAAATCGGTACTTCATGTACACCAAGGCCATAAAAGGTACCCCTTTCGGGCGGACCCTTCCGGTAGAGGCTACTCTGAGGGAGCACTCTCTTCCAGGGGGAGGGGCTGTCGTGGAATGCATCCAGTTTTCCTACTTTCTTAGTCAGTCAGTTCAAGCTGATTTGGATTTACTTCGTAACGGGTACTTCTTCAAAGAGCTTAAATTCAGTTGTAAAATGATTGTGCACGAGAACTTCAACCTGATGGTTTGTGTAAGTGGTAAGAATACCTAGTTTTGTCTCCAAAAGTGTTCGTGTAATTCACTTCAAGATTAACTTAAAGATCATATTTTATATGCTTTCAAAATCAGCGGCAAACATGACAAGCTATTTACAGAGATTTCAGAACGGTTGATGCCATTAAAACTCATTTGTCCTTGATTGATGACGGAAAATGAGAGTTCAGTTCAGTTGCTTAATCACACTTTATATAATGTTTACATTTATCAGATAGCAACATAGGATTAAATAATAAATAAGAGAAAAATACAGGCTGGGATAAGTGGCTTTAAGAGACGTTTACGGTGGTCAGAGGAGCGTAGATGGTAGAACGTTCCAATGATACATCTCAAGTGGCAAAACGCGGCTCATCAACAAAACGACAACAATAACAACGATAGTAACAAAAAGATGCCTCCTCGAGGCATTTTTATCAATCTGACCTTCCGGATGAAATAATATAAGTTGTATATATTTTACCTTTTTCTTTTGGCGTTGATTTCGTGCAGAACCCATTGCCTCTCAAATACGTCTCGTAACCTCGACAGTTCCTCCTCTGATAAGAGTGTGACGTCAATATCACTAAGCAACGGCACAGTGTTGGAATTCTCCTCCGGCATTTTCGCGCCATTTTGGTTTCTGCTTGTGGCCTATTGTTTTATATCAAGGAGTTAAGCTATTATAAGCCTTTATGAGCGTTAACCTAATCGCAAGCTAAAACAAATATTGAGGCCCATTTGTCACTTCAGTTGAAATCGATTCGAATGGTCAAGAAAACTTGCAAACCAGAGACCCATATTCGGGAGATTTAACCGAGTGTCCTTTTTGATGCAAATTCTATCTTTTTGCTAAATGGGCACGTGCATATGAAACGTGGAAACAATGCCAGTGAATAATGAGGACGCTCACTTGTAAACATAAAAATCTGGGGGGAAAATTTGAATATTTGAATATCTGAGGCCTTATTTGAAAGCCTTCTCTGTTTTCAATGTTCTTAAAACTTGCAGGGTATATTTATAGACGATTGATCTCGGGATTGTAAAGTTTATAAAAAATTTATCGAGCGGTTTTTTTGAAAAATGCGAAAATTGTAGGCATGGACCAAATTACGTGCAAAAACTGTAACAAAAGCAGCTGAATGCAAGTTACTAAAATTCTTCTTACTCGCGATCGCCCGGAGCAATTCTCCTCTTTTTTGTACGCAGTTTTCAATGGAATCAAACCACTACGAGACAAAGTCGCGTTTCCAAAGCTTATCATTTTCTTAAAAATTTAGCCAATTGTGCGGATAGCATGCTATTTCACTGTTTTTATGATCCTTGAAACTTCGTTTAAAAATATCTCGCAAACGCTCTCAGAGAATTTGTTCAAACTTTGCCATAATTGAGGCAATTATGCCAGGTACAAACTCTCTTAAGCGATTTCTTTAAAAAACTCTTGGTACAGAGAAAAGCAAAGATAAATAAGAAACGTAATGGCGTCGTTACGTTGCCATGGCGACCCTGATTGCAATAAAACCCAGATCATAAGAAATTTTCATCTTTATATAATACAGTTGCGGTAATCTTTTTTCCATATCTTTACTCATGGCGACGTAGTTAATGCTCAAACTTGGGAGGTATCCCCAGCAAAAAATCCAGTCGAGCCACCTTAAAAAGATGCTTTAGAAAGCCTAATTAACACACGAAAGAGTCGAAAGAGAACATCAAGAAGGATTCTAACAGGTATTATGTCGAAAAATTCGGAAAATTGTGAGTCAAAAACCCACAATTGTAAGCGTAATTTGTCACCCATGATATTAATAGGTAATTATAAAGATTTTGGAAATTGTCAGAATTTGGACAAACGTGCATGAAATTTCACTTGTCATCATTTGATTACATAAACGAACAACATGGTTTAAATAATAAAGCGGGAGAGGTGGTATAAAAACAAGTCAACTTTAGCCTCGTTTCCCTGTATCATTGTAAAATGGACTATTCATTTAAGAATAATAGCGAAAAATAGAATCGAAAAAGGTGATGGTATAGAGTGATTTCACTTAAGGTGGCTCCTCATTAATACAGGCGCATTTAGCTGTGACGAAGTTTTCGTCATAACTTTTTCGTTTTTAACGCGATGGCTGCGAAAATTTGCAAAGAACAACAGACATCATTCAGCAGTAGTACGAAATATTCCGATTTCATTGATGGCAAATATGTGTTGCTAAATTAGTGCTTAAAAGGACCCTGCTGTTCAAAAAAAATCGCGTCTACTTTAAAATTTTGCCGATATTTTTTACTGATATCTCTGGTATCGGCTTTAATTGCTCTAATAAATATGCCAGAGAAATTTCAGAAAAATCGTTGGAGTAGAAGTCCGTAACTAAACGTCGCTCAAAATTCAGCTGTGAAATTGTTTTGGAATTTCAAATATAAATTACTATCAGGTAGAAGGAGCCACCTTTTAAGCACTTATTTAGCAAAATATATTTACCCTTCAATGAAATCGGAATATTTCGTACTATTGCCGAATGATATCTGGTGTTCTTTTCAAAGTTTCGCAGCCATCGCGTTAAAAACGAAAAAGTTTTGACGAAAACTTTGTCACAGCTAAATGCGCCTGTTATCATTGACGGAGCCACCTTAACCTGTGAAATACGTAGTAGTCAATACTAAGCACTATTATGCACTAATTCCATTGTCTTCCTTTGCTTTCTTGTGGCTGTTTTGCACTAGTTAGTATCTGTTTCACGGGTGAAGTAAATTCACTGTAATGAATAATAAATAATAACTTAAAGTAATAATAAGTAATAAATAATAAGTAATAAACCCAAGCTTAGACCTAAGCCAAACGTCGAACTTTTTATGAGACGAACTAAACTCTAATTTGGGTCAACCTAAATTAAGTTTAGATCGTCTGTCGGGTCAGAAGTCGAACTTTAGGACGCGTCGAACCAATCAACTGAATCAGACCAAAAAGTAAATTTAATAAATTTTCTCCCGAACGTGGCTAAATATACATTCTCATACAAATGTTTAATTTATCTGTTTAGTTCGCCGCAAGTGAAGATGGACGTTTGTCCCGGAGACGATCTCAAGACGTTCTATCCGTCTGAAACGGATGGATAGAACGTGCTGGACGATCCAAACACGTCTAACTTTTCATGAACTTATTAAACTCACTAATTTTGGTTCGTCTCCTGAAAAGTTCGACTTTGTGACCTGGGCCTTACAAGCACCGTAAACTAATTATGGACACCTAACACCTACTTTAAAATCAGGGCTGGACCCCCCCTCCCCTCTTCCCGCCTATTTCAACCCCTTCCCCGCTCCATATTGAGTTGCTACAGTAGACCCCGATAACTTTAATTCCCCGCTAACTCGAACTTAAAGTCCAGTATCCCTTGGATTTCACCCCACTTTTCAGTCATTTTTCAGACTCAGTTAACTCGAACTTGGACAACTTGAATTCCCCGCTAACTCAAACTAAATTTCCTTTCCCTTGATCAAAAGGTCACTGAAATTTACCCCAATAAATCGAATTCTGATTCTCGTAACTCTATAATCAGGCAAAACACTAAACCTAACACTACATCAATTTGAATTTAAATGGTGCAACAAACAGGTCGCCTTTTTTACGTAAAAATGCAAAATCATGTTACCGTTACGTTTCTGATGAAGTAACTTAAAATCATCAACTATTCTTTATTAACACAAGAAATTGACTATCCAATCGATCTCGATAACCCCACTGTTTTTGGTTTCCCTTCAGAGTTCGAGTTACCGAGGTTCTACTGAAGTATATATAGTATATAAAGAAAACATGAAAATTTTAGAGTTGCGGTAAAACTTAAAAGATCATCTAATGATACTTTTCTTCGTTGAATTCCGCAGGAAAAGAAACAACCCGTAGTGCCCTAAGTATCCTCCTACTCTATATTCTTCAAAGTTGGGATGTTGCTGTTTTTTGTTTCCCTCCGTAAGCGGTACAACATTGTTTTAAAAGGCTGGGGGCGGCCCCGAGAAGTTCGCTTCTTTTCTGAAGTAGATAGTATCGGCAAAACGTGAGAAATGTTGTTGAGAGAAGAATGTTTCAACTTTTTCATCGACATTGAAGGTTAACTCGTTACTAAATAGATATATCAGAACATTTTTTGAATTCGCCATAAGAGTGCTCTACTTTACTCCCGGTTACTTTCACTGGTTTATTACGTGGATCTTAAACGTTTCACGTTTTACATAACATAATGATTAAACACCAGTACAAATGTATTAGAACACAATTTATTTTCATGAATGCATATGGGAACTCCCAGTGTATGCCTACGGATAATGAAAACTAACTCGAATTAAAACAAATGACTTTTTTCGCGTAAACGTGTATCAAATCACGCGCTTCGAAGTGCAAATTCTTTGAGTGTACAAAAAATTAAAATTCTCTATATATCTGTAGGTTCAAGAATTTGATTTCTGAGTACAAAAAAAGAAAAAGGAATTAAGGAATCAATTTGGGGATTGCTCCTTTCTTGGGTCAATACTTTCGTGGAGTCGAATGGTAGATACTAAAAAGAACAATTATTATTCTATTTCATTATTCACTCACCTCAAAATGCCGAAATATACGGGCCCACATTCGAAATTTATTTCAGCGCATGTAGTGCGACAATATCCGACAGAGTACGTCAAATAATGTATTTTTTGAGACTTTAATCTACTATTTCCAGGAAAAAAACAAGACGCCAAATGTTTTGTTTCTGAAACCTTAAAAAGTACCCCAAGAATCAACAAACATTTCCGGCAACGCCTTTTAAAGCGATGACGCAGAAACGAATCCCACAAAGGACTCATCTGTTTGGACGAGTTTATAAAAACAAATTCTGAGCAAAATATTTTTCTTGATAATTTCGTTTCGCCCCGAAGTCAAAAATGATCCCAGCATCGAAAAAGCACCCCAAGTATCAACAAACGTTTTTGGTAACGCCTTTTAAAGCGTTGATGCAGAAACGAATCCCACAAAGGACTCATCTGTTTGGACGAGTTTAAAAAAACAAATTCTGAGCAAGATATGTTTTCGATAATTTCGTTTTGCCCAAGGTCAAAAATGATCCCAGCATCGAAGAAACCGTGAATGTTCTGGTTCTTCAAGTTGCTTAAGTTTGATTGACATCTTTCAATCAGCCTATGCCTTGCTTTGGTCCTTTTAATACCTGGAACGAGGAATCATGTATGAGAACACGTGTTGTTTTGCATGAATATCGCATTATAACTGCAAAAAAAATCATAACTTGATGCTCAAAGTAAGGGAGCTTTTTGGTATTTATGGAAACTCTTCGTCCATGAATGCTGTCAAGATAAATTTGTTAAAATATTAATTCATTAGTGTCTTTACAGAAAAGAACATATTCTAAGTTACACCTTTTTATCTGGATGACTTATTGAAATTTGTTTTTCAAACAATTTAAGTGGAAATGTTGAATCACTTCTACCCCACAAAAATATCACCTCAGCAAGTGGATTTTCCCTGTCGTACGCGTGTTGAAATTTACGTACGTAAATATATAGTAGAGGCACAGTATGGAAGGTCACGTGTAAAGGTTAAAAGTTGAGTGAGTTACGCGTGGCCTTTGATACATCGCCTC